TACTGTTGACTTTGGTCTGGTACGTACTGATCTTACTCCTTCTGTTCAAGATGTGCGCAAGCACTCCATCCATCCTCCTTACAACCCTCCTCCTAATGCTACGTCCCTTCATCTTCATAAGAAGACAAGGATGGCCATCAAACGTGCCCGTGACATTGGCGTCCGTGCGACTGCCGAAGTCATTCGCACCCTTGAGCCAGCTGGGCATATTTCGGAGTTGGACAGTGATGATGAACTTGATCCTCCAACAAAGCGCACTCGTGCAATGTCTCCTGTGGATGATGTTGAGAATGGCAGTAAGGCTCCTACGCCGCCTCCTCCATCTCCTCCTATGGACTTTGAGGTCCCAGGAACTGCCTCTTTCGACCCTGATGAGTTGATGAACTTCGACTTGGATCGTGAAATTTTGGCAATCACTGGATTCATGGACACCATGGGGTCAGTACCCTCCTCTGATCTTGACCATATGGGATATACTAACGCACCTTCATCGGTTGCAGTGGCGAAGACATGCAAGTCAGCCTTTGAGCCTGATCTCTTGTCCCGTTTGTATAATTACCATATCGATGCCAAGTATATATCCAATGAACATTTTTGTGTACATGACGTTTCATACTCTGTGTGCAAGAAGTGTAAGGGTAAACAGAGAAATCAACCTAAATGGTGGATGAACGACTCTGGTTGTTCTGAACACACTACCTTTGACTTGAGTGACTTCATTGAGTATGAAGACCTTGAGGAGAAAGTGCTCATAGCAACTGCAACCACAACTGCCTACATTACTGGCGTTGGGACTGTCTTGATAAATTTCAAGGATGTTAGAGGTCGCATGCATTCGGCACGAATCGCTCCAGTATTCTATATGAAGGAGTTGAGTCATCGCCTTATAGCACAAGGACGCTTCCTACAAGATGGCAAAACTGTTCGCGGCAACGCAGACAAAGTTGACTTCTGGGACAAAGACGGTTTATTCCTGTCATTTGAACCACGAACTCACAGCGATACAATCTACATTCTCAAAGATTATTCGCCACAGCCTATGGCTGTAAACCTAGTGATCCACTCAGTGGACTACACTACCATGCATCGTCGCATGGGTCATCCATCGCGCGAAGCACTCACTCAACTGAGGAAACATGCAGAAGGTGTTCCCACCTTTAGCATTCCCCATGAGGAAGATCTATGTGAAGGTTGTGCCAAAGGAAAGATGACTTTACGTCCATTTCCGCCAACTAATCGTCGGGCATCACGTCCCTTCGATATTATTCACTCAGACCTCAAAGAATGGCCTACCATTTCGTACCACAAGTACAAGTATACGATCTTCTTCATAGATGACTATACTTCACATGGGTTCTACTGCCACTTAAAAAAGAAGAGCGGAGCTCTTCCGGTGATAAAGCAATTCATTGCCACAGTCAAAAATCTATACGAGACTAACGTCAAGGAATGGATGTCTGATGGTGGCGGAGAATTTAGATCCAATGCACTTGATGAGTTCTTTAAGAACGAAGGTATCAAAGCACAATGGTCATCTCCTCATATCCACCAGCAGAATGGAAGAGCCGAAAGGTTTATCCGGACTATTATTGAGAAAAGTGAACCACAGCGCTTTCAAGCCTGTATTCCTGATTCCTGGTGGGAATTCTCTGTTGCACACGCTGTGCATGTGTATAACCGCACTCCTATGCGTCGTCACAAATGGAAGACACCATATGAGATTTTGTACAACAAAGTTCCGCGCATAGATCACTTGCGTGTCTTTGGCTGTGGCGCGTATGTCTATCTTCATGAAGAAATACGGACAAACAAACAATCACCTAGGTCAGAACTAATGACATATCTCGGAGTTTCTGACGGTGGACACGGAAATATCTACATGCGGTCGAACAATGCCATGTTCACTGCTACGCACGCTGTGTTTGACGAGAAATTATTTCCTCGTTGTAAATCCTCAGAGCGTCATCGCTCTATGCGACTACCAGATCGCAACCCAGATCCTAAAGATCCTATTCCTCCACCTGGTGATGATGATGTTCCCATCTTTCATCAACCTACCACTCCCCAAATGAGACAGGATCCGGAGCAAGACGTTGCACCGCCTGTGCCAGCTGAACAGCCAGCACGAGATCCTAGTCCGCCGCCACAACCCCGGAATGAACAACCTCCTGCTCAAGAACAGTTGAGACGTTCAGGTCGTGTGCGGAGACCACCTACTCGTCTTACTGGTGATCCTAGAAGCAGCACTAAGCTTCCTACGGAACAACAGGTAGAGAGACCAAAGAGGGATATTCAGAGACGCGCACCACAGCCAGGTAGCTCCTCGGCTGAGCAAGAACGTCCTGAGCCAGAACAGGTTCCCGGACCTAGTACTGAGCATCCTACTCCTGAACATGGAGAACAACCCTCTGTCACTCCCGGTGACGAAGCTAATACCCTGATCAGACTATGTCGGGAAGGGGGAGCTGAATTAATATATTTTCTCATGGCCAAGGCCGTTCCCTTTGAGGGGGAGCTGAAAAGCTCTGAGAACGTCCGTGAATGGACTTACAAGGACATTACTCGCCTACCTAAGGCTGAGCGTGAGGAATGGCTTAAGGCCTGCCAAGAAGAGCTTGAAGCGCTCAAACGGCGTGGTACTTTTGAACTCATGGATCGTCCAGCAGACCGAAAGGTCATTAAGAACCGCTGGGTCTTCGACATCAAATCTGATGGTCGTAAGAAGGCACGCCTTGTTGTCAAAGGGTTCTCACAAATTGAAGGTCTTGATTATGACCAAGTCTTCTCTCCTGTAGTACGGTTTGAGACTGTTAGACTGTTGCTCGCCTTGACTGCGCTGAACAACTGGTATCTCACTGGACTCGATGTTCGAAATGCCTATCTATATGGCGTCTTACATGAGACTATCTACATGGAACAGCCTGAAGGTTTTCGAATCAAAGGCAAAGAGGATAAAGTCCTCTTACTGCGCAAAGCTCTGTATGGACTGAAACAAGCAGGTCTTGTCTGGTGGCGAACACTGGACTCATACATGAAAACACTCGGCTTCAAATGCCTGAGCTCTGATGCAGGTATTTTTATCCGACGAGAAAAAGATGGCTCTCTAGTCATCGCCATCATCTACGTTGATGACGCACTCTTCGCTGGACCTGACAAGAAACTCGTAGATTCCCTTAAAGGGAAATTCATGTCACACTGGGAATGCAGAGATCTTGGTGAAGCCAAAGAATTCCTTCGCATGCGGATTAATCGTCATGGCAAAAAGATCTATATTGATCAATGCGCCTACCTTGACAAAGTCCTTAAGCGTTGCGGTATGGAAAATGCTAAAATGGCTGATACACCACTTCCTGCAGGGTTCCAACCTGAACCCACCATAGGCCAATCGAATTCTGCTCTTCGTAGCAAGTTTCAAATGGTTATTGGTTCCCTTCTCTACCTTATGTTGGGTACACATCCCGACATCTCCTTTGCTGTTACCAAGCTTGCACAACATGCAGCTAACCCATCTCAAGAGCACCTTAACAAGGCACTCTATATTTGCCGCTACCTCCTAGGTACTAGATCATATGCACTTTGCTATGATGGTGAATCGGGTATCAGTCTCAGCGCTTGGACTGATTCGGATTGGGCTTCCAATCCCTATACACGCCGGTCACAGACTGGATTTTTCATGAAGCTTGCCAATGGCATCTTCTCTTGGACCAGCCATGCGCAGAAGACAATTGCTCACTCGTCTACAGAGGCTGAGTATATGGCATTGTCTGATTGCAGCCGTCAAGTGGTTTGGATCCGTAATCTACTTGAAGAACTAGGTTATAAGCTTGACGCTATTCCTATTGCTGGAGACAATCAAGGATCCATTTTCATGGCATCTAATCCTGTCACTAGCAAGCACTCGAAACACATTGACATCTGATATCATTATATCCGTGAAGTTGTTGAACGTGGCCTTGTGCAAGTATTCTTCGTAGATGGCAGTAACAACCCTGCAGATCTTTTCACAAAGAATCTTGGGCGTATCAAATTTGAGCTATTCCGCTCAATGCTTGGACTTGAGTTCTACTCGTCCACCAATCCTTAGGCTGTCTGTCCTGTCTGACGCCTACCGCTATTGCTTTGAGCAAAGTACTTTACTGTGCTGCTCAGCAAGGGGGTGTGTTGAACGCGGCTATGCTGTTCACATGCCACTAATATGATCATGTGTTATGATATGTCATATGTAGTCATATCTAGTCATTTACTATATGCGGATTCCTCTGTACTTCCTTATGTAATACTGTCATACAGTTATGTATATAAACAGGCCATATCCTGTACTGGAATCCAACTCGCTTCTCTCTTACTTTTATTGCCTCACTGAGACACTAAGCTCTACTACCAGGTATGGTACTGGAGAGTGTTCCCACTACGCACTCCTTCCCTGCTCAACATTAAGTACTCACTCCCCGTCACCCAGGTGTGTTAGTGATTATTGAAAATTTGAGTTTCCGAGGTATTTGACAAGGATGAAGTAAAAAATCAGATGTAGAGACAGGAAGGGACTTGGCAAAATTGGGGCTAAACATGTATGTCTCATTCTTTTTCTGAGCCGCTGAGCTGTTCAGGCTTTACAAGTGCTTGTGCATTTGTAGCTTCAATCCCCAAATTTTGCTCTGACTCAATCCATTTTACTTGCATCCCAACTAAATTGTAATCCTTGACTCAAACTTGTCTGTGGAATTTATTTTCAAGAGTTCCATGGATATGTGGGGCTTAACATCGGCTGTGGAATTGGTTAGACTGATAATATATAATTACAGGTTCAGCCATTGTCAAGGTCAGGTAAAATCTGATAAGTGAAGATATTGAAGGAAAGGGAGGGTACCACTAAATGATACTGATTGATAGTGAGATATGTGAGCTCTTGAGGTGGAAAATATTGCTCCCTATAGGTATAGAATCTCCATACAGTATGTACTCATGTCCACTGTGGCAACCCCACTCAACTTCTTTTCTAGTCAGATTCCTTCATTCATCCATTAACATATGTTGTACAAGTGCAGCATGCTCATCGGAGCGAGGTTTGATGCAGCAATCAAAGGGAGCAGGGCCACTACAAATTGTGAGTACATGAGTTGAAGAATTAGATCAGAGAAACAGTGAATGGTGAGAGGAGTGAAGATTGACAGAAAAAATCTTCTATTTACTTTGTGATTCCTGAAACATATTTGATTTCAGGAATGATATGATTCCCATTTTCATCCACAGGAGGGTCGATATTAAAGCAATGCAGAAGAGAGGCAACATTGATTTGAAATGTGGACAGTGCCATGTGTTGACCAGGGCAGACTCTGTGTCACATGGAGCATGAATTGTTTGGAGATTGCACATTGTACATTAGCAGAAGAAAGTTCAGAATAATCAGCTACTTACCTCCTCCCAAAACCAAAACTTATTGGGATTGGGTCATGTTCCATCATGTCAGAATCAAGCTCCCATTGAACCTTCCCTTTATCATCAAAGGTTTGGAGCAGCCAACGTTTGGGGTCAAATGTAGATGCAGTGGGACCATATCTCCTTTTGTCTCGCAAGATTCCCCTGTAGAAATGGATAAAACTTGACCAAAAAATTGAACAATATGAAATGTCTACACTTACCATACATTGGGTAGTATTGTTGAGCCTCTGGGGATGTAGTAACCTTTATATGTATCCTCTGTGTCAACAAGGTGGGGGACAGCTGGATAATCAAAGAATGATTACACACTAAACATTGGCTCTGAGTAGTGTACTTGCCTAATGGAACAACAGTCTGCCATCTACATAGATTAAATTTTGATATTCAAGGGAACAAGTGACTTCATTGGAACATACCTTAAACATTCCAAAATGATTGCTCGTACATAAGGTAGCGTGGCAGGATCATCCATATCCTGATAATCTGGAAGCCGCTTTTGACCAATGACATGGTCAAGCTCCTCTTGAGCTGCATGCTGCGCATCTGGAAAACACATCATAGCAAGAAGAAAGGTTCGTAGAGCAGTTTTCCCTGTGTCTGCACCACCTGAATTAAGAAGTAATAAATTTAGCATAATTTGCAGACAATTTAAAATACACACCTTCATACAATGTCCCCGCAGTTTGCATAATCATTTCCTCTTCCTCTGAGAGACAATCAGAATCGGAATCAAGATTAAAGTGTTCTGCATTTGCCAAACATCGACTGGTAAAGCTATCATTTGCGGTCCCATCAATCTGTAGTCAAATCAGTATTATGGATAGTATAGGTCAAATCAATCAAACAAAATTAATGCTCACTAGTGCCTGCTTCACCTGCATAAATGGAGGTCTGATTGTTGCATTACGGATCCCATACCAAGCTTTGGCTTTCTGCTTGAAAGAAGCACCTGGGAACCATGCGGGAACATATTTGAGAAATGAGAGGATATCCTGATCAAAAATATCAGAGGCAGAAAACTGAATAATATTATAGGAATTCAATATGAGGCAAGTGTGCTTACCACAAGAAATGCACCAGGTACTGAAGCTGCATTCAAAACAGAGTACATCTTCGAAGCTGCAGTAATATTTGGATCATCCTTTGGCTGGACTTGCACACCATATGCTACACCAATGATAATAGCACCAATCATCCTACATGTCAAGTAAGTCCAGAGTTGTGTTTATACTAGAATCAAAGAATAAATAGGATGGATCATGGAACACTGACTGTTTGATATGGCTAACCCATTCCTCCGGTGTATCAAGCAGACTATTCAAGAAAACCCCCAATGCTCTTTTTTCATGTATACGATGTATGGCAGAATTTGTTGGATGGAATTCTGTGTTATATGAATTGCTAAGCAGCCGCAGAGTAGACATCTACAGAAATTGAACCTGCCTTGATGAAAAAGCTTTCTATGAGCATTCAACACTTTTCCTGAAGACATGAAAAGGAGATCTCCCTCCCATCTGTGTGACATGAATCACAGTTCATTTAATGCAGTGATCTAGGATACAAACACAAGAACTCACCCTACACTTTTGAACAAGAGATGTACATCATTACTCATAACACAATTTCCTAATGAGATATGACAGCTCAGGTACTTACAGGTCCTGTAACATTGTAAAATGTGGCCTAAAAATAAAGAATATTGCAGCCATTTGCCATTGAGGTAGAATGTGAGTTTATCCTTACCGGCTTGAATAGATAGCGGATCTCTTATCCAGTAAATCAATCACTGCCTCATATGAGTTTAGTATGATATAATCCCCTCCTGCAACCTTGAGGTGGAGGATATCTGAATCTATAATAAATGTGTAATGAGCCATGACCAGTTAGCAGCTGCAAATCCCATACCATATTGTTCAGCCCATTGAGAAAATATAATGTGTTGATCAGTAGCTGGCATATCCTTGCATTGAGTGCATGAGTATTAAATGGATGGTCAAACAATACCATTACATACTAATGCGTTTCCGAGGATTGGTAGTTTTCTAGGTCCGGGAGGAAGAGGCAGTTTGATTCCTGACCCGTAGCTAGTATGATGATACCAGAGAAATAGGACGGAAGTGAATGCCAACGTAACAAAGATCCCAATCATCATTTCATCTGGAGTTAAAGCTGATAACAGTGCCATACTGAGCTGTGGAAGGACAATTGGTGATTGAGACAGTGTGTCAGGCTATATAAGCTTTTCAACCGACAACAACTTGACTGCATGAGCTAAGATAAAAGTGCAAAACCAGCTTCTGATGAGAAATTGTGTGAGAAATCCAAGTTGCAGGTAATTAATTCATGGGCATCGATCTCACTTGATGACTATTTCAATTGTACAAAGTAACATCAAGAATTGGTATCATGTCATCCGATTCCATTCAAGTAGGCCATCGGATAAGCTGAAGAATGATAATATCTATAGTAGGCTCTAATTAAAATCACCTCACCTGAGAGAATACGCCTTCAATGCGGCAACATTGTCTTCTCAATTGATATACTTGTCACAGGATAGCTCAACTTGGGAAGATCCAATTTCAGTGTGTGGAGGTAGCAGTGGAGCGATGAAGTATTGCACCATTTTCGACAGATTGGTGGAGTCATAAGTCAAACTTTGAATTGACATTCTTTCCAAGATGAAAGTCTGATTACAATAAACATGCAACTTATTTTTCCCATTACACATACAGTAGTCCATATGTCTGCCACACTTCGTCTTCCGACTAGTGCTGTATATCCCCGTGGAAGTGCATATGAGCACTGAAAAGAATGAACTGAGGTGGGAAGGATGGTGTTTGGCATTGTTGTTCAAGCCATAGCCTGAGGAGGGAGGGGCCATTATAGGGTTTTATACATAAGAGCAATTGTTGCTTGCAAAAAAAATTGTTCTTGACACTTGTCCTAATAATTGATTTCATTCTACAGGTACTCTGATCATTTTTGTTCTATACATGCCTTAAGCTTGTTGTCTTCATTCAACATTCTCATTCTTTGTTTCTTCTCCTGCAACCATACTATCAACTCTTCTATCTTTCAATGTTTTCCTTGGTTCAGCATGATGCATGAATGCCAAGTCACAAGCAGAGGTTTATTCTGGAGGATCTGGGTAGTAGTATGACTGATAGTGGTCTGCATTGGAGGGGGGGGGCATTCATGCCAGTACTACTTTGTATCTTTGTCTCCTCTAGACAGACTCAAGCTATGACAGACTCAAGCTATGGCATATATATCTACTATTATTGCTGACATAGTCAGTTAATACATATCAAGTCTCATTTTAAACCTCAAACAATCCCCGACGTACAACAGCAATATGTTTCTCGGATCGAGGCTTAATGGAACATTCAAAGGGCACAGGACCACTATGTGTTGTGATATGAACAGATCAAACTCAGATTGGAGGAAGATTGAGAAAACAACATACTTTAGCAGACCGGAAACATACTCAATCTCCAGATTCACCACATGCCCATTGTCATCCAAGGGAGGAGTAATATTGAAAGAGTGCAGGAGCGAGGCCACATTCATTTGGAATGAAGCTAGTCCCATGTGTTTGCCGGGACAGACTCTGGCAGTATAAGATGATTCATCATCTATTCAACCATGAATCCACAAATTTGGACTTACCTCCTCCCAAAACCGAATGTTATTCCTACTGGATCGCGCATGTCGGGATTGAGTCTCCATTGTGCTTCCGCGCAGTGTCCGGTTTCATTAGAATCTGTCTTGAGGAGCCATCGCTTGGGGTTGAACATGTGTGCCGTGGGACCATACGTCTTTTTGTCTCGAAGTATTGCCCTGCATAGGTTTTTTATCAGACAAGCAATTCCACGCAGTGAAAAGATAGAATGACCAAACATTTGGCATTATTGTTGAGCCCTTCGGAATGTAGTATCCTTTATATGTATCTTCTGTATCGACCTGATGAGGGACGGCTGATAATAACACAGATATGTACAGTCAAGCTGAACATCGAATTGAAGTCAAACAAGTTACATAACTCACATAACGGAACAATAGCTTGCCATCTAATGATTGAACAAAAAAAATCCAAAGGTCGACGGTTGCAAAACTCGCTACTACAGTAGATTCAAATAAAGACTTCCCTGAAACATTCATAGATGATAGCCCATACAAAAGGCAGCCTTGACAATCCTTTGCTACCATCCAGATCGTCGTAGTCCGGTAGCCGTTCTTGACCAATTACACGATCCAATTCCTCCTGAGCTTCGCATTGTACATCTGGGAAACACATCATTGCAAGGAGGAAGGTTCGAAGGGCAGTGATCCCGGTGTCTGCGCCACCTAGAATTCAATATGCAACCAATAACTTCCAAGAATGAAAGTGAATACATACCTTCGTACATTGAGCCCGCGGTTTGTTTAATCATCTCTTCTTCCTCGGAAAGATGGTCCAGGCGTGGATCAGGGCTCTGTGCGTTTGCCAGACATCGAAGGCTAAAGCAATCTTCAGCATTTCCATTCGCCTAAGGAAGTGTCAAGAAAGGCCTTCGACAACATGAATATGAATTCGGGCAGTGAATGACACCAACCATCGCTTGCTTGACCTTCAAAAACGGAGGTGTAATTGTTTCATTTCGAATGTCATACCACTCTTGAGCTCTTCGTTTGAATGAGGCACCCGGAAACCAGGTAGGAATGTGTTTAAGTAGAGGGAACACATCCTATGCTCAGAATCAGATACATTGGATCGAGTACTCATATGTACCAGTAATAACCAGGCAAATGGAAGGAAGTGCATAATCATCATACAGTCCAAGAAAACTCACCACAAGAAATGACCCAGGAATACCAGCGGTATTCAAGACAGCAAACATCTCTTCAGCTGCAATGATACTTGGATCATCCTTCACTTGCACATGTATACCATATGCGACTGCGAGGATTATTGAACGTGTCATCCTAGTACAATATGCCAGTCAACAAAGTAGTTGTGATTCAGCAATCATGAGGATACTCACTGCTGGATATGCCTAAGCCATTCCTCTGGTGTTTCGATCAGATTATTCAGGAATAACCTTAAGGCCTTCTTATGGTGTGGACGGTATGCAGAAGAATCACTCGGATGGAACTCTACGAAGTCAAAATTAGTAAGTGGAACCTGTTGGGGGTATCGCATGTGACAGGATAAACAGCTCACTCACCTTGATGCAAAAGCTTGCGATGCGCTTTCCACGCATTTCCATAAGGAAGATAAACGAGATCACCCTCCCAGCTATATCATGATACAAAGGAACGCCGTAGGTAGTGAATCAGCCATTTCTGCATAATTTGACTGGAGAAGAACATACCCTATACTGTTGAACAAGTCAATAAATGCCGAAAGCCATCAAATGAATTGAGAATGGAGATAAAGTCATATGTGGACTCACAGGTCTTGCAACATTGTAACGCGGGGCCTGCAATTCCATTCTTACTGTGATGATGTCTGTGCTTCAGGGAATGTGAATGGACTTACCGGCTTGAATAAATACTTGACCTCTTATCCAACAAATCCATGGCAGCTTCATATGAGCTCAGCACAATACAGTTCCCTCCTACGACTTTCAGGTGGAGTATATCCGAATCTATAGCAAATCAACACTTGTCAGTGATGATTGTTATTACAGTGTCACCACGTCGAGAACCAATGTAAGTGGAATCCACACCAAATTTTTCAGCCCATTGAGCAAATACAATATGTTGATCTGTCATAGGCATGTCCTGAAGCAAGTCTGATCAATAAACTGGGATGGCTAGAAACTATTTCCACATGCACAAGACTGTTTCCAAGGAGAGGAAGCTTCCTGGGGCCAGGGGGAAGAGGAAGGCTGTGTCTTGATCCATGGTTGTAAAGATACCAGACAAGGAAAAAGGAAGTTAAGGATAGAATGATAAAACCATTGATTGGCAAAGCCTGTTGGAGAGAATCAAAGGCAGACACTAAAGCCATACTGGAAGTGCATAAGTATGATCAAAACAACTTGGATCTGTGTGTCCTTTATACGGCCAGAGGTGTATACATGGAGTTTTGGAGGGGTAAGGGATGAGCAGTATCAGGGAAAAGATCAACAATACTTCCATGTCAACTGCAAGAAAAAAGAGGACTTCGAATTACATTAACGTTTGTTCTTGTACAGGGACTCCGAGCCTCTAGAATTTGGTCGCAGAAAGAGCGAAGATTAGAGTACATTCCCAGGTAGTTATTGAACAACGAAGAAACCGTCAACAATCAGCTGCGCGATAGCTTGCCTGCCAGTGCTGTATTTGCAAAACTCGTGGGGTCCGAACTCCACCAAACATCCACAATATGACGCTATTCTTCTGTATCCAATTGCACCTTGGGAGTTTTGCACATTGCTTGAACGATAAGGGGAATTGCAGATGAGAATGCGAACCTTGCTTGTAAGAATAGATCTGAATAGATATCTGAGTCAACGTCAAGTAGGAACTGCTCCTAGTCAGGCGATAGATAAAGTTTGAGATTCAGAGGATGTATCATAACGGCGAGGTTGCAGTTGTCTAAAAGAACCTTACGACCGAGTGTGGTTCGAATAACGTTGTTGTTTCGATGCTCGATGTCAAGTTCATGGCCAAGTTGCAAAAAGGCAGTTACATAAGCGTTCTTGACCATCATTTTTCCCGCCTTGGCTTCATCTACATATAAGCTTCTTCTCTCAATGCGCTATCAAACACTGGGGATCATCGACGGCAGTATGATTGAGGTGTATTGTTTAGGATATATAGCTAATGAGTCCGGTTCGTGTTCCTATCGATTACTCTATGTTTTAATATGCTACTGAATCAGATTTCAGTATCGAAGAAATGGATTTATTGAATCGATATCTTCGAGCAATTCCCACTGGCTCTGTATAGCTCGTTGATACGTCACCGTTGCATTCGATTTGCTGTCCACCTCTCCGCTATCTCATTTCCCACCCCCGCTTTTGACTCTTCATAAATCTCAATCCCCACCGGTACTCGCTGAATTGAAGACAATCATCCGGGTCCCACAAGTGCAACTGATCAATAATGGTACAGTATATGGCCACGAGAAATATTCCGATACATAGGGCGTAGTTGATGGTGACGATTGATATTCGTTCCTTGACCCATCTCAAGTTACTACTCTGCATATGAGCCTGCAGTTGCGAAGACTGGAGCAAGCAGTCCGATACGACCATGACTAGATGGTATAGAGATATCTCTGTTGAGGCAGAGGAAGGGGCGGGAAATGTTGTGTCAATGAAGTCAGTGCTGTATCGTTGTTCGTGTACACGCAGGGAGCGAGGAAGTCGCAAAGAAATTGGAAATCGAATGACTATGATGTGATATGTTCATTAAGTCACCTGGATGTGCTGGATCGTTCTTTCTCTTCTCTCCAAGGGCTCTCGATGCATTCGTCGCTGCCTTCCTCATTTTCCTGCGTTCTGTCATGAATTCCTTTGAATGCTTTTGTGCCTGCCCCTTCGTGCTTCTTTAAGACGAAATCTTCGAAAAGACACGACCCACCCTGTGAAGGGCAGATGGAGTTGGAGCCTGGCCCTTCCTGGCCATAGAAACTGATCAAGGATGGGTTATTGATACTTAAGAAAGAATTCAATTTGTCCTTTTTGCATGACTAACAGTTCAAATTTACCAGAACGAAGGCAAGTGGAGTTCCGTGAGGCAATGGAAGCAATGTCCCCGGCTGCTGTACATACATTTTTGGAGTGCTTTAGCGAATGAGAAAATTGCGGGAAAAAATTGCATGTAATTTCCTGTAAAGGGCCTGAATTTACTTGCTGTGTACATTTGGCAACATTGTCGATATTACTTGAATCGTAGGCAACTTGTGCATGGTGGTGTATCGGAAGCTAGGTTTAGGTGATTGAGTGGTGTTGTCATAGATTGATGATCTATACGGATACGACAGATGCCCGTCGAAGTTACCCACTGGCAGACGACTTACCATTTCAGCACAAGTTCAGAATTTTGTGAAGTATTTGTTCGCCCATCTTTGAAATTTAATGAATCCAGAGCAGGGAGGACTTCATATATCATCGTTGCATGAGAAAAGACCGCCGGCGATGTCTCATCGAAGAAAAAAATTTCATGGTTAAACAATGCAAATACAAAGAAATCAAGTTACTCGTACACCAGAGCAGCGCCCATTTCCAAATTTCATTGACTACTCCACTACTGGCAAGCCATCCGGGAATACCGATTGAGCGTAAGCATTTTCTTCGTCGCTTCGTCTTCGAAATAAACCACGATATGAGGATCCATATCACAACGAGAACATCGGGGATGGAAATATCTTGAGGAAAGTGGTATGATGAATTTTTCGTGACCGATTTGTGAAGCAAGGCCGATGGATTATCGGTTCGATATGGTTTTGGATTTGGTGTATTGCTTTCACGGATGTATCATTTGAGACCAACGATGCAGATACGGCGTCAATTCTGAAGGCTAGACATTACGCAGAAGCAGCGGAAAGGACGGACGGTTCCCGTATGAAACGGTGGGAAACTGGTTGGGCGCTTCAGCCACTGCAATCAGCGTTTTTGCTTCCGCTCACCGTTTAATTGGACTTGAATGCGTCGATCTCAAATTCAAAGAAACAAGAATTGAACCAGGTCGAGAACAATATTAATGCTGATATAGGTCAGTATGAAATCCATCTATCTTTTTCAAAATACTATGATGAAAACTCAACCCATATCATCGTAGTGGAATGAACCTTCGAGCTTCATCTGCAACACAAATATTATGAGTATACCTGCGGGATCCCGCTTCCAGGCTCACCGTAACTACCTCTGAGTCTTTACGATCCCTTTCCGCTTTGGCGCCAATACCTGTGACTAGTTCAGTCTATATCCGAGCACTTCGCTGTTGAAGATCTCAAAACAATGAACTAAACCGACGGCCGGATAAAGCTTCAAGCACAAAGGAATCAACAAATTTTCTGTTAAAGATCTGCATCAATCCAGTCCCTGCTCTACGCCATGCCATTGTCGTACGTATCAATCTATGAGCGCTACGCTCAGTCGCAATTCTCATAAAAACAGGTCGTCGAATAGGTGACCTGAGAATCCTTCATCCCCTCTGACATGTCTTTATTCAACATCTTCAAGGAGCCCATCAAAGCTCCACCGGTCACCAAAACCTCATTCGTCCAACAAATCGAAAAAGCCGGGCTGCTTGTAACAACAGAATTGAACAACGCGTTGGAAGAATGCCAGGCAAAGGTTACGAGGATTTCACGAGATTGCAGGATGATGAATCGCAAGCACAGGTATCTATGCTTCTCCTTCATGAAAATGCATCGGATTGACTGATCCTCCCTTCCGTGAACAGAGACACCGAATTTGACCTCGAAAACGACCGTCAGCGCTGTCTCCACGGTCTCTCCGGCCCAGAGTCATGCGGGCCAAACAACTTTTCAGATATCAATTATACACCTTCAGACGTTCAACGCGTCACTCAAATATTCGATAAGCCTAAATTCTTCATCGATGGCGCGAGTTCGAGCGATATTGTGCAAGGTGGCATTGGAGACTGCTGGTTTGTATCTGCTCTTGCGACAATGGCCACTGCGGAAGGGCTTGTGGAGAAATTTTGCGTCGCGGTAAGTGTGATATATATATAGGGCAAACATGATGTTGAAGGTTATATTGGACCTACAGAGAGACGAAGAGGTCGGTGTATACGGCTTCATTTTCTTCCGCGATGCGAGCTGGGTGACGGTCATTATTGACGAGTAAGCTCCTCTCGCTTTTGATGACTTGCCGATTCAAGTGCTTAGTAAACATTCCTCACTAGCTTTCTGTACACCTCAATCCCAAAATACGAAGAATTAAATTCCGCCGAGAAAGTTCTGTATCATAATAGTAAAGACACGTACAACTCTACCGCTCGTAAAGGGGGGAAAGGTCTTTACTTTGCAAGATCCGGAACCCCAGGAGAAACTTGGGTTCCGCTCATAGAGAAAGCGTATGCCAAACTTCACGGCAGCTATGCGGCCCTGTCCGGTGGAGATGCGTGTGAGGCTATCGAGGATTTGACGGGGTAAGCCCTCGCATTTGGAGGCTCTCACATTGAGCCTGTAGCTGACTAGTTCTGTAGCGGTGTTTCGACATTTATTCCTGCGAATGTACGTGCCCATGCATGTTTGGGTGTCCGAATTGACGAACGAATTTCATCACAGGACATTTTCAATATTGACCGCTTCTGGAACGAAGAATTGCTTAAAGCAAACCAGGACCGATTGTTTGGCTGTTCCTACCAAGGTCTGGACACCTCTCGGAGCGGGGACTTTGATGCAAAAATCAGCGGCCTCATTGGTAATCATGCCTATTCCGTCCTACGAGCAATCGAAGTCAAAGGGAAGCGTTTTGTGGTTATACGAAATCCATGGGGACAGTCTGAGTGGACAGGTCCATGGTCAGATGGATCGAAAGAATGGACGAAAGAGTGGTTGGATCTGCTGCCTGAGATTGGTCATTCGTTCGGAGACGATGGGCAGTTCGTTATGGAGTGTGAGTGAATTCTGTTTTCTTCTATCATCATTATTGACTTGCATGTGTATATCTCATTGACAGACAAAGACTTTCTTGAAAGCTGGGAAATGCTTGACCGAACGCTACTGTTCGATTCTTCGTGGATCATGTCTTTCCAATGGTTGCATGTCACGACGAAGCCCCTTCCTACTGCGTGGACTTTCGGAGATGTATCTTGTAGGTTCTTCTTATAAGCAAGTATGCCTTCATTCAATAACTTCATTGCTTTTTCCAGTTACTTTCTCTCTTCCAAAGGCATCTCCAGCCATGATTGTTCTTTCTCAACTCGACACCAGGTTCTTCGAAGAAATTTCGGGCCGCTACTTCTGGACATTTGAATTCGTAGTATTCAAGAAGGGAGAGAAGGAATATTTAGCACATTCTGGTCCGTCCAGGGTCTGGCGTCGTAGTGTTAACCTGGAAGTGAATCTCGAGGCAGGAGATTATGTTGCCCATGCAAGTTGTCTCTGTTTGTACATTCTCCTTCATCTGCTAAGTTCTTGTATCTAAATAGGTGAGACTGGATCGACATACTCGCTCTCCTAGCCGTGAATCGGTATACTGATTTTCTTTCATCATCTAATATCACTTACCAATTTACATCTCTGTATCGTCTCAGGACTACATCCAAACTCAGTCGACAAATTGGGATCAACGGACATATGCGAGGATGCTATCCGAGCGAACAAAGGCGCAGTCCGTTGCTGCCAGTAAGCTTATTCAATATTCCTACTAGACAAAAATTCACTCAATGTACCTTTCCTTGCAGATTTTAAGTCAGAGTGCGTAAAGCTTGAACTGATAATGGAAAAAGGTACTAAGTTGCTTGCAGTTCCGAAAAAAGTCTCTTGCCTCTACCCTTGAGCGTCTTAGCTGGACAAGACTTATCTGAGCTCGAAAAGAAAGCCCTTGCTATTGCTGAAACAAAGAAGAAGGAAGAAGCAGAAAAGGCAAAACAGGCTGAAGAGGCAAAACAAAAGGCAGAAGCGGAGGCGGTAAAAGTAGAAGAAGAAAAGGCAAAGAAGAAAGCGGAAGAAGAGGCAGCTCGAAAAAAGGCTGAAGATGATAAGGTAACAACGGTGACGACTGAGGATGGGTCAACAACCACGACTACGACCACGATCGTGCAAAAAATCATTACTGTCACCAAAAAATTAGTCAACGGGGAAGAAGTTTCGGAAACCAAAGAGGATATAGTGTCCGACAAAGATGCACTAACCAACACCGAAGGACTGAACGGTGTCGTTGCACCAGGAGTGGAAGCTGTCATCACTGTGCCCAGTGTTCCTCCTGTGACGGTCACCGTCGATTCAGCAACGCAGCCAGACCCTAAACGAGATCAAGTTGACGTATCGGAGGAGAATTCTATTTTCTTAGGATTCCGCGTGTATACGAATAAAGAGGCCCCTGTAGTAATTGAAGGCCAGCTTAGGCATGAGATGGAGGTGTCGGCGGCATTAGCATTAGCATCGTGATTAGGTTGCGTTAGCTTTCAGAAATCCTATAATCCTGTAATCATTTATGCAATGTACAACATCAAGGAATTAATAGTACAGAGAATGAATAAAATGATAAATATATCGACAAGATATGATACACTAAATTCAATTTCTACTGGCCCGCCTTCCAACGGCCTTAACTTTCTTTGGTCGGCTAGGAACCCTTATGGGCAGAGGTTCGGTCTCGACGAGCTCAGGAGGTTCTGATTTGGTTGGCGCACGTAAAATTGAGGGAGACCGCTGACGAAACTGCTGACGCTTGCCCCGGTAAGTCGGGGGACCAGGTGTCCCTACGCTTCTCATCCGCGACTGAACTGCGAGTCTTGGTCTTGTCGCATCACTCCCATTTGAATCGTCACTCCCAGCATCATCCTCGCGGTGTAAAGTCATGGCATCTACCTCTACTCTCTTCCCTTCCCGATGTATCTCCTGCACCGGATCCTCCACTGAGATTTCTCTTGATAGCGTCCTCCGAGTTTCTCCCGCCTTCGTTTGAGTTTCAGACGCGATCTCTTTGAATGAAACCCTTCGACCTCGGGACCTGCTCCTTTGAACGATGGAACTTGCACGAGGACGAGAATTGGGGAAATCACGATCACGGTAGTTCAAGGGACCGCTGCGTTCACGACGAGAGCTACTGATTAGTTTTAAAGGTGAGGAAGTAGGAAGAGGTTGATCGTCGGATTCAAAATCCTGCTTATCGCTTTCTTCGAAATAATCATGACCACGGTCTTCATCTAACTCCGAATAGGGTGAGGATGGGGGCAACGTTCCGCGTGAATAAGTTGGATCGGGATGTGATTGTAGATGCGATCGCCCTCGGTGGGAGCTCGGAGTCGCGTAAAGGAAGCTGGAGCCAGCTTTGTTTGATAACGAACCAGGAGAGGAAGTTATTGAAGCGTCAGAAGGCGCGTGAGGACGACTGGAAGTCCTTCGAGGGGTATACACCATCTCATGGCCAGTTGATGGATGCGAAATACGACGTCGATGGGAAGATGGCCTTGATCCTTGATCCTGCACCTGTTCTTGGAGCGCAGTCATACCTTCCGGTGTAAGAAGTGAATAGAGGCCCTTGATAGCGTTTGATATGATGTCCTTCGCACGTCCTTCGAAGGCTTTCTGTATCTGTGACTGACTCGCTGCTCTCGTGGGCGAAAGCATGGTATCCGATTGACCTGTATCATCACATTTCGTAGTGACATATCGTGAAGGCGATGTGTCGCGCATGGGATAATCATGCACATTGGCTGGGTGGCCAAGGTCTGTGTCTGAAAGTGGATTTGTGACAGCACGCTTGGAGTTCGCGCGCGCTCGACTTCTGCTTCGACCTGCAGACCGATGAAAGGATCCGTGTGGACTGTGCTCCTTCTCTTGATGATCGTCATTTTTATCTGACGAGCGAGAGTTGTTAGTACAATTATTACCAGAGCAATGGAGCAGACTGCGATGGGCTATTGAATTAATTACCTTCATATAGTTGTACATTAGACACGAGCCTGCTTTGGCGAGATCTAGACTGTGAGGAGTCGTTCCGCCGTCGCTGTTCAGGATGTGTATTTTGAGGGGCTCTACGAGGAGATAATTTGGCTGGTGAGCTTATCGGATCTAAAGAACCGATATGTGTTCGTGAGCAACAAGGTTCTGAGATACGATAACAGAAACACACCAATTTCACACGAGGAATGCGCACTCGTATGATGTATGACTTCCTCAGGTTCCGAATCTGACAGAACGGTATATCGTCCTTTCTTAGTCGGAGAGCCCATGAGTTTGCTCTTCCGATGATTTATGGTGGTACTACCTCCTGTCGCCTGATGAAAATCATTCTCCCATTCTGCCGCTGACGACCATGATGCGCCTGATGATCGCGCTCGTTTCTTTCCCCTAGCTTTTGCTGAAAGCCTTCGAGAGGACGAGGTTATAGAGTCCAAGGGCAATTCGTCACTGGAACTATCGATCTCGATAATTTCCCGGGCTTTACTTTTGCCCTTCACATCGACAGCGGTTGATTTGGGTTCAATTTTCCCAGAATGCGAGTTTTTGTCGAGTTCGCCGGCTCCAGTTTGGCCTTTTCCTTTGTGCCTTACAGACTTTCCAGCATTTTGGGGGGATGAGGAAGTCCTAATGGCTTCTGACGAATGTCGTTTAGACATCCGAGAAGTTGAAGGCGTGAAATATGAAGGAGGCAACTCAGGGTTTGCTGTCTTCGACCTGGAAGGGTTCTTGGATCCCGCAACGGACGCTGCGGTCCCTGTATTTTCGTTTTTTCGCTGACTGACCTTCGAGGGACTTCGACTTTGGCTCCTACCTCGCCTCAGATTGGACAGCCGGGAGAGATCAAGTCGGGGTATTCTAGAAGAATTGATGAAGGGACTCGACGATGGTAAGGAAGTCGAGGGAGCAGGGGTAAAGGGTTTCATGATAGTGCTCGGCGGATGATCAGTAGATGATCTTTGTCTCGATTTTGACCTAGTGCTCGAGTAAATCGGTGATAATAAGGGCGGTGAAGAGACCAGAGGTTCAAATAAATCTGTGTGACTTTCAGAATACGTTGATGAGTTTGGAGGAGTAATTAAATGTGGATGAGACTTGGATTTGGAGGAAGAGGGTATTTCGTTTGCTTTTTTAGAAGACAGAATATCGAAGTCGGAAGCGTCCCATAATTCGAGTTCATCTTCGGAACCCTCTTTTCCCCTCAAGATAGGAGACCTATGGACCTTATCGACTTTTTCTGTGTCGAGCATTCGGACTTCGTCGTAGTCCGAAAAAGGTTCACCTTCGGTAGTGAACCCAGCTTCCGTCTCCGTGTCTATTTCTGTCACGAATTCTGAACCTCCTTCCTCAATCCTAGATTCCCCAGTAGAGATTTCGTCTTGTTCCGCTGCGTCACCTTGAGTCTCTTTTCGATGTCTCTCTTCCTCCAGGAAAGCTCGAAGGTCGGCGGCATCGTCTTCGTCATTGGTTGGGTCAATGGCGTGAGTGGCCCGGGAAGTAAGATTCGACAGGGTCATAAATGGGTTAGCAGGAGACTCAATGTCTTCCTGAGGGCCATCCAACCCTTGCTGGTGGTCAAGATACGCAAAAGAGTCCAGTTCATCGTCGCTTTCCTCCTGAACTCCCTCGGTTCCCCTGTTCCTATCTTCTTCGTACTCTAGCTGTTCGTCTCCTTCATCATCCTCCACCGAGGCAAATCGACCAAAATCCCATTTGCCATTCAAGCCCCGCACTACACCCCGATCTTTCACTAATTGTCCGGTCCGAATGTCTACAATATCGTCCTGGTCCACTCGGAGTGAGTATCTGTCAGCAAGTGTCGACCAAACAGATAGCAATCTGGAGGTTGATTGTGACCGAAGGGTAGGAATATCGGGAGTTTCTGTAGTCGAAAGGGGGGTAGATGAAAACCGAGAACCAGTGCGAATGCTAGAACCGGAGGAAGAAGAGCTTTTGCCAGACGTGATTATATTTGCGTGAGGATTATAGGAGAAGGAGTGGGATCTGGATGGTGGTGAAGCGGAAGGAGTGATTAATGGAGGCTGCCGGCTATTGGTTCTATGTTCCAAACCCATGGCTTATATCAGATGATTCCGTCGCGTAGCGGCCAGAAAGGGTGGGTCTAAAAGTTCCTATCTGTAATAAAAATATGTAGAAAGGAATTTGGCCAGCGCCGAGCGCTGAGCACCGAAAGCGCGATTTCGCGAATGGGTCAATTGATGAAGCCTGGTTATCGGCGCGCACGTGATCTAAACGCGGTTTGTACCCGGTCCGATATGCTTATTCAAAAAAAACTTGTCCTGTTTCCCGATTAAAGGAGTCTTCCGGCTCAAGGAAGCGAGGTCGAGCTTCTGCGTAGAATACGACAGAGGGCAGAAATTCATTTTGAATCAACTCCTTCAGAACCACATAGTACCAAATTTTGGCAACAAAACTCAGTGCCGCGGTAACTAGGTGGTACAGGATAGTATCAAGGTCTACCAAGGTGCATCTCCGATGCTCGTAAAGTGGATGATATGTGCTTATTTGCATTTCGTCTAACCTTGCTCCAGTCTTTTGAATACTTGGTCAACATTTGACGACAATGGTCTCGTTCTTGAACGACCTTGATGGTGACATCGGCCCACATTGCACCAATGTGATGCAAAGGGATTATTTCGGTTTTCCTTCATGAAATGGTAGAAGACGTAAGGGTTTGAATCCCAGCTATTAAATCCCCGTATGGGCTTTGGCAGGTATTTTCCTCGCTTTTTGTCTCATGCTGAGCCGGATTCGACTGATGATGAGATTTAGCAATGCAAGCGTTTACGAAATCCCGTATGCGCTGAGTTTGGATTTTTGAGGAATCAACGGATTTCAAGTTAAACCTGCTTGTGCCAAATCGAGTCGATATACACGTTGTACTTGAAGGTGAACATGATATATATAGCGTCACTGGATAAGTATATTTCAACACCTGTGTTCAAGATGAGCTCGATAGATAAATGCTCGATTGTCTTTATGGCACCAAGATGATACCTCGGACAAAGGTTGGTATATCACTCGAATGAAGCTTCTAGATTTAATTCCAGAATATAATTCCCATATTTCTCGATCAAAGTGCAGCCTGAAGCTTTTTAGAAAACCGGATCAAGCTCTAGAATTTCGCATGTGGTGAGCTCGCATACATACTGAGCCTGTTCTCAGACTTCGACTCGACTGGCCCCTCCGTCAGCAGCGTCTCAGGATCATTGTATATATATTTCAATCGCTATACATTTAGTTTCTTCTTCCTCTGACTTCTGAGAAGCATTTTAAATCTTAAAGTGGAAGTAGCAGAGGCTTGCGTCTTGACAATCTCCTTGAGTCTCCTTGCCTTGATCTCGTCTCATGTCTCCGCTAGTAAATTCAGAACACGCTCTTAAACCGCACAGATTTATTTTTGTCGAAGAAAGTACATAACGATTCTTTGCTTATTCTGCTTATGAAGCCCACCATTGATCTTGCCTGGCAGATTCCTTCGATGTAGAACTCACCTCCACTAAGAAAACATTCCCGAGGCGTTCTCCATACTGCAGGAATGGTTGGTACCATCCATCTTCTGCAAATAAATAATATCGATATCCTCTCTTCGCACATAGCATGCGATTTCTGCCACCTGAAGAAACGAAAATGCGAATTCACTGGCACTACAAGCAAAGTCTGCTCGATGTGTGTCCGTTTCGGACGTAAGAGTAAGGCTTTCGGTAGCCTACTTCTACTTTGGATTGCTCAACAGACACTTTAGCCTGCTCGTACAAGCGTCAATATATCTTCGACTACCAAAATCATCGATCTGATCCTAAAGTGCCTGGAAAAAGAGGGATAAAAAATGTTTGCGCTAATGTTGCCATTAAGGAAGAGCCCCGCGAAGATCAAGCGCTCTCCAAGGTTTGTCCGTCTTGCTGTCAACTACCATTGCTGACCCTCCCTCTTGGATAGTCTGACCACCACCAAACACAATCGTCTTCATTTCGAAAGTGTGGCCACACAATGCACGACACCTACCAGAGCGATCCTTACCACAACTGCACTGAGAGCAAACAGCTTATGTCGGGTATTCGAAGACTCCCTCCGCTTGTTCCTCGAACTACATACTACCCGCCAATCGAAGTCCCCATCAATCCCCAATTGCCTCCGATTTTACTTGGTGAACGGTCAAGGTTGCAGCATGATTTCAGGCTCCCACCTCTCCGATTACTGATCGCAGAACTGAACTTAGCGAATTAATTCGCTGCAGAATGGTGTTGTAAATTGAATGTTAGATTAGCGTTCGACGATATCTTGCCGGTTTTAATATACATGATCGTTAGCGACTGAGTACTGGTAAAAGCAACGAGAGAATTGACACATGTTTCGACTACAAGATATCCGGAATGACAAGGCAAACGAAATGGGGTTGAACATAGCGAGTTATCAGCAAGCAGTGGACCGGAGACAGTCGCCTTGAAAGACTTCGAAAACATCTAAACATTCCGGTAATAAGAATAATTCCAGCTTTGCTGGAAATCATCATCGGCGATGTATGATTGTGGCTCTGTGAAGGAGACGGAACCATCCCATGTATTGTATGCAGGATACGACTCTTGGGGTGGGTTAAATTGGTTTTTGCCACTGTGTCCTTCCATCCGCCAAGGATCGGTGCTACTACTGTTGCCCTAAAGAGAAGAAAAGTTGGATGAGTTCGAAGATATTCTGCTGTTAATCAAACGCACGGCCTCAACGTATTCTCCGTAATGATCATAGTTCTGCGTCTCATAGTTATACCAAGGGGAAGATGATACCGAAGCCTCATTATACGCAATAGCAGAATGCTCATGATCATTCATTGAATCTGAAATTAGATGTGGCACTAGATCAGGATTTTGGTCTGGCATGGTCTACAAGAAAGGCTGGGGATCAGGGAGTTTTCGGAATGGGGCTATAGTACAAGATTGACATACCGAGTACACACCCGCCGAAGAGCTTTCGATAGGCTCTGGCGATTGAAGGGATCCAGTTCTCCCGCCTTGAAAATCACTAGCACTAATATTGCGATCTTGATCGAAAGTCAAGCGACTTTTTCCTTTTGCTCCTGGTTTAGGGCCGCGAGGGCGATTAATCCGGCGACTTTCGGATACAACGCATTCTAGAACAATAAAATGAAAAGTGGTAGGATGACGGACGAAGATCAAGAAAATAACATACTTTTGTTATCATCGAGACATCTCTTGCAGTATGTTGAGTCGCTACCATCACCCCTCACACATCGACACTTGAGGGTTTTGCAACGATCACAAGCGCGAGCTAAGGCGGGGGAAAGATGGTTAAGATGTGCTGTCAGAACGGAAGAGCAGTAAAATTTGAACCTGCTCTAGTAAATTTACGCGGAGGTCCTGCATTGATGTTCAACAAAAACAATGGATAATAAGATTGAAGACAATATCAGAAACATGAAAGTAAACATGCCTTGAGAAAAACCCGAATTTAAAGGCGGAGGCTTGAAGAACTCAAATTGCAGAGAGTGTTGCATGTAGAGCGACTGGAGCTGGTAGGAAGCAGGCTGTCTTTTTGAGAAGGGAGACATGACTTAAACCATTATAAGCGTGAGCATTTCGAAGATAGAAAATACGAGTCACTCACACAACTTTTTCGTTACCCTTTGCACTCTCAAAAACCTAGAGCACCCTACGGATATGGATCATTGCAGGCCATTCATTCAGATGTATATCTTTAGTTGAAAGAAATATATCTTAGTCAGTAAGTAAATTTCAAGTGGAATGAGCATTGAACACCATTTACTTTGTAAAAATAACTTTAAAAATTCCGCTCCTAGCATTTCTTCACTATCCGTCTAGTCTTTCCAAGATTCGAAAGATACATGTTTAGTCTGGCCTTCAAAAAATGAAAGTGGGTCGGCGCTTTCCGATGCAAGCCGATAAACGAACTCCGCGAAATTCAGGATCTGTTCTGAGGCTGGGTCGCAGTGACGCCGATCCTCGCGAATATCTTCTGGATCTTGCAACGTTAGCATCATTGAATGAATAGTGTACAATCTTGTCGGAATCGTAGAACGTCGTCAACCATTTGTCAATATCTGAACCGTGTATACGACCTGATTGCGCCGAATGTTGAAGGAAGACTCTGCAGTTGAAGCTCGAGGTAACTCCGAGATTTTGCTCTTTGTCGGCTTGCATTCGATCATTAAACCCGGATCGAGGATACAGCAAAATGAACAACCCTTGAGTTGATACTGAGCCGGACCTTTGTTATTCTAATTCCTGGATTTTCAGGTCAGAACTGGTCAGAATGACGAGAACGTAGAGGTGTGTTGAAGGTATATATCCCTTGACATTTTTGATTCCGGTACCGCTTCTGATATTTTGTAGGTCCCTGGTTGGTCCCTGGTCAGTAGGTATGGCGTCCAGTTGATCTTGGATAGGATTTGGAAAGTAACTGAAGCTTTGACTCCGACACGAAGGAAAGCTCAGCATTGGATCTCAGCCTGCCGATTCGCCTTGCCAAGGTAGCTGTTGATACACGGTGCGAGCGGTGCTCCTTATTTCTCCCTGAGAATGTTTTGCACCAGTGTTTGCTGAGTTTTAGCTTAATTCCGATTATTGTGCTTCTTCAGATAGTACAAAGCATTGCGGGACCGAAGTAAAAAGCAAAGTGAAGACCTGAACAACGATATCAAAGTAGGAGAGGGCAGAGACAAGCAGAAAGAGGTATATTTTAAAAGGCAAAGAATTGAGTTTCGTTGACATGCGCTTTTTTCAATTTATACATTGAACGTTGACTCACCTTCTCAGATTTAAAGGGAATTGCCACGATATCCTCAGTTCATACATCCCATAGCAATCTAGTCTCCGTGTTTGCTAGCCCCTCGACTGCCCTGCTTGTGGTCCAACTCTCTTACTGGTTTTTTTCGTTGTCATCGTTCACAAATCTTCAGTACAAAAGCTATTAGCGAGAATTGGGACGACTGCGGTTTATTCGTTCACAGGCGAGTGATTATTCTGAGCGAAGATCTTCTATCTTCTGACCTTCTCATGATCAAGGTAGATGCAAGCTTAGAAAACACTGATCGTTGAGGCCCTTAAGCTAGGATGAACGTGTTGCGTAGTGAGTCCCGTTCGAGCTAAGGGTTCTACGAAAATCCGAACGATGAACAATCATCCTAGACTCTTTTATTTGACGCCATGGATGAATCCTCACACAGAGTCAGCCCGTCTTATCAGCGCAGCGCTCGACTTTGTCGCCTTGAGCCTTTTTGGTCAAAACTAAAAGCTTTAAGCAGACGATCACATTGAACTACAGGACGGCCTTTTTAATTGTCTTCCAAACCCAGAATTCAAAGACGTATGACGGACTGAATTTCGTTGAGCCATCCAGAATCACTAGTCGTATGTCATTCGAAATTAGACCACATATCTCCTTAAACTATCACCGCCACTCCTCGTTCTGTGTGTGTTCTCTGACGGCTGCATCCCTCGACGTCTCAACCCAATGGCAGCCCTCGATGAACTTCGTCTACACGTTTGTTTAGCAAAGAGGACTGCGTTCCTGTGCATGTCGATCCCTGATGCCCGTCCGACATTCCATAAATTTGATCCTTCGCACACTGCTAGTCTGTTAGGATTCAATTCCTTCGAGGGACACCCTGATACAAGGCCCAATACTTTCCTTCCCAATCGGCAACGCCCAGCAAGCTGTCTGAGTGTAGCCGATGCAGAGTCTTCGGACATGACCACTACCACTTTGAATGACCATTCTTGACATCATCCCATCGCGGGCATCTCAACCTCAGCACAGGTCCTTGTTTCAGGAAGATTGAGGACTGGAACCAGACTGGTGGGAGCATTTAAGGTCATCATGTTTAGCAAAATTGGAATTCGTTTAGGTCGATTCACGCTCTCGGAAGAAGGACCGTTACCCACAGTCGGTCTAGAATTCAAATCTCGCAAGTGACACGTTTCGAAGAGACATGAATCCCTGCACTTGTACCCCGACATATCCTCATGACACCGAATGTACCACCGACAAGTATGACTGAGGAGGAGGATGATGCGGGCTTGACGCTCGCTCGAATATAATCGTCAACGCCGCATATTTCGGAACGGAGGTCAACTGAGCCCAAAGACCCTGCAAATAGCAATGTGACGCCTAAACAGTATACAGCTCTACTAGACTACTGCTCAATCATGGGTTATGTATGCGCCTGCTGTGCGCTTACCTTTAAAAACTCGCTCGTTGGTCTCTTCTGAGTCATTGTTTTCCCTCGTTCGCTCTCTTGCAGAGTTTTTGGCATGTCTCGCCGCATTTTACTCACTACGAATTGTGAATATGGACAAGCGAATGTTGTTCTTGCTCTCGCATATGAGCTCGCCACACGACCCGGTGTCAAGGTTGCTATCGCGTCCTTCGCAGCTCTCGAGAAACGCGTTACTCAGTTGCAAATGCAACTACGAGACGCAGGTTACGATTCGTCCGATATTTCTTTCAGTCTACTCCCTGGCCGTGGACACATCGAAGCAGTTGGTATGACTAGGCTTGATACACCGCATGGGCCTGGCGTCAAGCAAGCTCTGCATAGCTTTCGCTATGCGCCGAGCATGCTGCTTCCGTGGACAGAGTCTGAATACATGGACCAGCTCATAACGATCGAAGATATTGTTCACAAGTTCGAACCGGAGGTAGTGGTGGTGGAGTGGTTCCACCGGGCTGGTCAAGATGTATGCAAAAAGCTTGGTTTGAAGTTCTTCGTGATCACACCGAATTCTCCGAAAGACATAATTGGCTTCCGACAGCCATGGGCTGCTGGTTTGTGGAAGTTCCCTGCGTATGTCAAGCTTTCCTTGCTGTATTATGTTGGTCGTTGGTAATTGATATCATCACTTCGACAGACTGTCTTCTGGATATGCATACCCCCTGCCATGGCCAAAGCTAATACCCAACATGTTTATCAACCTCATGTTAATCTCGGGCATTAAACTTTCCCCAATCGTCGACAAAGCTGACAAAATACGTAGAATCTATAACAAATCCCATTCACCTATTCTTGTAGATCCCGAGATCCAATATCTCTGCCCGTCTACTCCCGAGCTTGATTTCCCCGTCCTAATTCCTGAAAACCTCATGCTATGTGGACCTATTGTTATGCCCACAGCTCCCATTCAAATCGTTGATCCAGAGTTGACAGCTTGGTTAGATCAAGCACCAACTGTCCTGATCAATCTAGGCTCCCATGTTACTTTTGATCACTATGCCATTAGAGAACTCGCAGGTGGATTTTTGCCGCTCCTACAGAGTCACCCTAATATCCAGATACTGTGGAAACTTCGCCCTGAGGGCGATATCCAGAATGTCCTTGATGAATGTGTTGAAAACAACGCAGATGTCCGAGGGCGGGTTCAGGTCGTGCAATGGCTCCAACCGGAACCCTTTGCGATCCTCCAGCATCCAAATCTGATATGCTCCGTACATCATGGAGGCGCGAATTCATTCTTTGAAGCAGTGTCGTGAGTGCCTCTGTTTTTTCCTCCCGGATGTTTGACAACAAACTGATATCCGTTTGCTTTCGCAGAGCCGGCGTTCCTCAGATCATTCTCCCCGTATGGTACGACACGTACGATTACGCCACACGAGCTGAATGGCTCGGGATTGGGCTATGGGGAAGTCATCGCAGTGCCCCCAAAGTTGAAGCTTCAGAATTCGGAGAGGCTCTAATACGGGTGGCAGGTTTCAGTGCGGAGGCGGAGGGTTTCAGAATCAAAGCCCAGAGTTTGGCAGAGAGCTGTCGAACTCGATATACGGGAAGAGTTCGAGCTGCTGATGAAATTCTGAAATTGTGATATGTATAACCAGTATATTTATGGCTCAAGTTCGATGTATACACACTGTAGCATAGTTTTTGGGGTCTTCACGCTACTTGTTGCAGTTATTACCATTATATCCATATCTATTTTATTTCTGCATACTCATGCACATGCGCCACTTTCAGTGTGCGATCGTTCCCAAAGTATGTTCTGCGTGTTTCAGTTCCAGGGATTGGTCCTCAATCTACTTAAGGAACAATGTGCCGACCGAGATGCTCGTACACCACGGAAGAAAGGTAGTTTTACTACACAGTCGGTCCCTAGACAGAGCTCATACAGGACCATGCTTTTTGACAAGGTCGGCCAAAAACTGATACGATCCGAGAACTGCGAAAAAGGTTCCTGAATGGAGATGTGTGTTATTTTTTTTTCTTCAGCTACCGTACTTATAGTTCAACGTCAAATTCCTGATACATCCTCAGTTGATATCCCGACAGCTTCGAAGCTGTCCCTCGAAAGCTACCGGTCGGGGTTTATTTCAACTTGCACTTTCCTTGACATCCTTTAAATCCTTCGCAGCATTTAACCTTGCAATCGTCCGTTCATGCCCTAATGCACGCACGATATCAATGATGCCTGGTCCATCCTGGGTGCGTGTATATGTCAGCGAGGTGATACATATGAGAGAAGCACAATGGAAATGCACAACATACCTTCATCCCAGTCAACGCATGCCTCAACACACTCATAAACACCTTGAGATGCACGTCAAGTTTCTCCCGTTCGTGATGTAAGCTCTCCATGATGCTTTCATGAGACGCAGCTTGGAACGTAAACCATCCGTTGGTTTGTATGAGTGTGATGAACACGTCGAGTATTTGGATGCGTTGGTCTGCGGAGACTTTTCGGATCATGTTTTGAGCCTCTGCCGTGGCCCAGTCTGGGTCGACGAAGAGGTAGGGTGCGTGGAGAGGGATGTCGTAGATATTCGTTAGTCGGCCCTGCGTTGGGGGAAAATCATGCATCCGATCCAAGTAAAAGATCATGAACGCACGAACCTCGAGCAAAGTAATAGCGTTCTTGATATTATCCACCGTAGTATACGGGCTGTTGGATGTCATACAGATCTTCATCACCCTTAAACAGTGGAAACAACCAACCTCGACTTGAAGGCATCCTTAAGATGCCCATGCACTCGGTTCGCGAGCTTATCCAAGCCCTCTGGGGTGCTCCAAGTCCTCATCAAATGATGTTTGTTGATATATTCGAGCTTAGTTCCATCAAGGACGGAACTGCGATGTGTGAGTGCAGAGAGATCAAAGTCTGAGATCATCTCGTCTATTGTCATAAGGTGAGTGCTGTCGGGTGCGTCTTCGAGACGATGAGGTGATGATGGTCGTGAGGACGAAGAAGAATCTGTGTCGGACCCATCGGTTATGGGTGCAGTAGCTTCATGTTTGGCACCCCAGCCTGCAAGAGCGAGCCAATTCAATATAGCTTGTGGCTCCCAGCCTCGATGCTGGAAACAGAAGAAAGATGAGAAAGCATTTTGAATAAATCACTGAAGATCGAGATACCATGTAATCCACAACCTGTACATCTCCACTCCTCTTCGACATCTTCGTCCTGTCAGGATTCAATAGAATAGGTATATGAGCGAATTGAGGTGGAGTAAGGTTGAGGTGGGTGTATAGGTCGAGATGTAGTGGCAGCGATGGGAGCCATTCCTGATTATCGAATGAACAAAAAGAAAAGTGGGAAACAATTTGAAAACGCTTGAAGTAGTTGGGGAGGTCAACAAGCGCACCTCTCCTCGTAAAACATGCGTGATACCCATTTCATGATCGTCCACGACTGAGGCAAGGTGGTAAGTCGGAAATAGGTCGCTCTTCAACAATACTGGGTCTGTAGCTAAGGAAAGATGAGCATCTCGCACATAACCGTAAACGATATCGTGAGTTGGAGGACGCGTAGGAATTATTCCGTCCTTTACAAAAAGTTAAAGGCAGTTCCTCAAATTTGAAAAATGTCAACGCACATTAATCCTCACAACAAACTTTTCCCCAGCCTTCACTTTCCGCGCAACTTCCTCGTCACTGAGGTGAAGACACCTCTTGTCGTAGGTATTGTTGGACCCAGATCGAGCTAGACGCGTTTTCACGTCTGCTAATTCGTCTGCTGAGCAGAAACATCGATAAGCCTGCCCTTTCTGTGTTCTGGGTAAGTTTTTTCCCTGTCTTGAAAGCATTTGGTGTAACATACATCTATCAGTTTGTTCGCATATAAGCGATACAAGTCGCGTCGTTCTGACTGGATGGAGGGTGTAAGACGGGATATTTAGAAATAGAGACAATGTTACTTGGAAATAAGGTCCATGCGGCCCCTCTTTTTCTGGACCTATAGAGATTGAATATGTTGAGCCTCCTTTCCAAAGCATCATAAACACACCGTAGTCATAATCCAGCCCAGCCCAGCTAAGAGCCTTTCTGATACCTTCCACAGATCCAGGGACTGAACGGGTCTGGAAAATCCTGAATTAGTATTACGTGCAGATAAAGATAGGTCTAAACTCACAGTATCCGTGTCCTCAATCCTTAATATCCATTTCCCCCCAAACTTCCGCGCGTACAAGTAGTTGTACAGCGCCATACGAAGCCCCCCAAGATGCAGGGGCCCTGTGGGCGACGGGGCAAAACGTAGAAGCACCATGTAGTAGTGGACTGTGGAAATGTATTAACCATATGCGAGGTGGGATAATTTATTAAAGTGCAAATGTTAGCTATAATAAGTAAATTGGGGAAAATAATTCTATCCGATATGGTGTAGTGGCTAACATTATCGCCTCTCATAAAGTATGTTTCGCGATAGCCCGGGGTTCGATTCCCCGTGTCGGAATTAAATTTTGCTCAGTATTCTTTTGGGAAACACTCATGATGAGCCTGAAGAACAGGAGGTGCGCCGCAGTGCTCTCTTTGCTGTTTATGTGGGCTCTAGTTAGCCCTGGTTGGCTCCCAAGTTAATAATTCCCTAGACCAAAGTCCGTATCGAAGTTACTGGAGAGGAATTTACCTGGCGACGTACTACTAGTAATAGATAGACTGTCAGGGCATTTACACAAACGACCCATCAGAGCAAACCATTCTCCCCCGTTCCAACTTGTCCTAAGCCAGTCAGATGTCTTTGATTGACAAGGTATAAGCTTTTCCTTCATTCGGAGGCGGAACCTCCGTTTGAGGATATCCTTTTACAGCTTTAATCCTGGCTTTCAGCACCTCCCACCTACTCAAGTCGTATTTTGTGGTATCCAGCGCTTCGATCTTCACCATGTATTGCAACATGAGATCGTAATAGTCACACTCATTCTCCACCTTTAAATCTTTCATTTCAAGCACTTTGGGTACCTTTTCAAGAAAATCCTCTTCGTTGCGAAAGACGTTGAACGATTCCTCTTTTGATTTCAAGGAACCAAAGTCGACCTTGATATTTAAATCCACCAAAGATCTAGCCTTCATTTTGACCCAAGGGCCTTTGCTGGAAATTGCTTCATGAGGCATGTATTCGGGCGGTGAGAGGTCCATTTTTGCAGGCTGTGTGTACCAAGGCATCAAGTCTTCATCGCCTGGTATTGATGCCGGACTAATGCGCGCTGTGAAGCCATCGTGGGTTCCGATGAACAAGACAATTTTGTCATCCTTTTCGAGCGGAGACCACAGTGTATAATTATACTTCTTGCTCTGTCGAAGCTTGGCAATGCGTCCAAGCCAGATTTTGAGGCCATTATATTGTACTATGATGCGTTTAATTGATATGTGGTTGTTAGCTTTGTGAGGTATATGAAGAGTTGAATTCATGACTTACCCGTAGGTTTTTTGTTTTCAGGCACGATCCCGGGTATGGGATTGGGCCGGGCGAGCATAGTAGCATTCAGGAGAACAATGGCGAACAGGAGATACACAACGAACGGTCGACTGAATGGCGACAGTGACAGATGAGTGCAACGGAAGAACATGACAATGGAGACTGAAGATAGGCGTGAAGCAACAAAGGGCTGGAGTATGAGACGGCGGGCTTCAAGTCTCGCACTATATAACAGCACAGTATTTAATATGTGAATCTCCTTCGATCGACAAAAATTACTGACCGTAGAATGATCCAGTCGGATCCAGCGACAAAAAGATTTGACCAGCAAAATCTATGGTTTCCCTTCCAAGGCGAGAAAGGATAAATATCAGCTGGATTGTAAACGATAAAATCAACATCGTTCGGGTAAAAATTTGGTGAAGAGGGACAATGTACCGGGAGTGTTGATGACTCGGAATCCTGAACGAGGAGAACCCCAGTGCGCGACCTAAGTGCATATATATATGCACGTTTGACAAGATCCGAGGCAAAATTGCCGCTACATAAGTACGCGAGCGGCGGGCCCGACAAGATGCTGTACTGTGTAGGCGCACGTTCACTATCCAATTTCGAAAGGACTTACACAGGGAAATTCAAGGATAGGGTTGTGATGAGCAGAATCTTCATAAGCCTCTCAAGGGAAACGTCATCTGAACATTTGAGCAAGGTCTACCAGATCCTTTCGACTCTCGTTTACCAAAGACTACGACTCGATCTCATTCTGGGTCAAAACTGGATTGGTTGTCGGGCGCTAAGAGTAGCTAAGAGTACTCCGCTACGCCGCGTGAGAATCAAGGCCTAAGGATTGGTCCACTGGACCACACAGGGCCACAGCTCATCCCATGTAGGCATGTACAGGAAAATGCCTATTTTCTTTCCTTTCCTATGCATCTAACAAGTATACACTTGTATACCCAAATGAGTGTTCAATTTGACGCTATTCATATCTGCCCTCAGCTTATGTGCCCCGACGGGCATGTTCAATGCTGGGTCAATGCTGGGTCAATGACCCGTCGGTAGTACTTAGAGTTGTTTGTTTCGACTTCGAGTTGCCCTTTTTCTCACTTCTTTCCTATCTATTGCCTTAGAATCTCTGCTGGCCAGAATCTGTTCCACAATCTATCCAACACACCAAACTTTTCCATCTCTTCCATCTAATTTCTCACTTCCTTTCCGCCTTAGAATTTCTGCTGGTCAGAATTCGCTCCAACATACATCGAACCTCCTAACTCTTCTTCCAGGCCATATTTAGGAACTATCGATGCATTTCTGTTCTCCCTTCCTGAATCTCATCTTCTGGGCTTCCTTGCTCCTCGCCGCTGGTGCCATACCCTACGACAGATCAAAGCAGGACGTTTATCGGCCGGATCCTGATTTGGGTACTTCAGCACTCAGAGACTCTGTGGTGCCAGTGCTGCAGCTTCGCTCTTCGGGAGTACACTCTCTAGAAAGAAGGAAAGAATCCAATGTTGCGGCCCAAGAATTCGCGAATAAATGGTTTGGTCAACTCCATGTACGTCCCTTTTTCCCCATGCATTCTCCAGCGAATTTCAAACAAACCTCGATAGGATGAGGATTGGATTGATTATTCCTTCAACTCGAAATGCGTCGGGTACGATAAAAACGAGGAAACCTTCATGCGTGCGTGCGATACTGTTGATCCTTTACGTTCTACATGATGATCAGTCTATGCACTAGGCAACAACCTAACAACTAAAGTAGCTGACCGTAAGCTCCTCGCAAGTAACGGCAGTTACAACAAGGGTATCTTTACCCTACCAAATCTCAGGGATAGTGTTGTAAAACTGGTGAGACTCACTGGCCTGTGCCATGAAACAGCATCTTGCGAAATAGTATCGCTCAAAGCTTTTGGACAACACGTTACGAGCGGATTCGTGACGTTGCCGGAAGAAAACGCCGGCGTAATCATCATGAAGAAGGTTGAAGGAATATCTTTCTTGGAAAGCTCAAAGTGGAGTAATACATTGGATGAAGCGCAAAAGCTAAATGCTCTCAATGCACTCAAACGTGAGGTTCAGGAAATGATCTATAATCTTCTACGTGAAGGAAAGCCTCTTTTTTCGTGAGTTTATCCGCTATATTTGCCAACGTCAACCTTGTTCACGATCTATACATTAGAGACTTTCAAAATGGTAACATCCTCATTGATGCAGAGGAGAAAGCTCATTTGGTCGATTTTGGCTTTCCGGGGGTTTGGCCAGTAAAAATGGTCCCAGAAAGAAACGTTTTTGTGAGTCATGAAACAACGATTTTGTGAAATGTTGGCGTTGACACGTCTCGTATCATAGAACAAGTGGTTCGAAAGACGATGGTACTTTTTGTGGCAGTCCGCCTACGTACAGTTGGGATACCCGGTACCTGTCTTTTACCAGCCAAAGGCGGAGGGACCTATCAGTAAAAAGAAACACTGGTCCAAAAGTATACTGACAAAACTCGGATTTGGTAGAGAGAAGCAGAAGGGAAAACGAGGATCTTTTGCCATTGATCGATGAGTAGGACAAAGGTCCAGCTTATGTACGTGTAGTGGTAGGTCGTGGTACATCATCAATGCAGGAATTCTTCGAACCTACTTTAAGCGTCTCAGTTTCGCATGACGGCTGTAAAAATCAGTTCTGTGAGCCCTTTCAATCATAATCTCATATGAATTCCCCGTACAGAAGGGAATCATCAATCCTTTGACTTCGTTGAAAAAACTTCCTCATTCCAACATTTCAGGTATTCCGATTAGCACTCATCTGCATCTAACACTTGTCTATGATCTTTTTCATTTTTGATTATTTGAGGGTGCGCTTTCGGTGCTCAGTGACTGTTTTCTGAAGGGAAGAACTTTGATATCCAAAGACGAGCTTTCCCCGCTGTGTACGACCACAAAACGTGCTCTTCATGATGTTTTCATTGTGAACAATTACGTTTTGCACACCTTTTTGTAGTAAGCAATGAACGGAGCCGTATCCTCTGTGCGGCCCGTAATGACATCAGCCGCTTTGGCTAAAAAAGCTGAATGGGTTCACTCCCCTGTCTGACACTGCATCTCATCATCATCGATCTTTATTTTTCTTTCACCACATCTACCATTATCGAGTTTCTACTTCAGTTATCACCATTCAACATATCCAATCCAAGTACAAAACAAATTTGACAACCTCGTGCTGGCCATATTCCTGCCATGATGGGTCTCTTCAGTCAAGCCGGCTCTCATTTCCGAAATGTTGCAGGCAGTAACACGAAGCCTCGAGGCTCTTCAGAAGATGACAGGGCTCCTTCGGACACCGAGCCTGATGATACTTCGATCCTGTTCGTCTTAGCATCCTCCGCAGCACAATGTTTCTTTCAAAGACTGATTTTTGTGGTGACAGCGATGAGAATGAAGGAAGCATCATTTCTTCGATGATTTCCCAACTCAGGTGAGTTGCTGAATCATGGTGTGTTATACTATCCGTTGATGATTCTACCTTAGAGTTGGGATGGACCTTTCTCGTGTCACTTTTCCAACTTTCGTGTTGGAACCAAGGAGTATGCTCGAAAGAATTACGGATTTCATGGCACATCCGGACCTCATATTCGGGTGCGTTTCGATTTCTTTGCACAGTCAACAGCTATAAGCTTAATGTCCGTAATCCGTACAGCGCTGAAGAATGTGATGACCCCGAAGAACGATTCCTGCGAGTCCTTCAATACTACTTGGCAGGATGGCACATCAAGCCTAAAGGTGTCAAGAAACCTTACAATCCTGTACTTGGCGAATTTTTCCGGTGTCAATACGATTACCCCAACAACACACAAGGATTCTATATCGCCGAACAAGTTTCACATCATCCACCAGTATCTGCTTTCTTCTACATCTCTCCCGAAAATCGCCTCATGATTCTTGGAGAACTCCGTCCCAAATCAAAGTTTCTTGGTAATAGTGTCAGTACAACAATGGAGGGCGAGAATAGAGTCACACTGCTCGGCAAACCGGAGGACGGAGGTACGTGCTGGTCTCCACTTCGTCGATTCATCTAATTCTCGAATAGAATATGTCATTACAATGCCGAATATGTACGCTCGAGGGATACTGTTCGGCAAGATGGTGCTGGAGCTGGGGGATACCTGCATAGCCAAGAATGAGAAGAATGGCATTTACTGCGACCTTGAGTTCAAGACAAAGGTTTGTGTCCTCACTATGTTATCCAATAAAACTAGATTTTTATGAAACCCACATTATTACTTACATACATGCACCGCAGGGTTTCTTTTCAGGAACTTACAATGCGATTGCTGGTCGGATCCGGCATAAGAACAATGACGTCGGGGAATTATCTGGGCGATGGAGTCATGTCATGGATTACAAGAATACCAAGGTGCGCGAAGGAATTTGCTTGGAATCGTCAAAGACCTGGTTATGGACTTGCTCCGCTAGACTGGTGCCAAACGGGTGATATTCGACGCGGTTAAAGACGGACAAGCCGTATCACCGAAGTGGGTTCCACCTGAAGATCAACAAGAGCCTAATGAGTCTAGGAGGTGCTTTCAAATTCTACTCTTTGTCGTACCTGCTCAAGTGAATTATAGATTATGGACCCAGCTGACACAAGCGATCATCGCCAAGGATATGGAGGCTGCTACGGACGCCAAATCCGCAGTGGAAGATGCACAGCGAGAGTCACGTAAGAAGCTAGATGAGAGTGGTAAAGCACATGTGCCGCGTTTCTTTGTGCAGAAGGACGGTAGATGGGTACCAAAGCTTCAGTGCGTATTCCTACTCAATGAATCTCCGTTCCCTGTTGACTTTGCATGATTTATCAGAATCCCCGAAGATCCCAAGGAAGCCACCGCCGCTGTACGGCAGTGGATTTTTGGATCCATTACCCGGCCTGACGAAAAAGCATCCACTTAGACCTTCACTATTGGAATTTGTAGGATAGGGACGTTGGTGCAAACATAATTAACATACTCCTGACACTCAACTCATCTGTTGTCATTTACTTATTTATTCGACTTACTTCTGTATCTTACACGCTAATCATTTTCATTATTTCTTGGGGAAGCACTATAGAGCTGACCCATTCACCAGCCTTTCTTGGTAATGTATGCAAGTGTATCATCCGTCATTTTTTTCATAGTCCTGTATTCAAGACCAAGAATGCTGTGTTCCTTTGCCGTGTTGAAGGTGTTCCCGATAGAGTGAATCTTCGGGTCAATCCCTTGGGATATATCACCTGCATAAGTAGAGACAAAGTCAACGTTCATTGTGAAAGCAAAAGTGAACCTTGAGATTGAAGTACTCACAGAAATCCTGCCATACCCAAGGCGATCCAGCACAAACGATTATCCGTTCACCACCAGCAGTGGGTTCCTCTAACGCCCGCGCATGAGCCTCGGCGGCATCACGTACGTCGATCCACCCATGAGCAGGATCGGTTTCTGGGTTTGCCCCAAAGAAGTTTCCTTCAAAAACCGCTTTGTACCAGTACATGTTGGATGAGTTCAAAGTTTCAACCGAGGTCACTTCTTGAAGAGGAGGCTATGTGAAAAGAACATACATAAAAGATTATCAGGAAAGACGAGTCTCAGCCAATGGATACGAAGACATACACCGAAAATCCAAGGCGGGGTGATGACTACGAAATCCCATTTGATTTCCGATGCATGCTCTGCTACGAACTCCCATGCACCTACAAGTGCGCGAAGAAGGTTGTTTTAGTTTGTAGAATCAAACCAACACTCGTAAGCTCCCGCCTCACGTTTTTCGGCAATAGTTTTGGATGCAGAATACATGTCAAGCGGATGGGCGTTCTTTCCCTTCTCCTCACATTCGACAATTGAGGATTCATTCCAACTTGTCTCGTCAATATTAGTCCTTGTTTCTTGTCGTTCTTTGACCGCTGCACAGGAAGAGGTGACTATGATACGCTTTACGGATACTCTGTCGGAAGCCGAAGCCTTGTTAGAGCAATAATCGATGACCTTGGAAGCGACATACCCGAATTTTAAAGCACTTTTGAGAATCCCAAGAGTACCATTGACGGCAGGTTCGATGATTTCTTTGGAATAAAACAAGAATTAGATACTTGTAATATTTATACACGCTAATGTCAACCTACCACTGGGTTCACCACTCCCCAAGTGCACGGGAGAAGCGGTATGAATAATTCCATCCACATCTTTGACAGCATCGTCGAAAGCGGTTTCCTGAAGCAGATTGAGAGATTCAAATTTAGTTACAGTAGCAATGGACTGACCTTTGCGATGTCCCCAACAGCAACTACCTGAATCTTTCCAGTTTCGCTGTATGACTTGAACTGCTCTAGGATATATTGGCCTTTGACTTCCGTACGCACGGCCGCACGGACGGTGTAGCCTCGTTTGAGGAGTGTATCAATGACCCATGAAGCGACAAAACCATTAGCTCCGGTGACGAGGATAGTATTGTTCTTGGTGGTAAGAGCAGGCATGGGAGAGGGAATAAAACGAATTCAAGCCACAGATGGATTTCTCTTAAACACAACGCATTCATCCAGGGCCGTACTTAAAATGCGAAGACTTTCAAATGCACTTGGTAACCATTCATCAGCATCTGTTCCAATGTTGACTAGTTTTCAATATGTATGCTCCAAAACGTCGATAGACGTACTCACTGTCATTTCTCACCCAGCACAAAATCCGCAAACAACGAGAAACCGAAAGGAATGCGTAATCCACTATTGACAAGGACGGAATCAGCACGGAAGAGTTCTGAGAGTGCAAAGGTCGCTGACAAAATGAGCAGTTCAAAGATAGAATCAGCGCCGGACCCGAACCTATCCGAACATGGCCGTGTGGTTTCTGGAAGGTGTTATCAGTTTATTTAATTGATAATCCGAGGTTTGGTAGAGCCATGAACATAGATATATGGGCTTGGATATCACTCTGACTGAAGTTCTACATTGAAAAAGAGTCATACAAGGATACGATAAGAAGGACAAAAAGAAGAGTGAACCTCCGATTCTGCCAATCCCTTGTGACAAGCTTGTCTCGACCCGGGACAGAATGCGAATATGAGAAACCTAAGCCCAACACCCGATCATACTGTACTACATAGAGTTTAGAAGCTGCAGCAGACAAAAAGATATTGAATAGATGTAGATACAAAGCCTCATTACGATCCGGTACAATGTTCATTGTATTTTGGTTGTATCCAAACTCTCCAGAAGTCTTCCAGAAAAGAAATCAGATGAGGGCAGAACCTCGCAGTCGGCACTGTTGAATAGACAGATTGGCATTGCCAGCGTTCATCTTTATTTTTTACAAACCCGATTCTGGTCCAGACAGTTCAGGATTATCTAACCTCTACGCATGTTACAGGATCCAGCATGCTCTCATTTATCAGAGAGCAAAGTACGGATGGTTTGGTTCCTCACACCCTTCAAAAATTGCACCAGATCTGTCCCACCAGTGCCAGTGATCCCCACTGTCGCATCGTCTGTCACCTGCGTATGTGTTGCTTTTGGGACTGTCTGAACGATATTGGGAACTTTTGGACCCGCTTGCGCCTCTGTCTCTGAAATCGATGTTACCAAAGAAGTAGCAGCGACTTCCGCCGCTCTCCTCGCTGGGCCTATGATATATAATGTCGCAATGATCATATGCGAGTCCCGGAATTCCTTCAACGACATGACAGCGTGATTATATGCCTCTTTCAAAGCCAAAGCTCCATCGTTTGTATCCATTGAAGAAGCAGACATAACAAACTCTCGTAACGGACGAGGGTTCTTCGCTAGGTGGTTTAAAAACTGCCGATGTTGGCGAGGCATATATCGCTGCATTCGTTTCATGAATGAAGGAGAATTCGGACGCTCGTGGTTGACACCTAAAAAGACGTCCAGTGCATGGATAAGTGAACTTTGTCCGGCACTTGCACCCGAAAGCTCTCTGTCGGGAGGTAACATGTTTAGATCTGTGTAGTCCCCTGCACCCTCAAATATCCATCGGCGCTTTTGTCCTGACCCCGGATCCAGATAGGTATCTGAGTCCTCTCCTCTGAACCATGGACGGACAACGTTGTAGTATATTTCAGGATCACATTCCTTTCTGACGTCAAGGAGGAGTGACTTGAGTTCGCCAATGATAGTGGAAAGTGAGATAAGGTACGTGGTGAGACGGGCAACGGCGAGAGCATCTCCGACGAAAATTTCATCCATGCTTGAGCGCATGATATTTAGTGCTCGAACACCGTGAAGTTCGATACGAGCTGAGCAGAGGTAAAAGGCAGATTCGTCGGGGGTATCAGTAAAAAGGGTTTGACATCGGATGGCGTCTGGATTGAGTGATTTGAGGGAATCGGTATCAGAAGAAGACACGGTTAAACACCAGTTATACAGAACAGTGTCAGAGAATGTGACGACGGGAGGCAAATCTAGAACCTTCGCGACTTGAAGAAGCGGTATTGATATTGGCTGTGGTATCACCACCGGAGAATTGGGAGGCAGAGTATGAATGTAAAAGTGCATAAGGAAAGTTAGCACTAAATGCGCACGACGAAGGAGTTCCTGAGATGTTTCTAAATCATCTATAGGCAATAAAGGTATCTATGAAAAGGTTAGCTTGTAAAGTTTACCACGTACTTGCGTGGTACTTACCTGACGAAGACTATTTCGCCATCGTTCAGAGCGCGCCATTTCCGCAAATGATAGCCCCGATTTATCCCCAGGTTGGAGGTGTTCGTGCCGGGCATCATCTAAAAGCTCCTCCCATACTTCCCAGAGTGCTGGTAAACGACCAACAGGCGGCCGAAGAGGCATAAACCCCGTCCGTGAATCCACGCCGAAAACCTCGAATTCGAGCGCGTTCAGATTTGCATGGGAGGTATCGAAAACCATTGGTGACCGAGAAGGGAAGGGTTGATAGTTGAGCAGAACAGGGAGAGATATTTCAACGATTTGGAGTTGCACAGGCGGAAATAAACCCTATTTATCGGTTTCAGTGACCTTCGGGTCTTACCCGATGGTTGCGATTCCATCCCTCGAAACCAAACGGAGATCAAACCCCTTTCTTTCCGCGGCCGCGAGCATGTCGGTGTCGGTGTCGAATGGTTGGCTCCATTGACCGTGGTAATCCAAGATGTAGGCAGTCAATTATGAAGGTAGACATTGAAGTAGTCCGCGACTTGACGGCGTTCAAGACGCAATGACTAGACCTGGCTGTTCCTAAATACTTGGTCATCAAAGCTTTGGGAACGAATTGGGAGATGGCCGGCAGCATCCATGACGCAAGTATGTCGAGTTGATGAGTAAAGGTAATTGCTGAGTGGCACGGCACTGCAAAAAAAACCGCCGCGAAACTAGAGGAGAGCCCATCGAAAGTTTATAGAGGTCCATAGAATGCAATTTCGGGAGGGCTAGCTAAAGCTAACATTATAGCTTGTACTAGTTGTAGCTTGATTGTGAGTCGAGAACTTGCTCTTGCTAGAAAGATTAACGCAATAGGTACATAAGCAGAAGATGTGACTCTATATATCTTACCTGAGCGTGCACAATTGAGTATCGCAACAACAAAAGGTCGCGGGTAGTTTCTACATACAACCGACCTTCGCTCTCCTGGCATAACGCAATTTTTTTCGCAGATATCGCGTAAGATACTGACATTGAATGCAATAAGTTCCAGTCGAGATTCATGAGTATAGATAGATACGCGGCTCCGTCCGAAAGTTGGATGGGGAAGAAGGGATGATCCAGGCGCTTACAATTAGGCGCGCAGGTTGCTTCAGAATCGTGTTGGACAACAATATCTTTCTTTCGTTCTGCATGCCTGGGCTGTCCCAGGGTGTCCAGTCAGTGTTCAGTGGTCGATATCCTCGGCGAGGTCCCATCTATAATGTGATTCCATCAATACCCCAGGCACCCTGCAAACAATTCATTTCCCCAAACAAAAGTGCTTCCATTCTCAGTCTCACTGTCACTTGCATCTTTCAACACCTTGTCTGCTTTCTTTCTAGATCTTTCTCGTCAAGCTTGAAGGAAGAATCATAAAAAGCGAAAGATTCGCGAGTAGCCATGATCATGACTCTGGTTAAAAAAAGTGTTGTGACGATTTGCTTGGGGTTGGCTTTGGAATTCGGTGCATTCAAGATGTGATGATCATGCGCATCGAATACTCATCACTTGTTCTATCTAGGTTGTATTTCTGCTCTTCCGCAACAGGCTAGCGTTAGCCTCTTCGAGTTCCTTCCTTCAGGCGAATCCAATAACGTCGTGCAAGGGACAGAATGGGCACAACCTATCGGGACGGCTAGTGATGGCTCAGAAACCACGTTCATAGTAGAAAATATTCAGTCTACCTCCGGCCTCGTCTCTTCCAACGGCGCAATCGTACTTACTACAGTCACTGAGACGGCCATAGGTGTGTAAATTATATTTACGTTTTGCCCTAGTCATGATATATCCTTACAGAAACTATCGTCGTCTCCGCTTCCGGCTGGGCTGAATCCAATTTCCCTACCACCACTGCTCCTGACTCGTCTCAACTCGGCGGAGGTCTTGATTGCCACTTTACAGCATCCGCGAGTGGTGAATGTGTCGAAGAGGAAGTTCTTGATGACGGATCTACCTCCACACGAACGCTCAGTGGAAGCGTGACAGCCGAAATCCTTGCCATCTCTACTGGGACCTTGCCCAGTGGTGTGGGTGTGAGTGCAATCACGTCTGGTAGTCAACAGTCCACAATCACGGTCGTATCTACGACGAGCTCAAACGTCCAGAGCACAATCACCTTCCTGTCTCCCTCGTCCAGCTCCACTTCGGCCTCGACCTTAGGATCTCCATCTGCTTCGGCTTCATCTAATACTTCATCCTCTGTGCACAAAGGACTTGGCACTGGTATACTCGCAGTTATTGTTGGTGGGATAATGCTTGGTGCTTCGGCCGCGCTCTTCTGAATAACTGCACAATATATAACGATCTGTTTGGGACGAATTTCTATTCTAACTTGGTTGGTATGAACTTTATGGTGTGATATTCTTCGCAAGATAAATCAGTGTATGTACAGTAAACCTTTACTCATTTTCATTTTACACTTGTTCCGAATCTGCACAGTATTTTTATGTTAAAAAACTGGCTGGTTTAGCAGCTGGTACTATGGTCCAGTTGGCTTAGTCACCACTAGTTTTGAACAAGCGGACTGACACACTCAAATTTCAGTATTTTTCTTATCTCTCTTACAGAAAGGCTTATAATAGATACAGAAAGAGAACTGTAAGAGCAATTTCTCTCAAAGTAAAAATTGCCAAAGTAAGCTACACAGGGGACAAAGTTGATGAAAATTTGGATAGAATCAAGGAAATGTGTCTCACATCATACTTGCAGATAGATTCACTCAATAAAGGTTCACTTTTAAAATTGGGCAACCTGATTGGTTTTAGAATGAGGATAGAATGAGGATAGATAGATACCAAAATTGAGAATTTTTCTAGAATTGTCCCGGATTCGAACCCCGGTTCCATCCATTCAATTCTTTGGGGTTCTCCGAAATAAGCCGAGTGAAAATTATTGCAAAAAAAACATTCGACTTGAGTATGCTATTACAGTCATTCCCACGTCCTTTGAACAGTGAAATTTAGTTACACTTCGGAATCGATGGTTGCCGGTTCAACAAAGTATCCAAGCTGATAGAAAGTGAATACATAGCTCAATGAACATTCTAAATGCTTTATGTCTATGGATTTGGGAGAGTATTGTGTGCGATGAAAGCTATCAGTTCAAAATTCTCTTATCAGTGCATTTGGGTTCCTTTGAACAGTCGTCACATTGGCTGTGATTCCATTCATAAGATCATGTGCTTAAGGTCCTTTTTAATTGGCATGCTCCTTTAGGAAGGCGTGATTGTGACACGCAAACGCTGGAAATTCTCTGTTTTCATCTTCGAGAGGGTATAATTACATGCATATTACATGCTGTACTTTTATTAGTGTTGAGTTGGGTACACATAGCCTACATTTTACCACAGATGCAAATTTCTTGACCCCATTGCTTATTCCATGTCGTTGGATTCTTCTTTAAGATTGACTGACAGTCCATTTTACTGTAAGTTGGTCAATTTTGACAGACCTTTGTAATTATCTGTCTACCTAGGTATTGGATATTCAAGGTATACATCATTTACACAGAATAACCACAAGTCCGAGGGCAGATTGTATGGTTTTTGCTCATTCCGAAGCCACTGTTTAAAGGAGGTAGGATGTTCAAAGGACGTGGGAATGACTGTACATACAGTGTACTCTAACCTGTAAACAACCTTGTTGCATGACCCATCAAGCCTAAGTGTATATCTATTACTCCACCCAACCACTACAGTCCAGACTCAAGGAAATCGAAATAAAATAGGCAGTGCGAAAAAATCTCAGGCATAGCAGTGTCGGTCTTCTAGGAATTGCAGTCTTGCACATCCATCTCCTTGACATACTTGAATTGATTGCAGCCTTGAAGTAGAATCTTGCAATCTTGTACAACGTTGAGTATTGTTTAGAGTTGAGGTTGATGTTAAGCCAAAAGTGGGTTCATTGAAGGAGGAAGAGGAGAATAACAAAACGAAACAAAATATCCTGAAGTCCGACCTGCCCTGCAATACATCAGCCAATTAGGAGCAAACAAGATGTCATGTGTAATATTTTTAAACCAAAGAATGGATAAATTCATACCAAATGGAGAGAAGTTAGATGGAGGATGCATTTGAGGTTTGTAATTATGGAGTCTCGACAAAAAGATGGAATAAAACTATCACAGGTTCCAAAATTATAACATAACCTTTGATTATGATCAGATATTGGATCGAGGCTATCCGGCAACCAAGTCCTGAAGGATAAATTTAATGGTAAAAACCAGGTTTGGATATACTCTAATCTTCAGCTGCGCCTGTGTACACACGAATGGCACACTTCCCAATTGGGAAGTGATTAGGGTTAGGGTTACCACTCTACTGCACTAAGGGTCAGCTAAGGGTGTCTCAATGTCAGCTCAATGCTCCCTTTTGTCCATTCTGATAACAGGATATATCATCTACACATTGCATCAGGGTGCCAGGGACTCTAGAATACATCAATGAGCTTTATTCCTCTCGGAAATGCACATAAAAACACCTAAATCGCATCTATAATTTTCAAAATTTTTTCCAAACCCCGAATGGCGCCTGTCCCAAATAGGTGGTGACTAAGCCAACTGGACCATAAGAACTCTGAATTTGGTCGACTTGAATATAAGCGCAGATGCATGGGCGCTCAAATTCAAATCTCAGTCAGGCTCGGACCGAGCTCCGACCCGCGAAATTTTTGCACCCTCACTGCCATGGCCGTAGATCCTGAAGGTGAATTTTGCACCTTGAAGACATAGAGCCCCGAACTCACATGCATTCGGTGCTAGATGTCGCTTCTGCACCTATTGAGAAGAAGTCAAAAAAGGACAAGAAGGTCAAAAAGAAGAGTAAATCTGTGCCCGTTGATCCTGAGTCTGTCGTGCCAATAGAACCTGCGCAGATAGTCTCCGACAATGGTGACTATGAGAAACCCACAAAAAAGAAGACCAAAAAGCGCAAACATGCAGATCTAGAGCTAGAAGCTGCAGCTGAAAAGGATGTTCAGATGGATGTAGATGCAGATCCTGGTACGATTTTCGTTGTATTCTGCATCTTGAATAGTATGTTTTTACATTCGCTCACAGCTCCAGAAGTGTCGGAAAAGAGAAAGAAGAAGAAAAAGAAGCACTCTGATGAAGGTCAGGACATTGCAGCTGACATTGTTGAACCGATGGAGGGTAAAAAGGAGAAGAAGAAGAAAGAGAAGAAGGACAAGGTTGTAGAAAGTGAATTTACGGACCAGAAAAATGTCAAGTCGGAGAAAAAGGATAAGAAACGGAAGGACAAGCAACCTGCCGAAAATGTTGTCTCTCAGTCAGGGCCCTCGAATGAATCTTCTACCGCTTCCTCGTCCACCCCAGCAGAGATTTCTGCTTTCCTTACTAAACACAACATCACCATCCATGTTCCTTCTTCGTCTCCACCCGTGACACCATTTATCCATTTCTCTCAACTTCCTATACCTGACCCCCTTCGAACCTTCTCAGCCAAGTTCAAGGAGCCTTCTCCTGTTCAAGCATGTACCTGGCCTCCGGCTTTGGAAGGCAAGGACGTTGTTGGCATAGCAGAAACAGGTAGTGGGAAAACTCTTGCGTTTGGTGTTCCTGCCTTAGCCCGTCTTATATCTTCTCCGCCCCCTCCACCGTCAAAGTCTAGTCCGACAATAACAACGCTGGTTCTTGCCCCTACTCGGGAGTTGGCCTTACAGACGCATGAAGCACTCGAGGGTCTAGGAGAACAGTTTGGTATCGCTAGCGTCGCAGTGTTCGGTGGTGTCCCGAAGGAGGGTCAAGTAAAGATGCTGAAAAACTTGCACAAGGCCAATAGTAAGCTGGTCACCAGGATCATCGTTGGTACACCTGGACGAATACTGGACTTGATGAGTGAAGGCGCCTGCGATCTAAGCGGGTGAGCACATACACCGTTTGTTCTGAATTGAGTTCATATTAACAACCTTTTAGAGTTAACTTCCTTGTTTTGGACGAAGCCGATCGTATGCTCGACAAAGGATTCGAAAATGACATTCGCAAAATCATCTCACAAACAAAACCCCAAAAGGAGAGGCAAACTCTCATGTGTGAGTTACTCAATTCTCAATTACGTATATAAACCAACTTTGCTCTCATAGTCAGTGCTACTTGGCCAGAAGCTGTTCGTAAACTCGCTAGTACATTTCAGAACGACCCGGTGCGAGTGACAGTCGGTAGCGATGATCTTACAGCGAACAGTCGTGTTGAGCAGGTCGTTGAAGTGTTAGATGACAGTCGGGGTAAAGAGTGCGTTCAGATCGCTACTGATCGAAGCCCTTCGTATTCAAAGATTGCGATCTCAAATTCACAGTTCACGTCTCCTCAAACACCTCCGTGCGCTCGGTCACAAGAAGGCCTCAACAGATACCGATTCACGTATCCTGGTATTCGCGCTGTATAAAGCTGAGGCATCCCGGGTTGAGGGCATGCTCCGACGAGAGGGATACTCTGTGGGAGCACTTCACGGTGATCTATCACAAAATAACCGGCTCCAAGCGTTGGAAGAATTCAAGTCTGGAAAGACTGGATTACTAGTCGCGACCGACGTCGCTGCTCGAGGCTTAGATATACCTAATGTTGGCGCGGTCATTAACTATACATTCCCTTTAACCATCGAGGACTATATCCATCGTATCGGAAGAACTGGTACGTGATCTCGTTCATGATCATACGCGTTTCTAACTAACGTGTTTCTTGTTCAGGACGAGGAGGGAAATTCGGAAAATCCATTACGTTTTTCACTGGCGAAAATCAGGAACGAGGCCTTGCTGGCGAACTTAGTAGGGTTCTCAACGACAGCGGTTTCTCATGTCCTGAATTGAAGAAATTTCCTATGACGATAAAGAAGAAGGAACATGGGTCATATGGCGCCTTTTTCAGAGATGATATACCCACGACGACTAGAAAAAAGATTGTTTTTTAGAGACTGATGGTCAGTAGCAGACTAGGGCTTAGATTACGAACTGTCGATCGATCTCAGTTTAGCAATACAATCTATCTTTGGGTTCTTGAGGTTACTTAAACTTACTGTCATTGGACGCCCGATAGGTAGGACAACCGAAGCTTCATGCGAGGCTTGAGAGTCAAAGATGGATGTACAATGGATATATGTGGTGTAGCTGTACATGTAGTAAACAAAACATAGCTACATAGCGTAAGCCTAGCAGATAGCAGGTGAATAGCAGTGGGTACAATAGGCGCAACGCTCTACACAAGAGGACGTATGATATATGAGTCAACCAAGGTCAACAAGTACGCGCTAACGATCAAAGTCAGGACAACCTGAACCAGCTAATCAAATAAAAACGCACCATTGATTTACGAAGTTGCGTAGTTGAGACAGATTCTAACTGCCCAACCTTTCGTGGAAAGTCCAAAAATTTCTTCGCGTTGAACATGAATACGTAGAAAAATGTCAAAATGAGTGTAGGCCAGCGAATGTCGTCGCCCCGAGCAAGCCAAATCAAAACTACGAGAAAATAATGTGAACGTTCGCAATGGAGAATGGAGTAAAGTGTCTTCACCTAGGCAAAATAAGATCACCCAAGAAAAGGAAAGCGGTAGATGGTAAAGATTGTGCAAATATTCAAGATATTTCTGATTGCGAGTGGCAAAGGAAATAAATGCGAAGCGAAAGTTGTAGAGGAAGACAAAACACACCCGATGATACAATATTTTGAGACTGGTGCTAGCGTTACGGTCGTCAATCATTGGCGAAGAGATCAGCCACCTAGAAATGAATAGACAGCAGCAGAAGAATTAATTGAGCGCTGCCTGTAAAACTCTGTCAACACTCACGAATTCGAAGAAAAGCCAAGCGATGAATCGAGGTTTTTCCAAATCCTAAAATGTTTTCATTAATTCGACTTCGATACTAGAATGAATGCGCGACACTTATACTGACATCGTTTTCAGGCAACTTCTGGGGTCGAGAGTACGGATGAAATCGCCTTGTGTGTCGGTCGGAACGATAGCAGGGCATTGTTTTGAGGTAAAGAAAAAAGATGGTGTTTTCAAAGGGAGATGAAGAGAGCAGAAAGAAAAGAAGAACCAACAAACCACTTGCAGCGTGGAAAAGGGATTTCGGTGTGAACCCTAAATTGGTGCTGTTAATGCTGTTTCCCGCAACTTGAAATCTCTATAAAACCCCTTCTACCATTCTACCACCACCCAGTCAGAATCCACATTTGCGTTCAAACTGCAGCGATTGCTGGGCTTCTGAACCACTCGTCTTTTCGTGGAAACCATCTGTGAAAGGGATCAAAGAGAAGACCTTTCATACGTCCAGACTCGTTTAGTAATCGGTCTCCATCCCATTTCTCACCGACATCGATTGTCAGCAATGCGGTAGCATCTGTCGGCGCCCACACCACTTAACCCACACAGAACACTCCCGTAAATCACTAGCATTTCGTTTTGAATTTTCTCATCAAGGGACTTCTTTGCGCCTTCAGAATCTCTTTCTCCTTCAAAATTCTCCGACGACATCTTGTCTACAACTCTATCCCATAGCCAGCTGTAGGTTTGTCGACGTTATAAATGTCCCTCAACTCTTATGACAGGAGCCCGTGAGCCAAAGGAGTCGCAAGCAGGATATATTTTGGGTGGCCGTCCAGAATGTTCGGGATGGACGCTGAAAAGTGAAAATGAAGAAGAGAAGAAAGATAGTCGGAATCTGGAGCTTCCGTACACCGTGGCAAACTTGGTCAACCGACTGGATTTGAGCATATGTGCTCCAACGCCTCGGCGGAAGTCGATCGTGACACGTTACATGCATATGCCCCAAAAGGCTATGTACGCGTAGCGTGTGACTTTCATCCCGCCATCAAAGCCCGACCCAAAATGACTCGTCTGTCAATGGTCTTACAATCGCACGAAAAACAGCATTTGGCGATTCGTGGGGAATGCAAGATATCGCATGTTAGCTATATCAATACATACCTATGTTTCGCTTTCACCATTCTTGATTCCGTCTGGCATTGGCAAGAACGTCAAATGAAAGACGCTGAAATGTGTATTCTTTCGAGGTGATACTAGATGAAGGTGCAACATTCACAGTACATGCCCAATAATCGTTCGAGCCGAGGGAATTGTGGGCTTGTACTTCTTCCGGGATCTGGAATCATGGCTGCAATGCAATGTATGCGACAAAGGACATCAGCATTTTGGTTGACAGAACATATTTCTTCAAAGGGTCTTGAAAAGCATGTAGGACAAACTAAGGAAGTATGACTGTATGATTGGATAGAACAATGCTTACCAGCGTGTCCCGATAATCCACTCCAACAAACGGAATTGACATTTTAGCGACATTATTGCAAGTCCTTTTTGAGGGCATTGTTGACTGCGCTAACTATCGTATAGGCATTGCAGGCCCGGGGACGTTTTATGGTACGGACTCGAAAGATTTGGGTTCCAGGGAACAATCTTGACGAAGATAAGTTCCAAGTCGAGGGTGGACACTGCACTAATTAAATTTACAGCCACAAATTCAAATTGAGGGTGATGGCTCGCAGTCAAAGCAAAGAGGATGGAGGCGATTTCCAGTTGTGATGATAGAACATCAAAATGTCGATGAATAGGCAGCGAATAATATTTGCAGACCTGGGTTGAAAGCGACAAGCTGCGACAAGGAAGTGCAGGCGCAGACGATATGATTAAAGGAACTAAGCAGCATTTTGATCCCGTGAATGGACGGTTAAGGTATACAGCGACATTCGCAAAGGATTTTCATAGATTTTCTTCACCGGTGCGGAGTCGGGATTGCGAGACAACTACGGCTGTTAAGGTGTGGTCTATTTTCTGATATTTATTTAGTGCTGTTCAGTTTCTCAATTGCACTTGCGACGCACCTGAAAGCATGATGATGGTTCCACAGTCCCCCGAGCATTTTGGAAAAAAATTCAAAAGAGGTCATGACTAGGCTGCAGCGCGAACAATGCGCTTTCCTTGCCCGATTTGGGTTAGTCATTCAGGCTCGATATTCGAACTCCTCTCTTTTTCCCCACCATACTAGCTCATATCAGCAGCCAGTGGGTCCAACTGTTAGCTAAGAATGTTCGTTCTGCATATTGGCTGAATGGTGCTCCCTCTACAAAATTTCTCAGTACTTTTACAACAAAATAATTGCCTTTAAATCAACCTCAGATTAGCAATGGCTTTAGAGAAACACAGCTTTTGCTGGAATCCCGACATCTCCAGAAATTTTGAAATTCAAAGTATGCGGCCATCTACTACGTGAAGCTGGCTGGTCACTTCAAATGAAGCTTTGGCGATAGGGTTTTGGAAGGTTTTGGAGTATTTTTGCCTCGTAAGTTCTTTTTTCAAGTTGAAGCGACACTATGTCTTTAACTCATTCCAGCTGGCACAACGGGTAGCTTGGTCATTAGTGGCTCTTCAACAACACGGGCTTTCTTCCACTCATTCGTTGCATTGTTCGCTCAAAATTCCGATGTTTCCACGACTCTCCCCTTAAATCTTCCCTTAACTCGATCGTCTCAAAGAGATGCAAGCCTGGCTCCCTGCCCACCTTTATATCAGAAATTCTTGTACCATGGTGAGTCCTTAACATTGATCTCTGTGCTCTAGACTCATCACACAAGCATTTATCAACAGCTCAAGATCAAATTCTGTCTCTCCTCCCTGTCACATTTCTCGTGTCGCGATGATAGACACACTTGATCTTCCCTTGTCTACCTGGATGCCACAACCACTACCTTGTTGCTGGTCGTCATATACGCCTGCCGCAAACATCCTCCTTATCAACTTGCTGTATCGTTTCTCAGCAAGGAAACAGGTCTTCGCAGTTTAAAACGTTTCAAAACGGCTTCGCGCAGAAATAGATATCAGTCTTCTCGAAAAGACGAACTACTACGAACTCCACTTTGCCTCTACAGAATCGCTGAAGGCTCTGTTGTACCTACTCCCATTTCGCATTACTTGAATCGTATTTTGTGGCGATCCACCCAATATTTGACCTCTAGAATTTTAGTAACCTTTGCCGATATATTTCTTGATTCATTTCTTTCTCTACGTTTGTTTAATTGCGCGGCGAGAGCCTCTTTTGAGTTTATTTGGCTTGTTTCTTGGGTATCTAATCGAGAAAATTGGCACTGGGTTCGGAGAGTTCAAAGAGACTCACCTCCGATCCTTTAAATCATGATTGGACCTGCTGACCTCTGCTGACCTCCGTTTGTTCTAGTCCGCACTGTGCAGGTTGAGTTAAAAATGGGGACATGATTTGTCTTTCCGGCCAACTCATACAGCCGGAACGGTCACGTTTAAGTCACGTTATGGTAGGCGCGTCCCCCGACTCTCTTCTCAGGGTTGATCTCATCCTTTAAAGGTGGAGTCCGCGGTAGTGAGCACGGGTCATCTTTATCCCAGTCAGAAGCTTTGTTCTTTGGATGTGAAAAGCCCTTGAGATGCTCAGTCACACTAAGGTCAACACACCCGACAAAGAAAAGCATACATTGGCAACCTGATTCTCCTTGCTTTAACCGTACTCTCCCGGCAGATTTGTCGTTGATGAAATCCATTGGTCAATGGACCTACATTTCACGATCCTTGAAAGTTGTTGCGGTAATCCATAGCTAAGAACTTGCCATAATGAGAGTTGTGAACTTGTGTTGCGTAGAGTTGTGGTGCGTCGCCGAGGGCATGGGCTTTCCTTGTCTGGGTCGCGAGATTTTGAACGGAACCTCTTCATATTCATCGCCCCTCCTTTCAGGAGAATCATCCTGAGGGACAGTAGTAAGTTTCATGAGGCAGAGCCTCATGAAAGGCGAGAGGGACATTGTACTGCACTGCATGTCATCATGTTTCCCGTTGTTAGAAGCTGACGTCTGCTATATGAGTGTAGGCCACAAGAGCCACAATATTAATTGAAGACATATCGTAACGTTACTGCCCGTACAACGCATCTCTTACGAGTATAAGGGCAATTACGATCCATGCATTGCCAAGTTGTAAGTTCTTAACAAGCCCCGGGGTCCCGTTACTCAGTTTCCGTCTGCAAAGGCCATTGAGAAATATTGGAACAATAGCAAAGACGCATACTGACCTGGTAATTTTCCCCGACACTTCCTCTAGAATCCTAGATGCAGTCTAACGGAAAGACGCTCAGGTTAAGCGCTGCAACCTTATTTCTATCAGTTTCTATCTTCAATCGATTTACTATCCCAACTTAACATTGCTTCATCAAGGATTACTATGTTTTGCCCAATAGTAACGCTCAAATGCTTCCTTGAAGGATGATTGATGTCGATGATCAATGATCCCATACACATACTTGGAGACAACGGTGAGATTTCATGTCAGGCCCACAGCAGTCGTCGTGGTTTCTAGTAGGCTTCTTTCTCCTCTTGTTATGGATACAACCCTTGTACGCTAGGAAGCTCTACAGCTTCACTCCGTCATTCAATCAGTGCTTCGGCAAATACAAGGATTATGTCATTTATTCTACATCGTTGAACCTTGGCGGAAGAGAATCAACGCTTTGTTCCATATATATGGCAGGATATGGTCCAAGTTTAGAGTCGATGGGCGATGCAAACGTTCTATAAATCCACGCCTTTAGCCTCAATTTCGCTTTCATCCTGTATCTGAACTCATCTCAAATCCTGTACCTCCAAACGAAAGATTAGCTCAATTCAAGTTCACCCACATTTTGCATGGATGTTTCTATTGACAGTGATTTCCGTCCAGTTGATAGCTCCCTATATACTCCAATTGCGAACAAACACACCCTCCTAGTTCTAAAAATCTTGCGATGGCGGCGATGGTTATTAGCCTTCTTCATTTTCGTGTTCAGTGCAGGTGCTGCGCTCGCGGATTACAAGAAAAGTGCAGTAGTTTCACTCGTGTTTGGACTTATTGTTGCTATGACGTCGTTCGTGGCATATGTCTTTTCGCCGGAAAATCATTCGAATGAGGACATAGAAGCACATCCATTTCATTTTCGAAGCCATACTACCGAAAGTTCACCGGTACCATCTTTTCTTCTTACGTCCTTGTCAAATGTCCACACTCCATCTTCATCTTATCTTCCTACTCCCCAGTTGGAGCGATTTTCATCTGTGTCAATTGTGGTAAATCAGGACATACAGGAGCAGGAGCAGGAGCAGGAGCAGGAGCAGGAGCAGGAGCAGGAGCAAGAGAAGCTGGAGGAGCCGGAGGAGTCGGAGAAACAAGAGGGAAAAATACGAACAGGAAGGAAGCATAAAATGCCCATGAGGGACATTGATAATGAGCAACAGCTGCCCGAAGACGAGTATGCAACGAGAGCTCAACTATCCAGAGCCTGGAAGGAGGTTGAGAAAGCTCTTGGTGTTTCGCTAGGTTCTTTTTCTTCTACGAGTTCCTCTACGACAAGTGTGTCCAGTACAGCCCCGCGAGATGGTTTCAGAAAGCGGGCCGGGGGTCATGCAAATGGGAAGGGAAGAAACGAGACGAGGCGCATCTTGGAAGAAGAGCAAATGGAATGGGTAGAAGAACAGTCAGCGAGTTTCCAGGTTGCAAGAACTTGAAGTGGTTTGGCAGAGAAACGGATCACTAACGTTGAACGTTGGATGTTGGACCTTGGCATGGACACTTTCTCAGGACTGACTATACATATTCATTGGTTCAGATATTAATCGTAGCTCTAGCATTCAAGTATTTCTTTCAATAGATCCTGATCGGCCCTTGGCTGCAATTACACTTTACTTCAGAAACTAGAAGAGATTGAATCAGGCAGACTTCTCATGGTCAGTCGACGTACACACCTCAGTAGCCTGCGTTTCTGAGAACTGTGACGACCCTCCATTCTTCTCCGCCTCTTTGTCACTAATTAAACTGAGTGCTCGACCGAAATTTCGCACTTCTGACCAAAACACTTTGTTCCCCGGAGACGAGTCGATACACATTCTCCTCAAACTGGGAAGGAATCTGTATGCGTAATTGAATATTCCTCCAAGACGGGAACAAAATATGACTCACGAGTTCCACGCATCGACCTCATCTTCTTGAAGGCAAACTTCTCGAAGTTCTATCAAACACTCTATCATTTCCTTAGATCTACGACTCGCGAATGGAGCGAGAATCACTTCCTGGATGACTGCAGACATATCTTCGACGACTTTGGTGACTATATCTCCTCGTTCTAGATTTTCTCTGAAATCAGCAAGAGGATTGGTACGCCCAATTACCCGGTCGGGATCCCGTTGAGGGTCGATATCCATGTCATCATCGTTATTCAGAGAACGGGCAGGAGTGGGAAGGGGGTTCGGGCGGGGTGTTGGTTCGGCTTTGTCAATCAACATTCCGTCCTCATCGTCATCTTCAGTCTCGCTGCCATCCTCAGCCGGTTTTGGCGAAATTTTGGCTTGTGAAAGTGATTGTGAAGGTTTCGAAGTTGAAGGTTTACGGTCGAGTAGAAGCATTTCATCGTCATCATCGTTTGCATGGTTGTGACCATCTTTCCGTGCAACCTTGATCACCTTTGGCACTAGAGTTGTCGAGGTGAGTAAAAAGCTAAATAACTACAGAAGAAACGTTACCATGTTTGATATTAAATACTTTGATACAATTATCAATGGTGCTCTGAGCTTTCTTCACGAATTTCTTGGGTGGATTGAAATACTTCAATAATTCAGGATGTGGAGGTGGAAGAGGGTTTGTGTCCAGGTCAGACACAACAGCACAGTGGAACATGGCCTGTTTCAACCGATGGAAGGAGGGATTGTAAGAATCGCGGATATCCAGCCACTCCGTGCGGTTGCTGCGTCGATAGTTACTCGAGGAACTGCAAACCTTCAGGTTAAGAAACATACCCTTGTTCGTCTTTATCCCCAGCCTGCATAAGGTCCATGGCATCCACGAAGTCGTCCATCGCCTCAAGTTGCTTTTCGGTTGGAAGATACGCGTGTTCACTGACAATCTCCCCTTTCTTGTTTCTCAATTCGTCGAGAGACGGGAATGTGTATTTTCTGACATCGTCGGCGAAAGGCATCTGTATTCTAGTCGCTGAGAGAAAATCGGGGAAAAGTAGGATTGATGCCTCACTGGAACCCACAGTAGACAGTGCACTTGTTCGAATAAAGCTGGGCTCATCACCCCCATTTTTGGGTCTCTACCGTCACCGGTAACCCATCTTCCAACGGCCAGCACACCTTTCTCGTACATAGCTTGGACAACAGAGGATAATGCGCATTGAGCGGTCGGATTGTCTGGGTTACCCCAGATGTATTGGACTTCGCCCATCGCGTATTCACGGCGGAACTATATGCGTAGAAATTATTTGGAGCATCCTACAATAATATTACGAACACTTCACCTTTTTCTCCGGTATGAACCCAATAAGATCGATACCTTTCTTCGTCGGAAGTTTTGGAAATTGACCCTCCGGACAAGGCACATACGAGGTCCCATATTTAAAACCCCGAATGAGCTCTTCCTTTTCGACCTTCTCTAAATCCTCTGGGCGCGGCTCTCCGTCTTCTTCTATCTTGACTTGGTCCTCTTCGTCCTCCTTGCCGTCCTCCTTGTCGACATAATATTCTGTACGAGCCTTCAGTTGTGCATAAGTCACAGTGACGACCTTGTTCTCGTCGCCATCGTCAGCATTCATGGTCTGTTGTTCCGCTTCCTCTTCTTGTGCTGTTTTAGGACGGATAGCAAACTTTTTGAATGCTTTCGGACGATTGATCGAAGTGCATTTGCAGGTTTTAACGAGGATTTCCATTGCCTCTTCTGTGCGTGTATCAACGTCGCCAATACGCAATACATTATTCATGAGAGTAGAGCGGGATGTCTTCACGTCAGGTAGCGAGATTTGCTCGAGAACCCGGTCCAGGTTTCCGATAACGGAATCGTTCACCTTCGGACAGAATTGGTTGCGGAAAAACTCCTCATTGACACGCTGAATGGGTATCAAATATCAGCATGACAGGAATCTTAGAGAAGAACGTACCTTGAAATCAGGTTTATCCCTTTGAACATAGTCGAATTCTCGGTCGTCGAAATCCACTCCTACAACGGTTAATGCGATACTTAATTCGTTTAGTTTGTTGGCAGTCGCTTCCCAATCTTCCAGCTCAATGGGACCCTCTCCATCGGTGACGAGTATGACTTTACGAGTCCATGTCTTCTTTTTACCCAGATGCTTGTTCTGGGCTTCGACGGCAACGATCATAGCGTCGACTGCTGTTGGTGACAAGTCAAAACAAGTGTACAAGGAGCGAATGAAACATCAGCGCACGATCGCCGAAGACTTCAGAGGGCTCGAGCTCATCCAATTCGCGGAGAGTGGCAGCTGAGGGTGTACAAATAGGAATGTATTCTGTGACGTTCTCATATCCGCCGTGCTGAGCATTAATCTGGTTGTCGGTTTCTGAACGATGATTAGCACGCATTAAGCTCATTAGCATAATTTGTGCTACCTTCAGTTCCAAATATAACCACTCCACATTGATCAGTTTTCCGGGCACCATAAATCTGTGGCGAAAGTAGCATTCAATCTTTGGGAGCCGTGACATCAAAAGAAGGGACGGTACCATGTCCTGGATCTTGAATTTCACATATTGTAGAGCATACTGCAGATGTGTCATCTCCGCGAAGCGTTCTTCGCCATTTGGGCCTGGAGGAAGTGCGACAGTTCTCGTGGCCCCCATGGATTTGGAGACGTCCACCACGAACATTGTGACGGTGTACTGTAGAAATTTCAACAATCTGCATTATATTTGAGAGTTAGCACATACGCCTGCGCGTTCAGCTACCATGATACAGGTGGTAGTAAGAGGAAAAGTCGCGTTGTTTCCTCGGAACGCGCTCTCGTCAATGTCACGCGGCAATGACTCACGGCGCCACAAACGGCAAACGGCAATGCAACACAACGCCAAGCAACGCTTCAATTCTATTCTCACTCCCACTCAACTGTCCAGCATAGCGTCCAGGTTTCAGAATGCCTCCTCCTCATTACGACTTTCTTATTAAGGTAAAGGGATATACTGCTCTTCACTTCGCTTAGAACTCAAATCTCTTTGTGAAGCTCCTTCTCATCGGTGATTCCGGTTAGTAGCAAATACTGAACTCCCTCCATCTGCCATAATATCCTCAATACTCGGACTCTCCTCACAGGTGTAGGCAAATCTTGTCTTCTCCTCCGGTTCTGTGACGATGCCTGGACGCCCTCATTTATCACAACTATTGGAATTGACTTCAAAATCCGGACCATTGAGCTTGACGGGAAACGTATCAAGTTACAGATTGTCGGTATTCAACACTTGTACACTTTACGATGCCTGACTTTCTCACCTAGTGGGATACTGCTGGCCAGGAAAGATTCCGCACGATAACTACGGCTTACTACCGAGGAGCTATGGGCATTCTGTTGGTGTATGATGTAACAGATGAGCGGTCATTTAACAGTGTGTTTCCCAAAGTGTCATCTTTTCATCATCCATTGACCTCCCTGTTTTCAGATATTCGCACTTGGCACGCCAACATCGAACAGCATGCCTCGGAAGGCGTCAATAAGATTCTTGTTGGAAACAAATCGGATTGGACAGACAAGAAAGCCGTCACTGAAGAGCAGGGTCGGGAATTAGCTGATGAACTAGGCATCAAGTTCATAGAAACTTCTGCGAAAGTGAATGAAGGCGTAGAGGAAGCATTTTTCACTCTGGCAAGGTAACTACATCGTTACTCCCTTTCAGTTGTGTCATAACTGACTGTGCTTCATTGACACTTTCGTTATTCTATCGCTATTGGCGTTCTTCTGGTCTCTTTCGTTCTTGCTTTGATCTGCATCGTACTATTTGCAGGGACATCAAAACCCGACTCATTGACTCTCAAGGAGACGCAGCAGGTAGTTCTAACAACACTAATGACGGTTCCGTACAAGTTACCCAGCGACCATCAAGTGCGACGAGTGGTTGCTGCTCATGAACGAATGGTTCAACGGTCAGGATCGGCATCAACCACGTATACGTGCGCGCTACAATGTACATATATCGTCGCATTGTTCAGACTGTCTACTATTCGATGTGAATAGCTATTAAAACCTTGCATACGTACTGTACTTTGATGATCACTCCGTTTTTCCTTCTATTCGTCGATACATCTCCCATCTTACAATTCATTCGCATATCTTGTACACACCGTAACGCCCTCCAAGATCTTTCAAGGACATATGTTGCACAATCAGCTGAAGACAAGGTTTGGATGCCATACACCCAACATCAACAAACAATAAAAGAGAGTTTGTGTCTGATTGAGTCAGTCTGCTGGCTATGGTATAAGGAACGTAGTAGTGACTTGACCTAGCTGTAAGTACAGCAACAAGGGACTCAACATATTTTGGAAATCAGCGTCGTGGATTTCAATGTTGAATGATATACAGCATTGATAGTCAGATGCCACTTCAGTAGTCAGTATATCGGCTGTTTGACCAATGATCGACGTGATAGCATTCTTCGTTGAGAAACCTCACATTTAACGAGCTGGGACATAGGCAATGAGGGATGTCATTTGGCGTGCAGAGGGAACATAGGATAGTCATAGAGAGCATACAGCAGCGGGCGTGGAGCGTAGAAGAATAAATCCCGTTGTCATTTCCTTATGCCTTCAACGCCTTGACAGCTTTCCTGACGCCATCCCTCCTCTTCTTCTTCTCCAACATAACAGAGAACCTCGCGAAATCGTTCAACGATCTCCTCTTCTCAACAGCTGCCCGCTTTTTCGCCCACTCCGAGTTGTTCCACTTCGTCAATGTGCCTTCTTTCTCCAGATGTTTTTTGATAGTCCCTGAGCGAGAGCCACGGGGAAGTTTTGTTAGAGCGAGAGGAGTAAGGGTGAGGTGCTTGTAGGGGAAGGATTGCCGTGGGACGGAGGTGGTGGGGCCATCGATTATTGCCTGGAAGAACCGGCAAGGGATAATGAGTTTATAGACAAAACACGATAAGAACACTGAGATACAGACCCGGTTGTGGTCGATGATCTCTGCAACAACAGCGATTTTGCCGGCATAAGGACCGGATTTGAGTAGGACGACTAGATATGGTTCATAAACCGGGTGCTTCATTGCTCAAAGTACAGAGTGATACGCACCTCGTCCGACCTCGACAAACCGTTTGAAAGTTGAGTCCTACAGGACGAACAGGAATAATAGATACATCAGAACCCAGTTTCAATCAAAATCGACATCCAAACGCGAAACTTCCAATCCAGCCTTTTCAACGTCATTCCACGCAAAACTTTACGATATTCGCCAATACGAAGCTCCAAAGAGCACTTTGAGCGATGTACAATGAACTGAAGAACTCACAGACATGGATTCTTGAGGAGTTTCTTGAAGATACAGCCGCTGAGCTGGAGTGTATAGATTTTTTGTGAGAGGGACGGAATGTGGGAAAATCACGGTGTTTGCCGAGCGAATTGTCAACTTTCAGATTTCAGCCTTTCTTCAGTTAAAAATAAATAGCAGGCTTGTTCGTAGCGAAACAATCTTCAGCAAGCCTCAAAACGTTATTAAGAAGCCCTCTTGTATGGATGATACACGAGCCATGCAAGAAAAAGACTGTACGCCAAGGTTTTGGCTCCGATACGGCGTTATTTACCAGGAGTGACGCGCTAGATGCCCAATGATCTGATAATTGATTGCTGCTTTTTACCATGGACATCGACGTACAACCATCCGATGACCTGGCAATAACACCTCTTCCTTTCTCTATTATCCCAAGCATACCTCCTTCACCAGAAGACTACACCCTTCACCGCTCACAACACACACCAATCATCATCGACAATGGGTCAACCAACCTACGATGGGGATTTGCTACGTCCTCCGAACCGCGGTATGGGCCGAATATTGTGGCCAAGTACCGCGAAAGGAAGACAAATCACCCACTGATGCTTTTTGGGGATGCGGTCGAAGTGGAAAGTGGGGCAAAGACACAGGCTAAAACCCCTTGGGAAGGCGATGTGCTGCTTAATTTTGACGCGTTGGTGAGTGTAACGGGATTGTTTATAGTGAAATTGACGAGAATTCTCTCTTGAGACGTAGGAAAACGCGCTGGACTATGCCTTTGTTCAACTTGGAATTGATACACCTACAGTGGACCATCCGGTGTTGATGACTGAAAGGCTCTGTTCGCCTGTTCATTCCAGAGCTCGTCAGCCACTTGCCAGAATTCTTATCTTCTCTTTCTAAACTGAATTTTGCAGTAACATCCGAATTAATGTTTGAACAATACTCTGTTCCCTCGCTTGCCTACTGCGTGGACGGAATAATGTCCTTTTATCAAAATAGCCAGTTTTCAGGACAGCCGTTTGTTTCGGATGGTCTCGTCATTTCGTTCAACACTGCTTCGACAAGTGTTATCCCCATCCTGAATGGAAGGGGAGTCTTGAATAATGCAAAAAGGTCCATTTCCAAGTAAAAGCTTTTCTGGGTTCGCACTACTTACACGCGCTTCAGAATACCATGGGGTGCATCGCAAGCAACTGACTATCTCCTCAAACTTATCCAGATGAAATACCCCAATTTCCCTACCCGAGTCTCTGTCGCTCAGGCCAATGTGAGTGAGTATCAGAATTACATGATCTAAATTAAATATCTCCCCCATAGTGGATGTTCCGCACATTTTGCTCCGTATCTACGGACTACCTCTCCCTCCTGCGCTCATTTGAAGACCCTTCCATTCTTCGCTCGCATCAAAAAATAATACAATTTCCCTTCCTTCTGAATTCGAACCCTTTAACTGGAGGCGCGGCTGGAAATGGGGATGAAAAGACGGAGGAGGAATTAGCGAGGATTACGGAGAGGAGAAGGGAACAGGGTCGAAAGTTGCAGGAGATCGCGGCTCGGAATCGGATAGAGAAGGTTCGTGTTAAAATGAAATTATTTCATGATACGTCTAACCCGTCCGCCTGTCTGCGCAGTTGCAACAAAAAGAATCAGACCTCACATACCTCCTGTCGCTCCGGGATAACTACTCCTCTTCCGCAACTAAACGTGAATGGGACAGGAAACTCAGAGAGGAAGGGTTTGATGACGAGGAGACTTTCGAAGACACTTTGAAAAAGTTAGAGGCGGATGTTAAAAAGGGGAGAAAGAAGGAGAAAGAAAAGGAAGGAGGGACTGTAGACGGTGAAGATGTCGACGAACCAATGGTAAGTACCCTTGAGTTCCATAAATAAGTACTCATCTGTGTATACAGGAAGAACCATCATTCCCTCTTGTCGATATCCCAGATGCCGACGTACGTCTTCCTTTGCGACCTTCATTTCAAACTCTAAATACGTCACAGCTCGACCCTTCCTCCCTCGCCGAGAAGAAGAAACAAAAGCTTCTCAAAGCTGGCTACGAAGCCCGACTTCGTGCACGCAAGGAGCGCGAACTCAAAGCAATCAAAGATCGCGAAGAGAAAGCCGAGCGAGAAAAACAAAGAGAACTTGAGGAGAAACTGGATTCTGAGGCTCGCGAAGCAGATCTGGAAGGCTGGGCGAGAAAATTGAAGGGAGAGCAGGAGGTGAGTCCGACTGGCTTGTCTTCGTGGCTATTTAAATTTATCACCCATCTGTTTTTTTCTTCATCTGTTTTCTACAGGCTCTAATGACCCGGATCAAAGACCGTGCCAAACGTAGAGCCGCAATGAGTGACCGGAAGAGCGCGGCCAAGCAGGAGAGGATGAAGAATATCGCGAATCTGGCCGCTGCTGATGAAAAGATGCTTGGGGGTTCTGGGACTTCGAAGAAAGGGGGAAAAGGAACGGGTAAGGGAGTAGGCAAGGGCACGGGGAAAGGGAGAAAGGGAAACGCAGGTCAGTGAGATGGACGTCTGCTTACTCGCGTATTCTGACACTCAATTTATGATTGAAAACGTCTTTGATAGAAGATATGTTTGGTGCAGATGATGCTGATTGGGCTATATACCGAAAAATCGTACGAGCGACGTGTCCCTTCATCCCCCCTCAAACCGTTAAGTGATTGATACTTGTTCTTTACTCTCTCCCTTTGTTCAATAGAACACGACAACCACAATCTCCTCCGATGAAGAAGAAGACCTGGCGCAACTACAGCAAATTGAACACAAACTTCTTACGCACGACCCGACGTTCACAAACCAACATACTCATGCGTCGATTGTCTCACAACGGTCGGCTCTGTTAAACGCGTTCAGACCTGTCTATGAGGAAGGTGATGGGGCAGGTGAGCAATAGAGAACTTTATTCTTAACTGCCTCATGCTAACTTGTGGTTTTTTTATAAACCTTTTTTTCCTTCCACGTTCCCTTCCCAACCGTCCCAAACATAACCATACATCCGTACGTAGGCAACACCCGTATCCACCTAACAACCGAACGCTGGCGCGTCTGCGAGGCATGGTTTTCCCCCTCAATCGCCGGAGTCGACTCCGCCGGTTTAGGAGAAGTGATCCAGAATATATTGTCAAGGTTTGGAGAGGAAGAGAAGGGAAGATTAGTCAAGGTAGGCTCATCCCTTTGTTAGATAGGTTCCAGTATTTGGTAATGACATTTAACATCAGAACATCTTCCTCTCCGGCTCCCCCTCCCAAATTCCCGACATCGCACCACGTCTCTACTCCACCCTCCGCCCACTATTTCCTGTGGAGATGCCGATAGAGATCAGATCAGCAAACGACCCGGCGCTGGATGCGTGGAGAGGAATGGCCAAATTCGCGAAAACGGAGGAGTTCGCGACGGTCGGAATGTCCAAGGCGGAGTACGAGGAGATGGGTGGAGAGAGATTGAAGCGATGGTGGGGGAGTAATTGGAATGGAGGGTTTTAGCTCTCAAAAGACCGGTAAACAAGATGTGTATCCGTGGCTTATCCTTTGTAGCGGATTTTCTTGGACTTTTTTACAAAGTGAATGTATTTTGATATACAGTCGAAATTTGGGGATTTGCAGCTCGACGGGGAACCTGTAGCTTTGATCATGGCTACAACTTCGTCGAGTGTGACACAGGATATCATAATCGAGTTCATAACAAGATAATGTCGAAGACATTCTGATCATGAATGGCATAGATTGGGTTGTGTAGGTTGGCTTCCAGATACCGGTTTTTATCGAATATGCATTCCATGGTGATCCTAAAATAATCAAGAACGTACAAGTCCGCAAAGAATCTGTCTTCGGCATGGGGACAGTGTGGAAGCCAGATCTACTAGAAATTTGACTCTGAGATTGTATTTGCTTCAGGGGGACAGGTTTGGGACTTGTGGTTCTCATTTTAACACCCAATCCCAATTCAGTGTTGATATACCGAAAGCGTTAGCTCATGAATATACTCTGAATATATATCCTCGACCTATTTTGATGAATGAACTTCGAGTACACTTTTTATTCACCCGTTATTCATGCGCAGATGACCATCCCGAGACCCTACCGAGAGGCTTATCCCAGAATATCCTTCAACTGCGTCTTTGGTATTGCAGCCGGGAACGCTCTCCTCTCAAGCCTCGTCTTCGTCTTTTGCTCATACGCAAATGCAAACCCAATCAAATCGAATTCTGAAAACGCTGTGCCCAAGAACGACAGACCGAAAGGAACGCCAGGAGCCGGGTATACGGTTTCTGGACCTGCGCTACCAATAGTTACGTTGGAGGGGAAGAAACCCAGAGGCACTAAAGAAGGACGGATGAATGAAATAAGGACGCAATGTTAAAAACCCTTTCACCTGTAATGATGGGATATCCTGCGATAGCTTGAGAACGTAAAATACTTAGTTACAAATATCCTGAGGAGAAAGGAAAAATGCTCACCGGCAGGGACCGTAGTCAACCCTTGAGCAGGAAGAACCAGGGCATCCAGATCAAACATCTCCAGAGCTGCGTCAATACCTTGTGCACCACCAAGCTCTTTATCGAAAGCCAGGGACTGGAAGTAGGCATCGGTGAATCCGGTGGTAGCCTCGGATGCGATGAATCTACAGTGTAACAACCGAGCCCATAGCCAGTCAGGAACAAGTTTGGGAAGAGGCGCAGTTAATTCTCTGCTTGAGACTTGTACTCACTCGGACTGTGACGTAAAATTCACTGGTTCCTCCAATGAAGGATTGGCATTATCGAACGCTATGAGGTCGGCTAGACTGCGTACGCCACTCGGAATACTGATGAGACCTTCAAGCCAGGCATTGATTTGTATCTGAAGCGTAATCAACATATCAGGCAGCCGGGGTGACAGGGTAAGTACTTGCCTTGAAATCCGTATCCAGCACGACCGTCTCATTATTGGACCTTGCGATCTCTTCTGCAGACGGGAGATCCGCAGGATCTACAACGGTGGCTCCAAGATCCCTAATAACATCCAAGGCTTTTTCGAACGCTAATCCGATCGCCGACTCAGATCCATTTCCCGTCAAGTCACTACCATCAAGGAAGACCTTTCGCGGAACACCAATTCTAGCTCCTATCAAGGCGTTGGGGTTCAAAGCTTTCGTGTAATCAGGGACAATGGGGGGTTGAGCGAGTGTGAAGTTGTCATTGGGATCTTTTCCGGCGATGAGGGAGAGGACGATGGCGACATCGGTTATCGACCTAGCCATTGGGCCTACGGTGTCTTGATGTTCAGAGATGGGTATGACTGTGGTACACAGATGTCAGCACATAGAAGAACTGAAACAGAAAACCGAAATCAACCCACCTCCAGCACGAGAAGTCAACCCTACACTGGGTTTGACCCCCGCCAAATTGTTATTACCTGTTGGACACGTAATGCTCCCATCCGTCTCAGTACCCAGCGCGACAGTGGTTAATCCAATGGAAGTGGTGACACCCGATCCAGAAGACGAACCACATGGATCAGCGCTTGGGAAATAGGCGTTCGTCGTTTGGCCACCGCGACCTGACCATCCGGAGGGAAGATTGCCTCGAAACTCGGCGAATTCTGAAAGGTTTGCTTTGCCTGTAAGGAAGACAAAGGAGGTGCAGGAAGATCGTGAATGCTCTGGAGAGGGTGTGACAGGGACTGACAGGCGTACCCAAAATGATAGCGCCTGCTTCCCGAAGTTTCTTAACGACACCTGCGTCGTCCGGGACAATAGATCCAAGCAAAGCAAACGATCCAGCTGTCGTGTTCATCCCTGCAGTGAAATAAGGCTGAGTGATTCCAGAATGCGATATACGTCAGACATTCACCCTCAGAGGCGATTGTGGCGATATTATCCTGGTATTTTGACGAGTGTTGGCATTGCGAGAGTTATAAACAGATATCAATGTTGATGACTGACCTTCAATATCACTGGAATACCGTGCAACAAGCTTCGTTTACCAGAGACTGCCCGTTCAGCGTCCAATACAGCTGCTTGCGCTAGTGCCGATGGGTTCGTTTCAATGACTGCTCGCAGGACAGGTCCTTGAAGATTGACTTCTTCGATGCGAGCAAAGTACGCCTGTATGATAAGACGGGTCAAACTATATGATTCGACACAACCCGTTCGATATTGAACTCACCTTAATGAGGTCGACACTAGTAAACTGACCAGCGTCCAATCCATTTTGGAGTTCTAGGATAGAGGCTTCGTATAAATCAGGCAGTGGTGCATTTACTGCGTCATTGTCCCTCCTCGATAAACCTACATTCTCCTTGGCAGTGATAAGACATTGCACGGAAATGGTCTGGAGTAGACACAAGAAGAGTAAACTGCTGTACAGGCGGAGGAACTTCATTATGCAGATACTTTCGCCTCTTCCTCCCGGGGGCGAGTCAGTTTGAAATCGGAATTGAGAGGATGAAAACTAAGAGAAGATAGAAACCCGGGGGTTTTACTGGGTTTTATCAACATTCTGGCTGATATTAGCACGAAAGATGGAAGCAAAACGTAGATTCGAGGTATAATCAGAAATAATCTTTTGCGATAACGAGGGAGACGAAGGGCATAAGAAGGTCATGTTGGAAGTGAGGCATGCGGTTGTGAGAGCGGTTTCGCTAAAAGCTGTATAATGTCCACGACTGTCCACGAGATAAAGTCAGAGCAGTTATAAATGCAATCATGTATCTCGTAGACGGAAGCAGTCGACTTTGAATGAAATGAGAAGTTGAAGAACTTCACGGAGCCAAGATTGACAATGAGCGAAGTTCCGAAAAGATTTTGGAACATAGCAACTTTTTCTCACAGTAATCACCTTGAGATAGTCCCTCTATCACTGCCTTCTCGTTATATGCTCCCAAGTGACGATGCACTCAGCAAAGCATCTGGACTTCAAGTTCGTTCCAGGAATACATGAAAATGGAAGAAAACATTACGGGGGCTTCTGAACGTGATTATACTGCTCTTCGGAACGCCATGGAGGAGGAACTGCTTGAGAGGAAATGCGCGCAGTCCGCAGAAGAAGAATCCGAGGAGAGTGACAAGTATGGAGGGGAAATTTATACGCGGAGGTGGAGGAATTGAGAACTACAACAAAAAGTTTTCGGGAAGAGGTTCAAGAACTCGAAGATTAGAGTACAGAGCGAAGAAAACTTCCAACAAGACTGGACGATATAAGAAATTTCAGTCGCAAAGTCGGGCTTTAGTAACTACGGCCTGGACTTCACGAACAACATTTCCATGCCATTCCTGTCCCTTGCGCTATAGTACTTCCAGTACTTGTAGCAATGTCGAGGCGTCCTGATTTGGCGCTACATACATACCAGCTCAGCTGTTCTTGAGAACTGGCTGTCAACTACTATGTACATATGTGCATCTGATCAGTGCAATTGAAGCCCATCCAGGGCCGGGATGGGTCTCTCTGCTTGTGGTGTTATCCTCGCTCCATGCCTCCTCTCAGGACTCCCAGCAAAATCAAACAGCGCTGAGTGCATCGTCACTCGATTATCCCACAACACTACCGTCTTCGGTGCCCACTTGACTCTCATCTGACCCTCAAGACCACCAGCGATATGGTCGTACAAGAAGTTCAAGATCAAATCACTTTCCTGCTTTTTGTAGCCTAGAATTCCTTTGGTCGCTTCGGGATTGAGGAATAGGGATTCTTCGCCTGTAACGGGGTGTCGCCGAACAAGTGGGTGGATGGTAGTCACGCAGGGACGTCGGATATTTCGACTCCGTGTTCCGTTGCGCGTTACTTGGATTGGGTCTACGGCAGATTGGATCTGACGCAGGGTCCTCAAATACTCTACGAATCCGGGCGAAAGTCTCTTGAGTGCCTCAACGCCAGAGGTGAAGAAAGTATCACCTCCAGATTCAGCTAGACAATAGCCATGTTGATTTCATAGTCAGTATATATACGATGTGAACAAGACACATCCCACAGCTTACGATGCGCAAAGAGGAAGAAAGCACTACAGAGGTACGTGAGCTTCAGATACCGATTAAAACAAAATAAGAACCACCAACGTCAGTCCAGGTGGCTGTCTTTCATGGGACATATCCGTGTGCCACATGCCCCGTGTTATATTATCTGTATCATAATACACCGTATTCTCGTCGCGGTATATCATGTGTATCTCGGGCAAGCCTTCCGGATGGCCGCCAGTGGGATGGACATGTAGACGTCCTGTATTCGATCAAGCAACACGGACAAAACGAACATGCATCTCAAGCTGCTCACCAAAGTAGCTTCCAAATTCTTTCCAAAACTCACCCCCGGCTTCGAAAAAGTCATCTTGACCTCGGAATACCTACACGCGGGAGAATTATTATCAGCATCCAATCAACCTCGTTTCGAAATATAGCCGACCAAAACCCTTCTCCTCGCGACCTCCAATGCCAGTTCATCCCTCTCCTCCGGCGTCAACTTGACCAAATTCACACCTTCTACCTCCGTCCCGATAGTCGGACAGAAATTCTCAATTCTTGTTGCGCCTTGTAAGAATTTCCTCGGGTTCGGATGGGAGAGTGCTCGCATCCCTGGGTCGACATGTACAAAATCCTCCAAAGGCTCACCGATCTCACCTGGGTTGGGGTAGACTTTTGGGAGGAGGTCTGTGTAGGGATAGGATTCGAACGGTCCCTGTCCGCGATCTTTTGGCGTGGGTTGACCTGGAGAGCCAAATAGAGGGAGGGCAAGTGTGCTGCTGCTGCCCGCTGTGGCTGAGACCGTGTTGCAAGTAGTCTCCACGATTTGTTCTGCCTTGTTCTCCGTGATGATGGTCGTTGTAGTGGACGACATGATTACTATATGTTGGATACCTAGGCGTAAGGTTAGATTTTTTTTGCTGAGATGATAGGCATATTTATGTGATATATTCCAGATGCGATACGAAACTGGAAAACCTCTGCTTGGTTTCTTTCACATTTGGGCTTCACACATGCCTGAGAGCCGGTTCTCGCCACGTCGTATGCTTCTGTTGCTGTTGACGATACTCAAGTTTGATTGAATTCCATATCGTAGAAATACAGATGCCCAAGAAACTCACCCAATCTAGTTGCATGGTTTTGAAAGTCAATTTCGGTGCCGGAAGGGGCTTGATTTCCCGCCGCCCCTGCTCAAAAAATTCGAAAAACAACATTGTTCCTGGAATCAGACTAGAAATACACACTCAGACTTCAAATATCAGAGAAGTATTGAAAACAGAGGTATAGTATGCCCTGAAGAACGAAAAATTCGTTGGGAAAAAAGTACATGTTCCTTATAGCGTGTAAACTAGACTAGGCCTTGGACATCAAGTTCCGTCCAGTATTGGGCTTGGCTGGTCTCCCATTGGGGTAGTACCTCGAGAAGAGGTTGGGATAGAACCGTTCGGTCACATCTGCATGGCTTCGCAGTTTGCGAGCGAGAACAACCTCGCCTGCCAAGTCCATGTCTTTCTCAGAGAACCTGACTATAGAATGACGCGACTGAGATCTATAAGCAGAAAGATATGCAGAAGATGAACCTACAGTTACTGTCAACGCCAAGTTTCTTGTCTCGAGCGTATTTCATTTCCAATACCTCTTCAGGGACTGTGATAGGAATATTCAGATAGCTTCAGGGGGAAAGGTCACAAGATATTACAAGGAAAGTAGTGTTCAGCCAGCCTAACTTCGTGTCCAATGCTCGAGAAAAATGCCACGCTGAACCGTGGGGCTCCAATTGGAGACAAGACACGATGTGGGGTAGCGGGTAACACCCTCCTAGTGGCTTTTTCTAAAGCTGCGGGCGAGGCGCATGAGTAGGAAATCGAAAATGCTCAAAGCAAAGAATACAAACTCTTGCCAAGATTGATGACGAACGTATTTTCTTTGGGTGGCACTGGAATCCATTCACCAGACAAGTTCTTGACCTCCAGCGTACGGTGGTCTGTAGCCTGTAGAAGCTAGATGTATGGCCAGAAACTTTGAGCACAATTTCAAGAACACGCGACAGCAACAAACATACATAAGTCAAGAAACTACCGTCTACATGGGCAGCGATTCCGCTACCAGGTTGACCATCTGGCGTTCCCGGATATCTGAGAACTTTGCACCGAGGTTGGAGGTTGCCGTGGTCTTGATCAAAGAGCACGTCTAGCGCATCAGGACCTAGCCCAAGCGCCTCTGATACCAGACCGGTGAATTTGTAACTGAGATCTTCAACGTGATTGTAGTAAGTCAACATTGTATTCCGAAACTCAGGAAGATCTTGTTCCGAAGGCCACTAGATGCAAGAGAAAATAAAAGGTACTGCCAGTGGGCATCCTGCCGATGAGTGACAGTCTCGACGACACTTACTAAAGCCTCTCCGTGTAATTTGAGATATTCGGGTTCCCCTTCTTTCCATGAGCATGTCCTTGCTCCTCCGAAGTTGAACTGTTCCCTAACGCTCGCGTCGTTCGACAATGTCGCACCGCTGACCTTTAAATATCCATGAAAATGCATAGAATTCTTCATGTCCAACATATCCTTCGACTCTTGAGGTAGCTCGAAGAATTTTGGCGCTATTTCTTTCACCTGCGCTATGATCTCATGCGGGACAGGATGATTTGCGAGATAGAGGAAGCCAATGTTAATCATTGCATCACGGAGTTGGCGCAGAAACAAAGGTTTGTCCTTGTCGGAGAGTTGCCAGTCAATGATTGGAATTTCATAGTAGTCCAACTTGGACGCATCGGTAGAACGCGAAATAGGTGTGGAAATTTCGACCATAACGGGTTGAAGATGGGTTGGAAATTTTTCGGAAGACCTAAAGACGAACGAGCCAAATGATGTTTAAAAACCAGCGGCATATGCAATAGAAGCTCGAGAGCATGATTTTATTGCCCACGAACAGAGTACATGAAGTTGGGAATCCGTAAGTGTGAGGAAGTCAAAAGGAAATACGTGAAGATGGTGGTGGATGAGATTTATGTATGAGAAAATCTAGGATATATCCCAGGCCAGCGAGAAGACAGGTACCTGCATCCACGCTGGCAATTGCGAGATGGTCGAACATGATCACACACTGGATTGAAGTTTCAAGGAGTGATAGTCCTGTGGAATATGAGAGTTTTTATTGGGGGGGATGTAGAATGTGTAGACACTCATAAGCATAAATATTGATTGATTGAATCTTCAGATTATCCTCCGAGTCCCAGACTCCAGTCGTCGTTGTGATTCGTTGAATCTTGGGTTGGATACGACTTATGCATTCAGAGGCATTCAGATTCACGGTCATTCCAATGACACAACAGCGTTTCGAGACTTGTTCTCCCTTCAAGTCTACTTCAGCAAACGTCTCTTCTTCGTCCGAATGCGTCCCCCATCCAGAGGTCCATGATTTTCAGTAATTTTCCGATAAGATTTTGCAGGATTTCGCTCACGCGAGCTCGTAGTGAAGAGTAGGAGAGACCTCAAAGGTGTTCTATCCTAGAGAGAGGCCCCACACGCACGCGGAAGGTCACTGAGCCTGTAATTTTCCTGTCAGAGGACTGAACACTAGAGATATCAAAGAGAGGGAAAGGGTAGGTCCTGAATCAAGTTTCGGCGGCAAAGAGTCAGGAAAAGAAATAAGCGCCAGCACATCTTATCCTCTGAGTGATCCAACTCCCAGAAGCTACCAAAAAATACCACAACAATGCTTTGCAATACGAGTTAAAGTTCTCCCTTCTCATCCTTAGTCAGGCTACCAGAGAAAGGTCTGCATAACTTTTGGACAATACAGAACTATCAATACCGAGGAGCTTGGAACTGGAAACTCCAAGTTCGTCATGAAAGCTTGGTTTGCAACTCTGTACTCGCGTTTCTCCATTCAATGAAGGATAAATCTGTCTGATTTGTCTTTTAGCTGTAAAGCTCGTTTAGTATGTCCACAGAGGATCTGACAACTCATAATATAAGACTACCTTCGACAATTGATACGGTTCACATCCGACTATGAGGTCAATCAAGGTCATTTTGTCTTACTGGCTGTCTTCCGAGAGCAATCCGAGAGTGCTTCTTTGGACTCCTCTCACGATGAAAGCGCACCGCGCTCTATCTGCGGAAACAGGTATATAACAAGTCAAGTTGAGGTTGCCCAAACAGCGTTCGATTTTGACTGACCTCTTCGTCGAACATGTCTGGATTCCTCTCATATTTGCACACACATGTCGATGGCCTCAATTTCTATTGACCCAGTCTATTGCGAGGCATCGCTGTCGCTATTCTTTCAGCCAGCATTTGGACATTGTTTCGTGGTCGCCATAAACTTGATGGCGTCTCGTCTTTGAGCCAATTACGAGGTCCACAGTCACGATCGTGGTTCAAAGGTTAGTCCTCCATTTGAACTCCAAACAACACCCTACTAATACTTGCGTGCCAGGTAATCAAATGCAAATCTTCAGCTTGAAGCAGGGATGGGAATTTCACAAGATGCTAGCAGACGAGTGTAAGTCATCCCCCATTCCTTCGTGCTTGACTTCATCTGTTTCGTTTCTAGATGGGCCTACTGTCCAGATAACGGGCTTGTTAGGGGTAAGCAGAGTTTAAAGTACACGAGAGCCCAATATCATATTGTTTTGCCAATAGAAAAAGCAGCTTTACACATTCGATTCTAAAGCTATGCATCATATTCTTGTAAAGGCAAGTTCTTCCTAGACTAAATAATTCAATGTGGATTCATGTTATAATGGTAAATAGGACGGGTCTTCGTTTCAGCCTCATCGTATCGAGTACGCGGAGTTTCATTCTTCATTCCTCAACCCTCGGGACTTACTGTTTGTCAGGAGCGGTATTCTTCTATTTGGCAAGGGTCTGCTCAGTACAATCGGAGAACGTCATCGCAAGCAACGAAAGATGCTCAACCCAGTTTTCTCGATTGCTCATATGCGTTCAATGAGTGAGCCCAGGTTCATGATTATTGACAGCTTGATTTGCCAATAAAGAACATTTACCTTGGATAGTGCCGATCTTTTACGATGTAGTGGATCAGGTGAGGAACCCTTAACCTTATACAATAACCTCCATCGATGTTTGCATGTTCTGTTATAGCTGCAGAATGCTCTGTCGCAACGAGTCCGCAACGAACCTCGAGAGGCGAGTGCAATCAATGCATAAATACCACTCCCCTTTTGATTATTTCCGGAATCATTGCAGATTGAACTTGTAGGATGGATGGCCCGCACCGCCCTGGAACTTATTGGTCAATCTGGATTCGGGTACTCTTTTGACAATATGGTGGACGATGTACCCAGACACAAATACAGTATTGTTATCAAGGATCTCGTGTATGTCTTTTGATCATTTAGTAGAATTTAACTGATGAGACCCCATCACAGACCGACACTAACTCGACTGGCTTTCGGAAGGTTTTACTTACTTCCTTTAGCTGTCAAGATCTTACCCTCAAGTGTTCGCACATTCATTATGAACATTACCCCATGGAAAACTCTACATGATGTTCGGGACATGGTCAATTACATGCATGATCTGTCTGTGGAGATCTACAAAGAGAAGAGGCGCGCACTTGAAGAAGGAGACGAGGCTGTAATCAAACAAATCGGAAAAGGGAAAGATCTTCTTAGTATTATGAGTGAGTATTATTGGTTTATTGAGCACCTGAAATGTGGTTTGAACACTGATTTATGGTAGTGAAAGAGAATATGAAAGCGGATGATGAAGATAAACTCGAAGAAACTGAAATTATCGCTCAAGTAGGTGTCTGTTCCCTAACAATTCCATTCATTTTGGCTCAGTTTAATTTTCAATATGCTCAGATGTCGTGCGTTCAATTTGTATCTTCTATTCTAATTTCCCAAATTTCATTTCGCAATCCTAGAACATTTATATTAGCGGCAATGGACACTACCTCTGTAAGTGATTTATCGTTATGTGCTATTTCGTATGCATGTTTCAACACATTCGTATTCATAGAGCGGAATGTCTCGCATCCTCCATCTTTTGGCTCTTCATCCCAAGGTTCAGGACAAAATACGAGAAGAGATCATTGCAGCTCGAAAAGATCGTGAAGGTAGTCGGTTGTCCTACGATGAACTAGTTGGACTTCCTTATTTGGATGCAGTATGCAGAGAGACCTTGCGACTGTACGTTGCAATCACAAGTCGACCGTTCGATTCTCGCTGACTTTTGTCACCACAAAAAGCTACGCTCCAGTGTCTTCTGTCTTGCGAAAGTAGGTTCTCATAGATACTCAAAGAGATTCGAATATTCTGATCATATTATGAAATATCAGATCCACCGAAGATACAATAGTTCCTCTCTCACGACCTGTTCGCGGTGTGGACGGTAATGAGGTGACAGATATATTTCTGCCTAGAGCTACAACTGTGATCATATCGGTAATTCCATGAATATTTTCCTCTTCTCAGGCTGTATGCCTTATACAAGCTATTCCACCAGATTTTGAACGCGAATAGGGATCCTGAGCTATGGGGACCAGGTACCTCAAAATGCTTTCTATCAGTCACAATCTTAATGCTAATTTACCTTCAGATGTGTTGGAGTGGAAGCCTGAACGTTGGCTCTCACCACTTCCCGATGCTATCATGAATTCCAAGATGCCAGGGGTCTATTCCCACTTGTAAGTCACCGAGCTTCGGTCAAATGTTCGGATCGGTCTTATTGTGTGTATCCTGTACAGAATGACTTTCAATGGTGGAAGTCGTTCATGCATGTGAGACTCCATATTTTACTTCTCTTCCGCTAAGCGTTTCTCTCGGTCACTTTCAGAGGATTCAAGTTCTCCCAACTAGAGATGAGTACGTATCCATGTCTTTCAGTATTGGAGCTCTTTGTTTACCTGGCGTCAGAGGTCGTCATAGCTATGCTTGTAGAGAATTTCAAGTTCTCTCCTCCACTGGACAAGGAAATTTTTTGGCAAATGGCAGGCATTGCGAGCCCTGTCGTCGTTGGAGGCAGCGACTCCATGCACCCACGGTTGCCACTCATCGTTGAGGCAGTTAAGGGAGATTCTTAATGTGTTCCATGTCGTCCTAGCGTTCTCCTTCTACAGGCATGCTCGAAATTTCTCTTTTAGATCTGTTACCTATGTACCTTGTATGATATTAGAAACGAGCGGAATATGAAGGAATGTCACTGATCCATGCCATGCCTATGTTTGTATGCAAATACTAGCTTCCTTGAACAGTAAACCAACCATATGTATCCAGATCCATTGTAAGCCCCTGTCATCTATTACCGTTCAGCAACCCGGCTCATGCTGAAATATCAAAGCCAAGGAAAGTCGTTCGCTCTTCATAATCAGTCATAATCCATATGCGATTTATGCAACCTCGGATCTCCGGGCCCGAAAAAATTTATGCTATCGGGAAGGGGCCTCAGGAGTATGCTGGAAATTAACTCTCTTCTTGTCAGCCCCGGAAAGTCATGGTTAATGCTCTTTGGTCGCCTCCCTTTGGTCCTTCCCCAACTCACTCTGTCCGATAAACCCCTCAAATTCCGCGATGTGGGCCGATACGTGGGCATCTTCTTTCAATCTACCCACCGTAACATGTTCGCTCCCCACTACACCGAAAAGCGCGACGCTGCCGTTGGGACTGCACGTGCAATCACTGGCTGCGATCTGCTTGTTGGGAATTGTCGCATGCCTCCCTCCATCACTAAACAACTTTACACAGCGCTTGTGGACTGCCACCTCACCAACGGTTGCGAGATCATACCCGATACCGACCCGAGTCTTATCCAGATTCGCTTTCTACGCCGTATGCTCAACCTCTCCAACAACTCTGTCATTACACCTCTATTCACCGAATCGGGGATCATGCCTATTCGCACCCGCCGCGCATCGCTCGCACTCCGATACCTCAAATGCCTCATCACTCTCCCTCCCTCTCACTATGCATTCTCGGCCCTCTGGGAGAACGACAACCTCCGCCGTGCTGGCTCTCCATGCTGGCTCTCGGACTTGGACTATGCCATCTCCCAACTCCCGGGCCACCACCGCCTGCCTCACCTGCAGGATCTCAACAATGTCAGTATCGACACTCTCATCAAAACCATTGAGTTCTCCACAAAATCGGAACTACAATCCCATATCGACACCTGGTCAAAACTCTCTTTACTCAGAAATCGCCTAGAACCGAAGGAAGCGGGTCCGGCAAAACAGCAAATCATTGGACTTCGACATTATCTCACTCAAGTCAAGAACCATGCTCATCGTCGCTCGATCACCAAACTCCTCTGTGGCGACCTCACCCCCCAAATATTCCGAGCTTCTGCCTCACCCCTGCGTCTGCTCACCCCAACTGAAGTTCTTCACCGAACCTGTCGTGCATGTAATCTACAGGGAGAGACTCCACAACACCTTCTGTTTCAATGCCCGTCTCTTACCTCTATCACTTCTCTCCGAGCCGAGTTCTTCCTGTCCATTCGACAGTCTCGGCCGCTACTACGCAGCCCAAATCTTTCGGATTCCACTGCGCTACACTATCTCAGGTTATTAATTTTCGACTGGAACCTAATCATCCCCACTGCTAAATTCATCCACGAGGTCGTGACTCTCTGGCAACTCTTTTTAGATACTGGTTTAGATGGCTCCTTGGAATATGTTGAAAGCGATTATGAGTCAGAAGTGGAGTGATCTGCGTCCGTTCAGTTCTATTTTATGTATACAACAACTACCCTGTACTATATCCCCTTCACTCTAGCTGCAGTCTACCATCCCAGGTTGGATGAGCATTCGCTGCAGCGAAGATTGCTGGGCCCGGCTGTTCCCTTGTGGGACCCCGTCGACTCGACGGAGCCGCGTATATATCTATCTATCTATCTGTAGACGGATTTCAAGAAGTACTCTGTACTACCAGATGATGCTCCATTGAGATGTAAAGAAGGGGCGAGAAAACGAGCGCCTACAACTCATTATTATATTTGGGGAGCTCAGCCGCTATGGAAAACAAAGTCACAGGAGTCTCGCTATTGCACAAATCCGCGTCATCTAGTCTAATACCGTTCAGCGACCCGGACAATTTAATCTATCTCCTATGCTTCAAGGGTCATGAGACGAGCATGCGAAGGAAGGAGGTGGAAGACATGAAAACAAGAGCTGAAGTAGTAAGTGTTGCATTCTACCTTCTTTGCGTCGTATATCCCGTGTACATATTTCTACTTCTTCTAAGTAACCTCGATCGTGTAATCAATCGCTCGGAGGCACGTAACCCTCAACTAACATCTTCGAAAACTCTTCAAGCTTCGCTGGACCTCTGACTTCCTCTGTCAGCAATGGCAGTTGAACGATGTGGAAGAATTCGGCGTATAGTTCTGTGCGCGCGCAAAGTGAATGAGAAAGGAGAGATGAATTAGTGATATGGTTGTAATGATTAAGAAAGGAAATGGAATTTACCATGTGCTTCAGCTAGATACTTCTGTTGCATCTTCCGCCGGACACCACAATGTGTGCAATTGGAGTCTGGGGAGTTGATGTTGATGAGGGATACTCAACAATAAAAATATTAAGAGAAACAGAACGTCGAATGAAATCATTAATGGAAGAAATTCCCAGCAGATGAACCATGAAGGCGGAGATATGGATATGGAATATGCCAAGTATAGGGGCGAAGGAACGACCGCAACGAAACAAAAGATACAATGCACGGCTTACCTTTCTTCGGGAATAGCAGCTGGTTAACGACAATATTATGAGTATCGATCTCATATGATGTGAGTTCTTGGATGAGACGCTCGGTTTCGTACAAGGAGAGGAATTCAGAGATGCAAATGCAGATAAAGGTCGTTTTTTCCTGTAGTGAACGGCGCGAACGTAGGCGGAAAAAGATTATAGAATGACGCAAATCAGACACGTCAGCCAAAAGTACCAGAAATGTCGCAACGTACGGGGTCCTTGAACTGAGAATTCACTTCGGTGATCACTTCTCTCATGGACTCAAGTTTGGCAAACATGTCTTCTTGGGAAGCTGCTTCTCCGCCCATCATTGAAGACATCTATTGGGGTGGCAGAATCAGGCCAAGGGATGAGAAATAAAATTATCTGTCGCTATATGCAAGCGCATACCTGATTAATCATCGGCCCGAACCTTGAACCCAAGGTACTCAGCTTGCCTAACGCCTTCTCCAACACGGTAGGGAAAGAGAGGAAGCGGAGCGTGTGCCCGGTAGGAGCCGTGTCAAAGACGATGACGGAGTAAGTTAGGGATTTGACGTGTCTATGCACAGAGAGTGATTAGGTCGCGTTCAAATCAAGGATTAGCTGAGAGAAAACACGGATGGAAAGAATAAGGGGACGTACTTCATAATTTCCGCAAAACTCATTGCTTCATCGACACCTGGGATAGCGAAGGCAAGATCCTGCATCATTGAACCCATCATTCCATTCGAGTCCGCTGAAAAGCCATAAACGCATAACCCACTATCAGATATGAATTTACTTACACTGATCAACCATTTCCTGAATTGCACTCGTCGGATCAATCTCCATCGCATACAAATTCTTGAACCCATTTACAAGTGTGGCATCCTTCGAAAACTTTTGGCCAAAGGCATCAGAAAGGTTATGGGCCGGGTCTGTGGACTGCAAACAGCCCGCATCAGTCAGATGCTTTGCACAAACATTATATCAACCGTGCTCACAATTAATAACACACTCTCCCTAACTTTCGCCAACTGTATCGCCAACGAACAACTCGACGTTGTTTTTCCCACACCTCCTTTTCCTCCACAGAAAATCCATTTCAACGATGTCTGGTCGAGAACGTTCTGTAGGGTCGGTTCAAGCGTTTCGAATTCTGGTGTAGCAACAACCTCCATCGAAGCCAATGAAAGAATTCCCGATAAAAATAATGATTGTAGGGGTCTGATTATCCAGGTTAATGAATTTAGACAATAGAGTGGTGTCTCCGGTTTATCGTATGTTCAGAAATGAGGCCTTGCGAGGTCAGAAGTGCAATGGGAAGTACTTAACGAAAAATGGTTAAACGCTCATACACGTCAGCGTGATTCTTGCGCGCTAAGCTCTGGGGCTCGAGCGCGCTCAATATCTGCGATTTCCCTTTACCATCAATTTATATCCTATCATATCCTATCTGCAAACTGCCTCATTCCTGCACTGAAAGCTTTTTTATTTCCTGCTCCGTCGGTCTGTTCCAAAATCAGCGATTATCCTTTCTCTTACTTTGGAAGGATATGCATAATGCAGCGAAAATTCCAGGGGACAGTGGCAAGTGTTCGCGAGGTGCAGGCGCACTGGCAGTGGTAAACTGATGGTCCTGGATGATAAATTTGAGGACCGAGCCACGCATTATGATTCAAATTTTCCTCCTTCGTCAACACCGCCTTAGTAGACATTAGTGCGTAGCCCCTTCCTCTCTTATCGCCCATGGGTGTTGTGATGTCAGTGGACTAAATTTAACTGATTAATCCCCGTATCAGCATATCTTGCCTGAAATCTTTTACAGGAAGCAGTAGATTTTGCTGGTCAAATATCTTCGTCGCTGGATCGATTATTCTACGGTGTGTGTACCTCTATGTCTAATATAGGGTATCTTCTCACTTTGGCATTTACTAGTGCACTGCATTACAGTCCTCTGTTGCCTTCTTCGTCTTCTTCGTCTTCGACCCGCCATGTTCATATTTCAATCATCGTCGAGTCGCTCTTTTCGAGTCACCATGCACCTCCTCTTGGCTGTTACCTTCCTCAGTGTTGCTTCTTCTACCTCAATCACACCGAGAGCTGGTATGTTTACCAGCCATTGCAGTAGTACGTGCTAAAATGAACATGCATTTCAGGACCGAAACAACTGCCAGTCTGGTTGGGGCGTGTCGGCCAGCTTCGCGGCAATGTTCGCTATGATGATGTCCTCGGATTTTCTAAGAAGACACCCATTCAGTCGGGAGATGTGCCCGTCATTTTCTTTGGACAACACCATGTCTTTTGGGTTGATTTTGATCCTACGACCACAACGATGAAACTCATCCCATTCCCACCCGATCAGATCCCTCTTAAAGGTAAAGGCACTAGTAAAGTCACTTTGAACAGCAGACTTTTGGTGGATTTGGGCCTGAGGATCAAATTTGATGAGGTTGGGAGTCGTTTATGGAGAGAAAAAGGCCTCGCACTCATTTCTGATGCGCATTTTCCGCAACAAATCGCTCAAGTGCTTGGTATGAACCCATCTGACATTACCCTGCAAAACGACTTCGATTGTTTTGATATCCTACTCGATGCTCTTCACCATGTCGGGGTATTTAAACCTAGCAAGGCATCATTTAAAAAGTATGAAGAAGTACAAGCGAGATTCAAGACAGGAGTAGGGATTTTTCAGGAGGTAGTACCCCCTGCAAATGGTAAAGGAATGAATGCAGGAAAGTATATGCTAGGCTAGGCTAGGCTAAGCAGGTGTTGTACAAAAACTTGTCAAGTTGGGAGGTACTAAAGCTCAATGAGACAAGTTTCAGATGAGTAGTATGAGTTTAAGCTCCTTAGAGTAAGAGCCATGGCTATACCCACCAAACAAGGACTTGGCGCGCAACCCACATCCGAGGAATGGAGGCGGGCAACAAATTAGGGATGTTCTCGAACAGCTGCCGTACCTCCCCGTTCCTTAGGACTTACTTGCTTGCGGTAAATGAAGAGTTACATATCGAACGGAAGCGCCGATGGACGAATGTACTTCAGAGGCGCTCAGCTGTAGAGGCTACTTACATAAGGCTTTTCCTGGTCTCCTCTGCACAACCTCTGTAAAAAGATGATTAATTTTAGAGGTAAAACCCCCTCGCATGAAGGTATAAAATGTGTATCTCATTCTGCCTTATTGGCGCAACGCAGCCCTTCAACTAGCAAACGAACAGCAAAGTGCATATGGCTTGAGGTATGATGACTTTGCCAGATATAGGTTCGTCGCTTTCGAGCCATATGTAATGCCTATTGTTGATGCATAAACTTACAGGAAGCATTGTGCAAATCGCACCCATCGCCTACGGTCTTCACTCAAATTGACCCATGGAACGAAAGGGAAAGAGTTCAGGAAACTTCCATCGTTGACTGAAATGGACTTGGAAAAAGTCAAGGAAGGACAGTGAGTGTTGGCCTAATATTTTACGCGATGTAACTTGTGGGGCTGATATGATATAATCACAGTCTTCAGCTCCTTCTCTTCGAATCCGAACGAGCTTGGGCCTATGCACAAGAGCTCACTTCCCTATCTCTTCTCCCAACCAATTCGGCGCATTCCGCATCTCTACTTCACCACGCAACCGGTCGTTTCCGACGCGCCATCAATTGGGCCACACAACTGCTCTCGTTGACCCAACGTCTCTACACCTCTCACAAATTCACCGCAGAATCTCTCCTCGAATGTACTGCCTACTTACTTTTACTCAACGGGCGTTTCCTTCTCAGCGCTCCTCGAGAGGATTTCGAGTCTGCTTTACCACAGCTGTGCGTCACCCGTCTGATTCTCGATATCCTAGCCCTTCATGCCGGGGATTCTCGAGATCAGGCTCTGGCCGTGCTTTGGTCAGACCAGGTGGGTCCGATGGTGAGGTGGTGTGCGCATCAAATGGGTAGAGAGAAGGCGTACGACGTTGATTCCATTGTCAAGGAGGTTTCAGAGCAGAACGTGAGAGACCTTGTGGATAATTGGGACGAAGTTGCGGAGAAGTTTAAGAAAGACGCTGAACATTATGGATTGGGCTCTAATGCGAAGAAGTTGGGTAAGCTTGATGAAAGCAGATTGATGTGGGAAGGTGAACCTGTTCCGGTACGCAATCCGGAATTAGTGGATGTGTTGTTGAAGGTACAGAGCGCCGAGATGAAAATGGCCTCAAGCAGTGGCAAGGACGGGAAAGCCCCGACTAAGGGAGGTCAAGGAGGGAAAAAAGCTGTCGCGGCTTATGATTCTGTTCTCGCTGCGTTGAGCGACGCGGAAGAGGTAGCGAGGAAGTTGAGTGAGAGTGAGTCGCAGAAGGTAAGCATGGAAACTGTTTCTTCCTGTTGCCTGTTTGTTCGCCTTCGTGTGCGTTTTGCAACTCCGTGCAGTCTTTCTGTTGCTGCTCTACCAACTTTATTCTCGTTTCCCTGTAGACATACCCCGCATTTCTGAGCTCCCCTGTCCTTTTGCAATAGCGGACCGTTCGATACGTTACTTCCAGAAATAATCATCTGCTCATTTTCCAGAATTCCTCTCTACTCTTTCAACGTGTTGTTCGAATAATGACCATTCTTCTATAGGCTTCCTCTTCGACCATTCCAGGATCTCTCCCTTCCAGCGGTGGAGGTCAAATCCGGGACATGCATTTCGTCCATACCTACATCGTGTACCAGCTTTTATCTAAGCGGATCCAGCGAGATTTATTGTTGGTTGATGCGTTAGTTGGGGAGGCAGATGCAGCGGGAGCCGCAGGAATAAAGGGAAAGACAATTTCGTCAACCTCGACTTCCTCTGCAGACCCACGTCTCTACCCCGCCATCGTCAAGCTCCTTGACTCCATCCTCCAATCTCTCTCCCAACTCCGTACTCTAAGCATCGTGGATGATAATCCTGATCTTAGTGCTGCTGTCGATGCGAGGATCGGGTTTTCTAAAGCCAAGAGATGTGTTAACCTTGCCAAATGTTATATCGTCATCCCAGGGGATAAAAAGTATGCTGAGGCGCTAACACTCCTTCAACATGCCACCATCCATCTACGCGAGGCGCGTCGGGTGCTGGAGACACTCGGTCTATCGGCTGATGATTCTGACCCCAACGACGAAGTAGAATTTTACCCCTTGCTGGAAAAGGATCTTGAGGTTCTGGAAGAATCCATAAACAAAGAGGGATTAGAGTATAAGAGAACATGGTTGGAGAAAGGTGGTGCTGGAGTAGGAGAACAACAGGGAGGGAAAGGTCAGAAGCAGAAGAAGCCAGTGTTCTTCAACATTGCTTTGAATTATGTGGATGTGGATGTGGAACTTATGGAAAGGTTGAGAGAGAGGGCTGGGATGACCCCAACTGCAGCCTCAACTACTCAAACTTCTACTGGTTCTACTCAAAATCGGATCGCTCAGGCAACACTTGGATCGTCAAAAGCTCCGGCAATAGCAGCACCTAAGGCATTTGCGTCGGCGGTTGGACCTAGAGCAAAAGCAGCGGTAATGGAAGAGGGCATGAGTCGGAGCGGAACGCCTGAACCCAGAGAATCAGATGGGAACAAAGCAGCTGGTGCCACGAGCAGGCTGGGTAGCCTGTTGGGTGGATGGTGGGGAAAGAATTGACTGCTGCAGACTCGAATTGATTCATGTATCGGAATGCTCAGAAGCCCATGTATGTTATTGCAGTACTAGTAACTATCCCAATGGCCAAATGCTTCTGCTTTTTAGGATGGACGACGTCCAGAATCATTTATATCATCATGTGAAGACACACTTGTACTTGATATAAATAAACTCTCCTTTACTCAGCTTACTCACATGGAAAACAGAAAGGTCGCCATTTTCCCCGCCTCTGGCAAGCTCGGTGGAAGCTTAATGAAGCACGCCCTCCGACTAATACCTGCTCATCATATCGTCCTGATCTCTCGTTATCCCACCAAAATCCCAGAAAGTTATCGTGATGCTGGTGTGATAGTTCGAGCTGCCGACTACGACTCCCTAAAGACACTGGAGAATGCATTTTCGCAAGTGAAAACCCTGTTTCTCATATCTTATCCTACATTCCAACATGAACATCGCACCAAGGTTCGTTCTTACATGGAATCTGTATGTCTGTTATCATTTAGATAGTATTTAAATGTCCCACACTAGGCGCATAAATTGGCGATTGATTCCGCTCTCGAAAGCGGAGTGAAGCACATCTTCTACACTTCTTTGGCGTTCGCAGGCGGTGGCGACCATTCGGTCGCACACGTCATGCAGGCCCACCTCGACACAGAGAAGTATCTCGCGCACTTGGCCAGCGAGAACCCATCCTTCTCTTACACCTCTATTCGCGAAGGTCTATATTCGGAGTCTTTCCCCATTTACACAGCGTTCTTCAACATAAAAGGTACGTCTACTAGTGAGATCCTCATTCCGCACGACGGTCAAGCACCCGGTCTGGCTTGGGCGAAACTAGACGAGCTTGGTGAAGCTTCGGCTCTGCTTCTGGCTAGATTCTATGCCGCTCCTGACCACTTTTCGGACAAGAACCGGGTTTTGCTGCTGTCGGGCCCTCGTGAATGGTCTCTTAACGAGACCGTGCAGGCCCTCAGTCGAATTGTAGAAAGAGAGGTATCAATCCGCCACGTATCTGTGGATGAGTACGCCGCTCAGCCATCCATTGAATCTGGTCTTACGATTAATGGTATAAAAATGGCAAAGCAATGGGCAACTGCATATGATGCCATTCGCAATGGGGAGACAAGAGTGGTTTCATCTTTACTCAGAGACATTCTTGGGCGTGAGCCAGAGGATTTTGAGACAACCATTCGAGCAATAGCGACGCAACGATGATATTTGATTTTTCTGACTGGCCGGAGAGAATGGAGAGGTCTTTCAAACAAGATTTTTGATGTTCCAGTTATGCAATCTACTGTATCTCTGGAAAAACATTACCTACCACTCACTCTCGTTGATTAACAACTAAGAGTTCAAGCTTTTCCGGTAATCTCTTCACAGCCATCACCGCGCCAACGCTGATCAGTATGAATACCACATATACAAGATTTGATCCAAGCCATCGAAGCACTATTCCTATGTGAATCTGTGTGTTCAGCGAAATTTGGACGGAAAGTGCAAATAATGACGTTGCAGATGCAGGTCCAATGGCTCGAGCGATAGAGGCACCAGTTTGAGCAAGACCATTTGTTACCCCGATAGAATATGCATTGGGTGCTGATGCACGGATGTAGATGAATGCTGAGCCTAGAGAGCAAAACATTTATTGAGAACATATACAAAGAATGAGGTTCTGAAGCAAAGAACCTGAACGAAACAAACTCACTAAAACCCATATCCATGATAACATACAAACTGATTTGTAACACCAAGTCTACCCATGTAACTACATTGACAGCCTTGTCCTTACCCAAGCTCCTGCTCATCATCGGAAAAAGTACCCAGATTGGTACAAACATCATCATACTGATCACATAAATTCTTTTGGGGCCCATCCACGCGTATATTGGCGCAAACGCCAGAGCTTGATATATTCCGCTAGCGAAAAAAAACGCAGCAAGACAGGTACCGACGAGCGGAACACTGAAGCCAAGCCCACCAAACGATGGTGATGCGGTGAGGAAGAGCGGTTGAATTGCACGCAGGGCGATGTCAAGGAAGGCCAGGAGGGTGTAGGTGATGATAGATATCCGAACTTGAGGGGTGAGTACTTTAGAAAGGGGGAGTTGAGATGGCAGAGCGGAAGGAGTAGAAGAGGTAGAGGTATCGCCCGCTTCCAAGGTATCAGAGGCAGCATTGTAGAATTTCACAGACTTCGGGAGGCGTTCATTAGTATTCACCCTGGTAGGGAAGAGTGCTTACCTCATCCAGATACAAGAACGTCACAATCAAGGTCCCTGCACAATATATCGCCACGACGAAACACGGTAGAGCATAAGGATACATCTTCCAAAAATGCCCTGGAAATAACGAAGGAAATTGTTCATGAGGGTTCGACAGCCAACCTCCAATGACTGGACTACAGACACGAAATAACGAAGATATCAGTTGAAAGTCGATCGAAATGGATAAAAGCAACATAGTCAAATGAAATGCGCAAGATGAAGACGAGGTTATTCATGAAACGTACCCAATAGTGGCACCCGTATTCCATATAACCGGCATCAGTGCCATAGCTTGAGCGATAGTGGTCTCGTCAGTTATTTCCCCCATCATACTTTTGATGACTCCAGCGTTTCCGTTGAGGGCACCGGAAAGGCAGCGACTGTTATATTACATGGAGCTGTCTATCGGAAGCTTTTGTGACATGAAAAATCCGTCTACATACCTTAGAATTAGACCCCAAAATGTACTACTAACACCAAAGCATGCCGTCGATAGTGTCAAACCCAAAAGTCCGATAAGGATGATAGGTTTGCGCCCAACGCGGTCAGAAAGTCGGCTCCAGTAAAGCACGGTCAGAGCTTGGGTAACTGAGAATAGAGATTCCTATGTAGTGTAAGTAGATGAAGGGAGAGAATACACCAACAATGATCAAATATTAGAATTTGAGATTGATTATAAAGCGGCGTACAATCAGACCAGCATAATAGCCCATTTTTGCCTCGTCTCCGCCTGTTATGGGCATATCACTGACCATCTGGAAGATGAATAAAGTAAGATAATTTCAAGTCAGAAGTGATCGTAGGTTGATATATCATAGTACGAACTTTATTGATAAAAGGATAAATGACCTGCGAAGTCAAAGGTTCCGCTAGTTGTATCCAGAACAAGACAAATAGTTGACGCCAAGGAAGTGGTGTGGGTGTATGTCTCGCTACATTGCTCAGGAGGAGTGGTGCCCGCTCTGAATCCTGCGATTCCTCTAGGTTTTGCTCGTTCCGTGCCATCGATGGCAAACGCGTGCATGAATTTTGCTCATCCATAGTGGTTATCTCTTTCTGCGAGGATGGACAACATTTGAACTTCAGATTTTCATGTATGTATAGTATTGCTCCCGGTGCCGATGTTGGAGACCGGCGATCCGGAGTCATTATTTATGACTCGAGTAGAAAGACAGACAGCGAAAATTCGAAGCTATTCATTGAAGTGAATTTGAACTCGCTTGAAGAGTCAAAACGCTGTAGTAACGAACAGTCAAACCTGTATCCGTATCGAAGGCAAATAATCCACGATTTTCAAGGTACTGGAGATATTCAAAAATCATGTATGAATGACGTATGTATGTCGGATTACTGGCTGCTGGCGCTGAACATTGGAACGAATGGAAAGAGAGTGGACCCAGCGCAAGCGCTCGCGGCGTTAAACAATCTGAGGCGGGCCGGGTCCGGCCCAGCTTTAGTGTGGGAAACACTTGACTTTTGACGTGAAACGAATTGATGGTTGTGTTGTTTTCTCTTTCCTTATTCCCCTCGCCATCGCTATCACCGTTCGTTGAGCTCGTTTCCTCTCGATCAACGGTCAAAGTGAATTGTGCAGTATCTCTAGGGACGCTCACAAGGCCTTGGACAAGATTCGATAACGGACCTGACAAGAGAAATTACTTTCCACTCACTCACTATACACATTCCTTAATCTCTCAACGCTCCCTCCTCATCCCAAATACCTAACGTCTTTATCAACTTCATACAGAAAATGGGCTTTCAAAAATTCCGACTTGGTCATGCTAGTGCGCCCACTTCGCACAAGAAGAAGCGAGCGACAGATTCTAGTATGTGAAATGCAACTGATCACTCCGTATCAATCTTAACAAATTGCCAGGCTGTCTTACCGGAGGATTCTACACGAATCCTGTTTCCGGTGCTACTATCGACTCTCTGAAGACCTTGAATATCACTTGGGACACTTCGTGTTTGACCCCTTCCAACGACGAAGTTGACATCTACCTCTACGCTCCCTCTGCGGCGACTCCTCGACTTCATTTGTGGGAAGACGTTCCCTTTAGCAAAGGATACTATGAGGCCGAGTTAATGCCCCGTTGGTGGAATACAACTTCGAGCGAGCAGCTTCAGTTGCTCATCCTCCAGAGCGGTGACGCACCCTTCCTTGCGACTCTTCCCGCCGGACCTGTCTTCACAGCAACTTATAGTACACCATCCTCTGGAACACCCGAATCTGCTCAGACTTCACTTGCTTCCCTTGATTCGGGAATTACCGAGGTCCAATCGACGGCATCTACCTCTTCCTCTTCGCACCTCTCAGGTGGTAAAATCGCAGCTGCGGTGATTATGCCGCTCCTTGCCGTTGCTGCCCTCGCCGTATTCTTCTGGATCCGACGCTCTCGTGCCACTGTCAAGGAAGAACGCAAAGTGTGGTCGGAGAAAGTGGATCAACGTATGTCGGTCGTATCTGCCGATTGGCAGAGTATTTCTCCCGCCGGTGCACAAGCGGCCATTCGCAACTCGATGGCTATCAGTGCTTCTATGGAAGCAGAAGCGCGTATGTCTGTGGCTGCTGTCAACCTTGCCGGAATGGGCGTCCAAGCCCCCGGAGGAGGTGTCGGAGGGTTTTTCATTCCCGGTCAAGGTGACCCAACTGTAAACCCCATTGTTGCAATGCCCGTCCCATCGTTTCCTGCAACAGCACAACTTCGTCCTGGTCTCCGTTCTTCTGCTTACTCATCTGCTGCTGCCGCTGCCCGTGTCTCCCGTGTATCCTTCGCAGCGGATCCTGCCATCCCCGGTCGTCCTTCAGGCGAATCTCGTCGTTCCATCTATGATCGCGAGCGGCCTTCGTTCGATTCTTCTCAGCGTCGTTCAGGGTATTCTCAGTACAGTCAGAACAGCGCTACTCGAGGCAGCAGGGCATTCCACTACGCTGATGGTGAGATGCCTCCGATGCCTGATGGCGCCGCCGAACGCGCCTCCCAGTTCTACGCACTCAATAGTAACACGAACTTTTCTACTCTTGGTTCCCACATGAATGTCTCGTCGTCAACCATTTATTCATCCTCTGTAGACGCCAATCGGATGTCGAGGATGAGCCGATTCGACGAGGTCTATGGAGAAGACTACTCTGGTGAATATTCGGTCCAAAATGAAGATGGAAGTCGTGAAGAAGGAACCATGAGTCCTACGCAGACGATGGGTCCCATCGCACTGAGCACGGATGATATCAAAAGGAGGATCAGCATGCGCCAAGGAAGCCCGAGTAGTGGTAAAGCTAGCTTTGACAGCGGGAATGACGATGTTGGGCCCGCGTTAACTAGTACGTGGATTTTCACTCGTATTCCATTGTTAATAATGCTGTTTCAATTAATCGCTTGCTAACACATTTACGTCTGCTGTAGTGATGCGCGCTCAAGAGGATGATTATTTTAACCACAATGGTGGTACATCTGAAACGATCTTCACCACCTCGCCTTCGCCGAATCAAACTTCCTTCCCCTCGTTCCCAATACCTTCCCTTTCCGGAGTAGTCATTCCTGGATCACCCGTCTCTTCGCCTATCGTTGAACTGCCTCCTACTACTTCTACGAGCACTTTCACTGGTATGGCACCGCCCAAAAACGGTATGAGCCCCGATGATATGCTGAGGGCTTACGCGGAAAGGAAAGCTGCTGCTGGAGCAGTAAGAGTTGGGACACCAAAGATTTCAAACCCGTCTCCTCTAGCACGGGAGGTGATTTCACAACCCATTGAGGAGCAAGAATCTGGAAAGGCCTTGTAATTGAATCAAGGAGTGGGTGAATGATCAAATAATGTGCGATTGAGCTTAGGTATCAGTCAACTCGCGCTCAAGAGCTGAGATACTTTGCCTGACGCCCAGCCTTCGACGATCGGTCAGTAGCTCATGCTTTGACTAGAGCTCAGCGTGATATGTGCTTCGACAACAATATCTGCCCAGTTATTCCATTCGTTCATCTGTACTTCCTTTGTCCCCTCCTTCTCTAGCTTTTCCTTTCAATCTCTGCTTCCATGCCTCCCTTTATTTTTGCCTTTCCCTTGGCTATTGGATCGTTGTATCTGCCCAATGTTGGCGTCGAAGTTAATTCTTCCACCGAATATGCCGTCCTGTCGTTTCTTATTCTATATTCTGTCTCTGTGTATTACATACTTGTTGACGATTGATCATCTCAGTATCTATCTTTGTGTGGGTCACACATACGTATGTTATTGATATATTTTCACAATTCTTCTTCCTAACGACTACCTCGCCTTAGCATGCGAGGTTTTCTGTCTCTTTATCCCTTCTATTTACTTCTATCTTCTGGCTGATTGTCATCTTTTCCTATAGCGGTTCATCTGGGCTGCTCACTCGCATTGGTATGTACCTGCAGGTTTGGCATGTATACTATCATATCTTCATGGACTGATGATATTGATATCGTACGCCAAACAATTGTGTATCTTCCTCAGGTTCATACGTACCACTCTAGAAGTTGTACATACTCATTTTCTATCCTCGGTCATCTTGGGCCCGGCTCGCCTACATTTGTCGTTGAAGATTGTTCTTCGTACATATATATACCCAATCAACAAAGTTTCCACTTACGCAAAACGTACTTTGGGCTTCAAAACATTGTTTAATCCTGTGGATCTTACATAGTTCTCGCAACCTCGAAATGTTGCTGTCAGAAGGTACATTGACTATTATACACATGTACAACTACGTACATAAGCAATCACCGCAAATTCACAATTTTGATCACCTGTGAGGATAAACAGATGAGACTGGGATCTATAAGCAACGCCAGTGCACATACCCGCTCAATCTTCATGTTTCCGCGCGCAGCCTTGGGACCCACGACGAACGCATCGTCATGTTCAACCCATATCCTCCCATCGCATTCTGGACTACAAAATTTTAACGCTGGGGACGGCGTGAACTTGAAGTATATGGTAGGAGTTATACGAGGAAACCCTGAGATAGCGAGAGGAGACTCAGATTCGACGACCTGCTCATGTGTGAATGTTAGCGGCGTCTGCATCTCTGGCAAGCCATGCGGCACATAACCGAGCAGTTTTTCCACTTTTCCCTGGATTTTCTTATTTGTCATATCGCCCGAGGCCCTCTTGGAGAAATCGACCTTAATGTGAGTACCCGACTTTGGGGCACTAGCAGTCTCTGAAGAGCGCGACTGTAAAGGAGTCTCTAATCCCATCTCGTCAATGGTGACCATCTGAAAAAAACGACAGGAAAATAAGGATACGATCGATCACTTTCACGAAGATACACACCTGCGTGATTTCCTTACCTCCATAGGTAGTCCTTTGACCCGATATGGAGGCATAACCTGTTTTGACTTGGATCGTCCCGGTGCAGAACGGCTTACAGAAGGCCACATCCTCTGGGGTCGGATGACCTGGGATGGTAAACTTGAAAGAGACAGTGGCAGAATGTTTAGGCGCAGAACGTTGTGTACCAGATTGATCTCCACACAGGATGTCAAAACCCTTGAGCTCCGGCAAAACGAGTGCTGCATTTGAGACCACCTCTTTAGCCTTCTGACAGACTCGGTCATTCGTCTGTTCCAGGAATGTAATCAAAATATGGGGATTCGGACGCGAGGGTTCCGAACGAGGCTGAAATCCCATATCACTGACGGCCTAGTCATGAGAAGAGAAGTCAATATGTGTGAAGGACCATCCGGCGATTACTGACAGTCAAAGGTATCGCAAAAGCGAATGAAACAAAAGCGAAGGCAACGTAGTAACCAGAGTTGAGATACATATTGACAACTTGAAGGTTGAGAGACGCTGTTGGACGGGGCATCAGATTCAACTTCATACGTATAATCCGAGAGCAGGAAACTTACTTGGGACAGAGGGAACCGATCTTCGACCAGCGAAGAGAAGCTCGAGGCGGTAGCATTAGATTGTGCAAGTTGATATGTATATCACCAGTGGTAAAAATCAATTCTTTTCCGTCGGTTATGGGACGCCGGATAAAATGGCGCTTGTTATCGTCGGTAAGTAGAGTGGTGATCAGTATCGGTCCACATTATGTACGCACATTCTGCAAATTGTGAGTAGTGAGCTTTGTACGTTGGAAAGAGCCTCGGCGTCAGCTTGAGCCCGAGAAAAGCCGAGAAACGAATAAGATAAGATAAGAGCCGGATAAAGCCTTTTTGGCTCTTTTTGGTCACTCAAATGGTTATCCTCAAATCTAATCAGTTTCAGGTCAGTGATCCGACGTTCGTTCAACGTTGAATGAAGTCTTGCAGTCCAACAAATCTATATTTTTTCTCGTCTCGCATCGCAAATGAGCGCAAATTCAACAAGGTCAAAGAAACGGAGAGAGCAGAGCATCGTTCAATTGATCAAAATCCAAATATTCAAACATTCAGGTGTTAAGGCTATGGCAACTTATGGCAAACGAAGAGACTACATCATGAAAACCCCGTTTTCTTTGGTGTGTTTCTCCATCCGCGAGAGACGACGAGATTCTTTCACACTGACTCTAATCACTCTCTAATCTGCCGAGTTCATTGTTCCATAACGCGTCCCACCCACCCAATACCTGTTCAAGTTATGTACAACTTTCAGGCTTTTATTTGACCGAGACTTGGATATCTTTTGCGTGAGTTTTCCCATCCGCCCAAGCTCCAGCCAAACCTGTGATATAATGTCATGCTTATATCTACCAGGTATCATACTATATACTATAGAGTCGGAGAAGAGTCTCGATACTTGTCTTATCTCCACAATCATGTCCGGTTTAGCTGCGAGGAAAAGAAAGGAACAGTTCCATCGAAAAGGCACAAAACCTCACAAAACACAAGAACGATACATCAAAAACTCAGTCAAAAGCATATGGATACACTGGTTATCGCCACTTGCTTCTGAGCGACATCTTAATATCAATACTGAATTCAAATCGGTTCTATCTATAGCCTCAATTTTCCAATCTGCACTGTGTCCCAAGTTCAGGAGAGCGATTTCTTGAAGGTGGATGTATAGGTATCAATAATCGGGGTATAAGTAGGTTGAAAACTTGATACAGTACTGACGCCAGTGTCTCCTAGTGCTTTCAAATTTCCGGAGCGTGATTTATCATTCTAAAAACCTTCCACTGTCCAGTAACCTCAGTTAACTAATCGATTCAGTTTCCACATTTCAACGGCGGACTTGCTTCGACCCCTGGATGTCTTGACCATAGGGACCCAACGCAGACAACGAACCGCTGTTTCTCGTCAGTCTTGATCCACCGTAATTTTGTCAATACCCAAACTACAACATAGTGCACTCGAAATGACCTTCTAATATTTGAATGTCTACCCGCAAGCACAAGGTCTCGGCAGCCTTATCATCTTCAAAGAACATGGTGCGTCTCATCGCATCGACACCAAATTATCCACTGACACTCCAATTTCTCCAAGGTTTATTCTTTATTTCAAAACGGCCCGGCTTGTACTAGACTTCCTAGTTCTGGCTCGTCCAAGGAGACTGTCCTATGGTATAAAAGCTACTGTGAATCTTTTGAAGTTAGCCAGTGCTTCTACAGTACTAGGACCAACCTCCTCTGTACAATGTTCTCTGCCGCCTTCTTCGTCCAGGTTCTCCTCGCCACCGCTGTATTTGCCATCCCTTCTGGGAAACAGCGCATGGCATCTCGCAGATCCCGTCGTTCGGAGGTCACCCGCCAGAGCAAGCCCGTGAACCTCATCGCCAACCCTCAGACTACCACTGTAACTAACGCCTCTCACGTTGAGTACAGCGAGAACTGGGCTGGTGCTGTATTGGTCGCTAGCACTGTAAGTACTGCTATTTCCATCAAATTGATTTGGCTTTCGTCGAACATTAGATTTTTTTCTCTGCAGGCGACATACAAGGCCGTCACGGGTACATTCGTTGTCCCGACTCCCGAGTCCACTGGTGGAAGTAGCGAGCAATGTGCTTCTGCCTGGGTCGGTATCGACGGCGACACTTGCGACTCCGCTATTTTGCAGACTGGTGTTGATTTCTGTGTTACTGGATCCTCTGTTTCCTATGATGGCTGGTGTGTTTGAGGTTCTTACCACTGCTCACCTGGATCCAGAGACTGACTGATTTCTTGCATATTTTTTAAGGTATGAATTCTATGTGAGTACACGCCTTTTTCATATCAATTTTTACTCATTAAATAAAAATTTCGTTTTTTTGTTCTCTTAGCCTGGTATGAAATTACATTCTTCTCTGTCGACAATAACTACATACTTACACACGCTGGTATCTTGACCAACTTAGATTCCGGTAAGCGTAATTCATTCTCCCGTTTGAGTATATTCCATGAATTGACATATACATTTTCCAATCACAGCTGATGACTTCAGTGGTATCTCTTTCTCTGCTGGTGACTCTGTCACCGTTACTGCCACGGTCATCAGCACTACCGAGGGTACCTTGACAATTGAGAATAACACCAAGGGCACCACCGTGTCTAAGACCGTATCTTCCTCCTCTAAGCTCTGTGAGTACAACGCGGAATGGATCGTCGAGGACTTTGAAGAATGCGGTTCTACTTGCGAGCTCGTTCCATTCGCCAATTTTGGTACCGTCGAGTTCACCGGCGCGGAGGCGACCACTTCTTCTGGCACTGTTACACCTGCGGCTGCTACTCTCATCGATATTGAACAGAGCAAGGTTTTGACTTCGGTCTCCCTTAGCGGCAGCAGTGTCATTGTTTCTTATGTCTAGACGGTTTAGGCAGGAAATATCCTTGCTCGCAATCAGAGTTGGTTTATTTGTAAACAGTTTCAGTAGTTTTTAGGGATTTTTGGGGAAGTATGTAACTTGTCAATTTGAATGAAACATGTAAAAATATGTTCGTTTAAGTTGTATAAACTGAGCTCATAAGCAGTTGCTTGATAATATCTGAGGAAAAGAAAACCAATATCATGCTCCACTCATAGGAAAACCTCTCCGGACGTACTCAGTGGGACGTTGGACAATGCAAACAATCAGCGACTATTGAGGTTGAGACTCTGCGAACACGCGCAAGTGTGTTTCGAGAATATGTGGATTATATTGAGCGTGTTTCGTTAATGTAGAATGACAATGCGATCTTAGATGTACTTCCTGACACCCTTTAAATCCTCGTACCGATCCACCTTTTTCGGCAGTGCGTACTTCGCTTCATTTTCACGACCCTCAGCAACCGAAACCTCGAACACCCCACTAACAGTCTCATCCCACAACTCTCTAAACATATGTACTCCCCCGCCAACAACAACTGCATTATTTTCTTCAGTGCCAAGACCTTTACCGCCGTTCACCTGCGCCCTCAACCCAGGTAGAGACTGCCCGGAGGTTCCGCCTCCAAGAGCGGATCCACCGATATCCTTGAGTGTTGAATCATCAGAGCCAGATAAACCCCACTCCCTGATGAATTGGCGCAGGTTGAACCCACGGCGTTCAGAATCTGGTACGACAGGGATGTCGAGCCATTGAGATGTGGTGTGTTCTTTGAGCAAAGGGAGAGGCCATGATGTGGGCGAGGAAACGGACAGTTCAGCGTGAGTGGTGGTGAATTGTTTCGATAGGGTTTTCAGCTCTTCAAATTCAGCGGGAGTGAGTCCTTTTACTTCACCTTGACCCTTGGCTTTAGCTTTCTTCGTGTTGAGCTCATTGATACGAACCCCGATCGTCTCACGCTCTGCATTATGATTCGCCAAATCCTTGAAAATTTTAGCCTCAGTATTCAGAGAGTACACAGATTTCGCTGGTTGAGGAAGGAGAAGGATGGTGTATCGATGGTACGGCGTTCCTTGCTGTGGATGTGGAGGAACGTACGTCGTGTGGCTATTAAGAAGTGAAGGTGATATGAAGGCGCGAGGGTCAGCGACGGCAGAAACGGGTATGTTTGGTCTTCCGAACGAAATGGCTCAGTTAAAAATAATCGAATGAGTCCGAGACACTCACTTCATCCAATGTAAATACGTCGTAAAAGACCTCGTCTCCTCGTTAGGCACATCCGGGTCAAGCATGACCATCGTATACAGTCTCACATCAGAGTGCCAGGCATGAGCCCACAGCCCGGGTGCACGAGCTGTCTGAGTTGGAGATAGGAAACTGCCAGGCTCGACGCCGACGATGCTCTTTCCACCGCTCTTCATACTCCGCTTGAATTGTTTGTTCAATGGATACGGGACGGTGACATGGAGATCCAGCGAAGGATGGACACCAGGAAGCAAGTCCGGAACAACGTGCATCTGGTGTATACGTTCCATGAGAAGGTCGAGCGCGCCTTGTCCTCGCCAGCGTTGTTCGGCAAGATGAAGGTGGGCAGGATTCCAAGGGTCTAACTGAGCATTGTTGACAGTCCAGCGAACTGAAGGCATGTTGATCTGAGATTGTACGGAGAGAATCTGGTATTTTTTACGCAGGGACTCTAGCTCTTCCAGGATGCTGTTGAACTTCTCAATATTGCCCTGCGCTTCTTCGGCCTCTGCCTGAGCTTCCAGAGCATCAATTTCTTTACCCACCTTCCGTGCCTCCTTCGACAAGTCTTCTGAATCTCGCATGATAAGTTTCAGAGCCTCATCGTAGGCTGGCAGAACACCTTCTGCGATTGGTCTGTTCCAATTCTTGGGTTTGTCAACCGATATTTGTGGTCGCCGTTTGGTGTTCACAGTTGTTGTAGCTGGATCAACTGGAGCGGGAGTGGAGGTAGTACGTTTTCGAGAAGACGCAAATTTACGACGACCAGAAGTAAGAGCTGGCGCTTTTGCTTTTGCTGGAAGATGAGTAAGAGTAGAAGTGCTGGGTTTTGTCGCTGCAGCTTCGATTTTGCCAAGTACTGAAGGAGGAACAACTTCTTTCAGTACTGTAGCCTCTATTGCTTCTGCATTACTCGGCGCAGAGACTGACACAGACCGGCGGACAGCGATGACACGAGCAACATGGCATGTTCGCCGCAGAGGTAACGCGAACATCCTTGTCCAAATTCACCAGCGTCAAATTGGAAAAGTGCGCGATGTTTGCGCATTGTTTGGTTCTAGCTTTGGAAGAAGCGCCCATCTGTCCGACTATTTCCGCATTATCACGGAAACAATACGCACTCTGATCAAACGCACCTCCTGCGCACCTCCCTAGATCTAGAGGGTTCCTCAACGAATACATACAAGCGCCATGCTCTAAAGCCATCATTTTCAGGGAAAGAGGGATAGAAGATCACATTAAGTAGGTGTTTCCACAGCCTTCATCAGCCTCACGATAGCTCAAAATTGAAGGAAGCTCAGCGATCCAGTAAACAAGTGTGCAAAACACTGCAAGTGAACTAATTTCATCGCATTCGATGCACATGATTCGCTTGAAGAATTTATTTTTGTTGATATATAACTCTCACTCAGAGCCGAAACGCCTCAATCTCGTGTTCTCTCCTTTCAAACACAGGCTTCAATCTTGCGTCTCTGTGTGTTAAAGTCGAGAGACATAATATCCCCAGAGAATCAATAATCGGCCTTTTGACATTTCTTATCAATTCTTTTTTCAAAGATAATCGCCGGCACTACCGTCCTCGGAAATAAGTAATGTACATGATTGAAGAATCCTGTAGGAAAGAGATCTTCCTATCCAGAGCATGGAGTGAAGATAACCCCCAAGGTATCGGTAATCTTTCATTTATAACCAAGCCTTACAGATAAATTTCTTTAAGGCTTTGAAGGGAGACTCAGGATTTTCCGGCGTATCGTCGGATCCGTTCAACGCATTCTTGGTTTTGGGTTTAATGAAGTAAGATGCCCGGGTGGTGGTGCGAGAGCAGTTCCGCTGAGGATTTTTTAGAGTGTTGCGTCGATGACAATTTGTTCGAGGAATGATCCATCTTTATTCTCGGGAGAAGATGTCTCGGGTTTTACGACGAAGGGAGAATGGGTTCGACAGAAATGGGCACTCCGTGAGGCTTACACTGGCAAATATGCACCTCTTATTTTATTGTCTTCCACTTGGCACCTAATTGCCTTTCTTCAGTATCTGCAGATCCGTAGCGAGCGATACCAATTCTTTGATGTTCAGTGGTATAAGAGGTATCGCCTTTCTTGAAATGTATGTTTTCGGATTAGGGTACAGCATGGACTAACCTTAATGACTTGCATGAACATTCAGAGGTGGAGCTAATACTCCATTGTCCACTACTAGATCTCTGATACTTTTACTAGAATGTGCATAGAGGCTATCATCTGATAGCACCCCAGCATGCATAAAGTCATCATACTCCGCTCCTTTGGAGCTCAAAATACCATGAGCGATACGAATTTATCATCTGAATGTAACAAGATTTGAGTATCTCTCTCTCTCTTCACCATGTCAGGTACGGTATTCCCACTGAACTTGCTTCTGACGGGACTCGACTATTCTTGCCAGTGCCTCCATGCATGTATATTAAGCTCTACCATAAATGAGTATGGATGCTTTGTCAATGATAATCGATCGACCAGAAACTAACATGTATACATTTAATCTCAGGAATCTTCGACCACCTTCAATCATTGGTCTTGCCTGTGAATTAAAACCTATAAATTCATTATGATGTTATTAACAGAACAGGTCGAGTCGGGTCAATTATGTCAATTCATGATAGTCATACACAGTGGATGTTGGTGGAAGTGGAGGTTCTTCGTTAAAAGCAATCACGAGTCTTTGTCTTACTCTTTCCTTCTCTAGCAACCGGAAACCCATCGGTTTTTTGACGAACCTCGTTCGCTGTCGGGATCTTTAGTCTGGTGTGCAGCTAGCGCTCTTCCTCCTCCTCCTCCGCGCGTCTGGGATGGTCATCTGCAACTAATTTGGCGTCTTGCATAGTGCATATGTTCCCTAGATATCCGCAAATAACGGGCTTCACACATTACTGTACGGATGACCTCGAAGTGTATCGGGAGTAAATCGGCTGATTATAGTCAATGAACTTTCCTCGAAGGAACTGGGAGACTCTATGGATTCTGCTAAGCCTTGCATTCAATTGGGGATTCTAGACTCCCTTGCGATAATTGACAACATATTTCTAAAGATACGATGATGAATAAAGTAAATGATAAGTCAAGTCCCGCCGCCTTTTGAGTTATACAAGTTGAACATTATGTACTTAGCTCTGTCGGCACTACAGGCACATTAGTGCATCCTGTCTTCAAGTTCTGGAAACGAGATATCTATCTCCTCGGAGGGAGGGGCGGGAAGACACAGAATTATTCTCTAGTATTCCTGGAGTACTGGAGGAGGGCTGGAGCTACTAACTACTATTGGCCCAAGTGTCCCGCAACGACATTGTTCCAATCCCCCACCCTGCTGAATTTTCGTCTATTGATTTCTCGAATTGATCGTGCCGGAAACGGGGAATTGTAGCTTGTGCATTGGAGTTCTACGCGCTTGGTATGCGTGTGCATTACTATGAACTATCGAAAAATTTGCACTGACGCCACAAACTCAGTGAGCAATTATTCTCCAATGAGGCGAGGCGAGGCGAGGGAGGAGAAAACGGGTTATGTGTGGGTGAAAGTTCAACCGTGTTGTCAACGAGGCAGCTAACACTCATCGCAACTGTTAAATGAGCCAAGACGCCAGTGACAAGAACCGAGTCAGAGAATGTCGCCCAGATGAATGACACGGACACAAAACTGTTCTAGTGATATTTCAATAGTGCAGGGTGTACGAATATCGAATGTCGAATGTCGGGAGATGTCGGGGCGGGAAATGTAGCCAACGCAGTGATCCACAAGTATCCGACCAATTTAGTGCATAGGCCGTAATTGGGCGCATGCGTAACCGAATTGACCAGCGTAAGTATACAAGCCTCGAGGCTCCCCTTGTTCCTCAACCTTTGCCCAGTGAGCGAGTCGCCCCAAGGTCGATAAACGGAGCAAAAGGTAATAAGACGAGTCGCGTTTTTACCTTGCACTGCAGCTGTAGTTTCGATTATCAGGACTTAGTTGCCTCAAGGCAGATAAGTTCATCGTGTTCATTTATCACAGGCGTAATTTTGGAGTGGCTTTCTCGAGTCTAAGTTGGTACCCTTGACGGAGGAAGGTCGACAAACGGAGAATCACTGGAATCATCGATGATGCTGGGATGTCGGAACTTGGCTGAAGCCTGTGTCCGCACACCGGCTTCAGAATGGAAGGTGTTTGCGCACCGGGTTTTGCATGACTTTTGGAATTTTGACTGTGTACATAGCACAATCTAGTACAATGCCGATGGTTCAAATTTGAGGCATGGGAGATGCCGCAGCGGTGAGAGAGACATTGTGTATTCAATACCGTATTGCATTATGAAGGTTTTGATATAGCGCCCGAGAGGGCAGGTAGAGATCTTTAGACTGTTAGAATTGAAACTCGGGATGTAGGAGGACATAATAATGGCAGCCTGAGAATCGTCGGTCAAAGCTGTTGATATCATTCGGAAGTATTATCCAAAATTTCTCAGCAGCCAAAGCAGTTTTTCCGGTGTGGCTGTGTGCGACGCATGGCTCTAATTTCTTCTTTCACTACTTGCTTCACGTACCTTGCAATCTCTCACAGTAATTTCTGCAAACACGTTGATTGGACGCTGAATTTTATATCAGTAATAGCTCTATCCGGTTTTGGCACATTTCCTGCCAGCTCACGGATAGAATGAGCAAGTCGCGAGGATCAATACTACTCTTACGATAGTGTTCAATCGTTCATGCTTAAAACTGCATAAAACTCTCCGAACTCTGTTGGGTCAATGACACGTCTATGCTGCGTTCTCATCGGATGTGGACACGTACGTATATTTTCTGCCAGTTTTTTGCACACTTTCAAAATTTCATATGATAGATATCGTACCATATAATGATATTCATATGCTCATCGATGTCGCCAAGGAGGATCCGCGGACTCAAAGCGTCTTGTACTTGGAGAAAGCTCTGCATATGTAGCAAATTGGGCGTTCGGACACGTATCATTGGACAGTCGCGGTACGGAAACAAAACTCAGTTTTCATACTATTGCCAATCTAAAATCAATATTAATCAATGCCCGTCCACTCATCACCGTGTCTAATTTTGTCGAACTTCGACATAGTACCACAGAATTCTTGTTATTTGTTCGCTCTACTTACATGGGTCTCTTCATTTGTCCTACATTTGACATACGACGAAACGTACGGTGTGCAGGGTCATTTTTCTGCTAAGTCCACAACATGTAAGAGGTATAACGCCGTATGGAACTCGGTCCGTATCGCATCGCTCACAACAACCCTGCGCTGTACGTCGAGGTCAAAGTGGCCAATAGGTCGCTAGTGATTCCTTACAGGTAGGTATTTCCTTCTCTGGATGGGTTGACGCTGAGTGAACCAAATGAATAGGTCAGATAACTTTGGTCCCTCCAGCCTCCTCCAACTCGTCAATTAATGTCGTTGCTGAAGCTGAAGCAACATATGTACACTGGAGATGAACACAAGGGGCATATCCCGGATCTGGGGACATCGATTATGTAATCGAAACTGTTATTTCGTGACACTGATTCCCGACGGTGATCAACTTCCGACTCGGAGCCTCATAACTCTATGAGGTTCTTCGTCTATTGATCGACTATCAGCACTGGAAGGAGAGACCTGCCCTGCAGACAGGTCGCAAACAATGGTAGGTACGGAGTCACTACACTCCCAGTATCCTCCAGTATCCAATATTTGTATCTCACAATGGAAGGATGGATGGGTTTCGTATAAACTTGGAGATTAGAGATTGACCAATGCGCCTGCACAGAAGAACTGAGCGTCTATCAGTGGTGCTAGTACTTGAGACAGACGCAGGGAAGAGAGAAAACATTGGATTTAACCCTACCTAACCTGAGCTTTCGCCATTTGTACAAGACATCCACGCCCGCCGTTGCAGGCACCTCGATGGATCATGAAATATGGGGTTCAGTTGGGGTTTATTTGGAACAGCTGGCATTGAGAGGTTTTGGCTAGCGCTATCGATGGTCCTGGCTGGTCCTGGCTCTTGAGGTATTTATTAAGCGCTGGGCAGCGAGGGGGGTAGGCGGTGCTGGAGCGTACGCAGGGCAGCTATGGCGTTCTCCGCTTGTGGGTCCGAGAAAGACATTTTCCTGTCCTTTCCCCCAAGGAGAAATGCCCTCATGTTTGATAAATTCATACCCACAATTTGTATCAGGCTTTTCTCCGCAAAAGTTCCATAGCTAAGCTTTACCGGATCAATTTAGTGTGGTCTTTCGATGCAAACTCTGTAAGAGTATGTTCGATTAAGTATATTATAGGAAGCATATATAACCAACTATGCGACAGTACTACTTAAGAAACAAGTAGGTAGAAAGGTCGATGACAAACGTCGATATATAGAGTACAACTAATCTGTACGCGTATTTGGTAAAGAGATCGGAGAGGGAGAACGACACAACACTAGCCAGAGACAACCTACACGCACCAACCTACAACACCAACAGGAAACGCAGACCACGACGAGAACGACAGGATGCGAATGACACAAAAAAGCGAGCAAGAGTTAGACAAAAGCAAAGACGACGTCGAGGTCTAGGAAACAAGAACAGCACCAATAGCAACCTATAAAGGTCAAGAAAGTAAAGACAACAGCAAACCCAAAAAGAAACAGAGATAGAACTCTCTAGTGGTGGTGCGAGGACAAAGGGATGTGACAATGAGGGTAAGGAGTGTGAATGGATGAGGGGGAGGGGGAGGTAACGCAAGGTATAAGTATAGGATACATAAGTCAAGTATAAACAAGGAACAGATTGGGGTATTATAAGAAGTATGCAATGGTGATGATGAGGATTGGTGGTCGTACAAGTGAATATAAAAACATAAACATAGACACAGCGAAATAACGATAAGTTGAAAGCAATTGGCGAGCGGAAGGAAGCCCAGGAAAATGATGGAAGAGGATTAGAAAGTCGATAACGAGAAACTCCTTCCCAGTGTCGTCGTGGTCGTGTTCCTTTCTTCCTTGCCTGCCGTGCCAGCCTTCAACCCGCCTTCTATATCATACACATCATATGCATCATCATCATCCGACCTCGACCCTCCCACACCACCATAGACGCGGTAACAGAACTCACCGTCTCTGATAACAGGATTCTCCCTTCTTCTCTTCTCCTTCTTCATCTTCCTCTCCCACTCGACTTCCCATAGCGCTTTGCCGATGCCGAGCGTAGGAGCCTCATTGGCTTTCGAGGCACGGGGGCGAGAACGATAAGGAGAGGTCGAGCGAGAGGATGATGCTGAATTGAAGGAGAAGAGGGTGAAGGGCGATGAAGTTGGTGAGGTTGAGAGTAGTAAGTCTGAGGATGACGTGTCGATTATGCGGGTGTCCTCTTTAGCCTCAATAGGCCTTGGAACCCACCGACCTCCACCAGATGCTTTGCAGAGGAAGGAGGAGCGACACAGAGGGTATGTGGATAGTTCACCAAGGGGAAGGGGATTTGAATCAGCTCGGGGTGCAGCGGTAAGCTTATCACTCTCCGAGGGCTTAGGGAATGCTGCTTGAGCAGCGAATGTCGTAGCTCGTCGACGTAGGTCTGGAATAGATGCTCTAGAGACGACGCTGGAGCGGCGACTGATTGAGGTGGAAGCAAGAGTACTGGCAACTAGAAGAGGCGTATCTGGAGGAGTACGCGGAGAAGTGCTCGAAGCAGGTGAGGTATCACCGGATGACACAACAGAGGACCGGCGAAGCGTCTGCGGCATAGGCAGCATGCTAAGCTTCAATTCTGGTGTTTGCGGTGTGTTAGGGGTACTGGTGCCAATGCCATGTAGTTGATCCCAGCAATCATCGCACACTCGTGCGTGCGATTCGACAATTCCACCCTCAGACACATAGTCGTAGACGCTAGTATTCCTCGGAGGGTTAAGGAAAGGTAGATTGCGAGTATCGAGTAGTGGGGTGGTGCGCGAGGTGCATTTGGCGCAAAATACACCTCCGCATTTGCGACAGTGGTGTCTGCGTTCAAAGGTAGAGAACGAGAAGGTGCTTGGGAATGTCGCGAAGGATGAGAATAGGGTTGAACAAGAAAAGGTGTCACAAGAGTTGGAGAGCGAGTCGCGTTTCCAAAGGGAGCGGGCCATAAGGACTGCGAGGTGTTCATTTGGGCGAATCAAGTGTTTACTCGATGCCGAAGAGTCTGTAGACACTGAAGAAAGTGATGAAGTATCCGTGCTCGTCGTGATGCTGGAGACGCTCTCAGCTAAGCTGGTCGTCGACGGCGAAGGCGAGGTAGAAAGTAGAGTACAAGGAGGAGCACACGACATCTAGAGACGAATATTGAGAGTGAGTGAGTGATATCAACCGAACGGTCGAAGAACCAACCAAACAACATCCGACACTTGATTTTATGTATCCCATCCCAAGCTGTGGATCTCCAGATCTAAAATCAACCCTTTCGAGCCATTTTGGGATTTTGATGCTATCGTTACATCGTAACAGAGTTGTCAACCAATCCGAGGCAGGCAAATTCCCGTTATTTCCTTTCCTGTCAGTTAATTAATTATTTTAACCATTTATTGCCATATGTAAACATTATTTTGGCCGCTTACTTGATTTTACGAAAAGAGCAAGGATGCTCCGATCGAAACGCCACCAAAGCCACGCGCTTCAATTCGAGATTTTTCCGGTGCCTGACCATGGACATCAACGCATGCAACGACTCTCCGCGGGGTGAAGCGATGAAAGCTCATGAAAGAGCATGAAGGAAAGCTTTGAATTAATAAAAATGTCCTATAGCGTATCGAAGCTCTGTACTGTCGAGAAGGGGGGACCGGTAGCTATCAAGGCGCATTCCAAATGAAGCACGCAAAACAACGTAGATGAGAGAAAGAGGTCGTCCGAGCAGAAAATCTGGCTGTGAGAGGCGATGAATAAAAGCAACCTTCTCCTTGTCGAGGAACCTGGATGTGAAATCCACAATTCTTGAATCTGTTTAGATGCAATGAGAAGGCTACGTACTCGGATTTTCTTTAAACCATCCTATCCTTGTCGGCTCTAACCACGGCCTCAAATGTCCAGGAAATCCAAGAATTCAATCTTCAAACTTGGAGTGCAGTCATGCAGAGAGTCCTAATTCTTGAAGCTATGTTGGAGTAAAAAAATTTCTGCGAGCTCCGAAAAGTCCGACTACCATTGAAGATCGAAAAGTAAGAGCAGTATGGTAAAGAAGAGCCTGTAGCACCGGGTTTTGTGAGAGTCAGAGAGGCCAAATTTATCAGGAGATGACTCGACGATGACTGGACGATGGCGAGAGGAGAGTCGGGGAAGCGTGTCAAAAGTTTTTCATGTGTTTGTAAGCGGCTGTTCTCGTCGAGTCATGATACTCAGTACTCAGTCTTTGCCTTACACCTCTTTCACAGCGCAAAGTCCTTCTCAGCCAGCATATTCATCTAAATTACCTGTTTGGTTGTCTGGATTTCGAAACAAATTCTCTTACCTCTCATCGATAACGAATCACGATTAAAATTTCTAATCGCTTCTTATATGTGACTTCGATTCAAGAACGAAATTTCAATCTCAGAGCTACATACTATAGCTACTACATGATCGTATTTTTTTTCAAAGCCAGAGCAGAGCCTAGCAGAGCTCTCGACTTCGAAAATTCCGCGCCGCTATCTCACCCGACGAGGGTCGACGTCAGATTTCCGCCTTCCGCTTACTCAACGAACTAAAGTTCCTAGCGTTTCAAACTTGTAACACAAGCAACTAGCTAGTACAGCGAGCAATTTAACTTTTTCCAGCTTCGCAAATTCATTCCTCAGTTGCACAGGTTATACCAGGGTTGTGCTCTCTAGAACTTGTTACAACCCCTTGTAGGTCCTAGAAAGCATATGCTCTCAAATGTGCGACACAGGATGCCCAGCGTATCACGGCGTCTGGCGCTAACGTACCGTCGGGTTACGGTCGGCTGTCGCTTATCGTATTATATGCGACAAATTAACAGCCCGAGCCCTGTCGCAGGCTCGGGGTATGCGTAGACTCATCCGAATCGCTTTTCCTTTGCCTGTTTGGGTCTACGAAGTCTTACACAGCCTTTGCTCAAACCGACGTTCGACCAGTCACCGACTCCCCGTACCTCCTTTGTTCCGTCTCTGCAGGCCAGGTGTAACTCAAGCCGGGTGTAAAATACTGAATCATCTTTCGGAACTTCTTCGTCGGTACATAGCTGTTCAGTGCGTTCAGTATTCAGCCAAAACTAAGGTGATGTACGTATATGCCCGGCCGGCAACAGGTTATTGACGGGTCATCGTTTTTGAGCAGCCTACAGAGTGCGCACCTGCGCTCAAGATTGCGTTCTAGGTTACTCATTTCGGGATCTGGGATTCGCAATTAACATTGAAAGCGATCATCGCTGCAAATTTTACCGCCGACCCCCCAATCTGTCTCACTCTGTTAAGTACCCTCTGTTACCCCAGTGGATGAGTGTCATCCTCCTCAACTTTTCCGGATGATAATAATGCGTCCGTTCTCCAGCAACTGATTCGAGAACGGAAAACAAGCGCTGAACGGGAACGAGCGGAGACGGAGGCATTTTTAGGTTCCATCTTTCGACGAAGGCAGGACGAAGGTATCTGTAGAATTCGAAGTATTCCCGAGTATTGCCCGTGTATCCGGGCCTTGATTAATTTCCTCAATCCTCACATCACATACAGAATGCACATACCCCCTCCTACCTCTTGAGAAGGGAGGTATCCATACGGGTTACTTCCTGCTGCCACTTATCTCAGGTATGTACTACGATGAGGCAGGTATATAAAATGAATAATGAATTCTTTTCTTTCCCTCAACTTTTGCAGACCTCTCGACACCATCAGCTGTTCTATATAAGGGTCTTTGCCCTGGTCACAAATGTTTGAACCCCGTTTGAAGCTGGTACTCGTTCACTTTCACCAAATATGCACAATGTCAGTCAACGCAAGTCGGTGCAGAGTTGCAACTACATATGTAGTATGTAAGTAGTTGTCGGCGTTTTGTCAAGGTTTTCATCCACTTCAATGCATAACAGTGCATAACCCTGACCAGAATGCATCACAGCTGTCTCCATGTTCGTCGTTACCAGGTCGTTTTCATTAGCGCTCAGCAAGGGTCCCTGGCACTTGACAAATTAGTCCGTCTTTTCGTAAGTGCCAAGTAGTACAGACGATTGACCATAAACCCTGCACAAACCTCTCAGAAACTCCTCAGACGCCGCGGAAGTGCTAGCTAGCTCAAAATGAATGATAATCCTCTGGCACTAGCTACATTCATGAGCTCCGTTAGTAGACCCTGGTCAGAGTGCTACGCTGTAGCTAAATAAAAGCTAGGGTAGCTACCCGCCCACTTTCAGCTGACCCACTGGTACCCGACTGACTTTGCGCCGCCCGGTATCTAACCCGAAGCTGAGTCACGTCAAAAGCTCGGAAAAACATGATTTCTTACATAGCGGAGTACCCGCACTTACCACAAAATGCACTCCCCAGAATTGTAATCGAAATCCGGTTTTTTATCCGCAACAAGATATCTATCCGCAAAGCTCAGATAAACAGCTGGATCTCAAGTCATATTGGAGCATCCGTATCCACCAGCATACACACCGCTCCATCGTGCCCCTCTTCTCGGCGCTTCCTTCAAAGAATAACATGACCCGCTCCAGCCCTGCTCCAACTACTCGAGTATATCCAGTACTCAGGCTCAACAACTGCAACCCTCTGCGACTTCCCCTCAGGTCCAGCTCCATCAGCACGCAATACTTTCGCATCTTGAAGATTCGATCGATGCATCTTCACAGAAATTCGTGGGTCCAAAGGACTGACCTTCAGAGGGTCCACAGGAACAACATCCAGGCCTCAGGACTTAGCATAACTCGGAGCATGAGATAAATACTCATATCATGAAGCATCGATAGACAATATGTAGCCAAGAAGAAATTCGAATGTTATCGATAGTGGCACCGCTGCTGCTACTACACCTAGGTAGTCCTCGAGGCTACGTGTCAAAAGCTGGTTTAAATGTAGAGGCAACATGTGTGGAAAGAACGATTCGAAACGGGGACCGGGGTTAAGAGAGAAGAATGAAAGAACGAAAGAACGAAGTGAGGGATCCAAAAGAAAGAACGACACGGGGATGAAGGAAAAGTGATATATGAAAACGAAGTAACTGTAACGTAGTGAGATGAAGGTTGGGATAAGATAAAGGATGTTGCACACACAGTGCAGACGATGATCGATTACTGTAGAATTTTGTGAGCGCTTAATTATTGATCAGATTAGATTGGTTCAACTCCCTTCAACTTACCCTATAGTACAGACGCTTCAACTCTTCTTACCTACTGTCGCCCTGAACGACGAAAACGAAGCTCAGAGGGCATAGCATGCTGCGAATGTTCCTGTGACGCTCAGTGGATTCGCCGTTTGTCAAGCATGGTCGAACCCCCAAGTTAACCGATGAACAAAAGATGTTGCGAATCATGAAGTACTTGTGTGAATATCGAGCACTTCCTTCGAGTTCCTTCGTCAAAACGTATTCTTTGATTTCATTTCGATAGCCAATGATCCTTTTTTTCAGTCGCTCTCAATCCTCCGTGTTTACAATCGACATTTGCCTTCATCGTAGCCGAGCCTTGAGGCTGCTAAGTCCCAGAAGAATATCGCGCAACTTCAATGATAATGTCAGAAAAAGATCGATGAACATATGCTGACAGTACTTTTCGCCATACTGTAAGTGTTTTCTTTCATCGATACTGGTTCTTCTAGGTTTCTTTGCAGAACATACATTCCTTCATAGACTAGACTCATTAGGGCTTCGTCTCTCAGGCCGGCCCATGGTTCCCGGACGGCGATTCTCTGACAATCCTCGCTACAAGTGCCCTAATCTCATGGCGAGATATACAGTGCGTTCCGTTCGCTGTTTACAAATCGAAATTGGCAATAGTTTTCATGTGTACCGAAGTAAATCCAAAATCCAAGCGCTCAGTCACGACTGCCCAATGCATCTACATAAAAGATGAGGGTGTACAAGGGAGGATGAACCAGAGGGAACATAGGGTGTGATTAAGGAGTAATTCTGTCCAGTGAATCCGTGTCTGTTTCAGCATCGCAGCCTCAAAATTCCCTGCTGTCAATTATTACCCTCCGTCGCTATGCACTTCAAGTCACACGTAAAAGCGATTCTGACCCCGGCCATAATCCTAACAAGACTTCCCTGCATCCGACGCTCGACTCAAACCCCGACCTCAGTGAGGGCTATCCTGTCGTTACCTTGGCTTTATGATTTCGACGTGAGTATC